ATTAACCGCTCTATGAAATTTTGAGGGATCATCTCCCATTCCTCTTCTATGGCAGTTTTCAACTCCTGCATCGTCTGGGCAACTGGCTGACGAGCTCTTACACGTCTTTTTAGCTCGTCCCACATGTGCTCAATGGGGTTCATGTCTGGGCTTCTGGCTGGCCAGTCCATAACTGTGATGTTCACATCCCGAAGATATTCCCTGACGATGCCGGCCGCATGGGCTCTTGCATTATCATGCATAAAAAGGAAATTTGGGCCCACATAGTCCGCGTATGGTATCACGTGAGGTTCTAAGCACTCACGAATGTACCTTTCAGCATTTAATGTTGGCAGCCGTGGTCCTGTAACAACCTCAAGTTGAGTTTTGCCGCTCGCGGATATACCGCCCCAGACAGTCCATGAGCCACCGCCATAAGCAACCCTCTCTTCAAAGCAGCATTGTGCGAAACGCTCTCCCTTACGTCGGTAGACCTTCTTCCTTCCATCATTGCCATGTAACACAATTTTAGACTCATCAGAAAAGAGTACACGGCTCCAATCTTGCTGTGTCCAATTTAAATGACTGTGTGCGAAATGAAGGCGCGTTGTTCTGTGGGCTCGCGTTAGTTTGGGCCCATTAGCTGGCTTGTGTGGTACCATATCGCGTTCTTTTAACCTTCTCCGAACAGTTCGAGCGCTCACAGATACTCCGTGGAAGTCGCGAATTTGTTTTTGTATCTCAATGGAGGTAAGGTGACGATTTCTCAAGCTGGTCGTCGCGATGAATCGATCATGCCTTTAAGTTGTGACCCGAGATCGTGGCCTTCCTTGGCGACGAACAAAGCCGCCAGTCTCTAGGTACCTCCGATAAACATTTCGGACCGCAGATCGACTTAAATTAAGTTGAGCACTCACGTTTCTTTGGCTGTGTCCGGCCTGAATAAGTGCCACAGCTTGGACGGCGACTTCAGGTGAAGTATCCATAGATTATTGATAGAATCTCACCTTAATGTTAAGAATAAGTAATGTTTGTTGCAAAACCAAAGATATCAATCACTTTTTCAAGAATTAAATCCAAATAAACCAATAAAACCAAGTTTTCTTAGTATTCGATTGTTTGATATCAACAAACAGGCTCCAAATTGTCTTTTGTTTCTTTAAATACTGTGTTCGAAATTCAAAAAAAGACTATTGAATGAAATTGTGAATGTGCCAGGTTCAAAGCTGCATAAAAACTTTTTGCTCGACCTAATATAAAATTTTAGCTAGGACCAAACGAAACTGAAAATACAAGGTGGGCCAATAGATGTGTCCAGAAGTGTATTTATATGTTTGTTTATCATAATACTAACACTCTGTACAATGAGATTTATTGATTAAGTATAATTAATAATTTCATTTTAAAAAAGGTTTATAAAAACCTATATCTTTGACTTTCAACGTTTAAATATTTTTGAGTGTTGGCAACACCATGTTGTGGTGGTGTATGGCGCCATTTTGAAGTTACTAATTAGTAATTAGATTTAAACATCTAATCCAAAGGAATTTCTCGGCTATCCGGGAGGATGCACTAACCATGCTACCGTGACCTTAATAGCTGTGTCGAATTATAGCGGAGAGTGCGGGTTTGAGTCCCGTCTGCTGTCTAGACCGCGTGGAACATTTTCCAGTAAAATTTTCTACGTAAAGTACCATTACGTACCTATATGAGTATTCATCATACGATAAGATGATGTTAATACTATAAATAACTTTGAGTCATATATTTACTAGACAATAACATGATAGTGTTAAGAAATCAAGGGACCTACTCTGATAGCGATTCCGTTAACAGCATTCGATTATAAAAAATAATAAGTAATTACAGATGTATGTTTCAAAAGAGATCTAATATCAACTGATTAATATGTAAGCAATACCTACTAACATCTTGTAAGGCTGTGCAAGTTAAGATGCAAGGCCTACCATCTCTTCTTACGCGATAAACCTGTAAAAACATCTAAAAAACCTACTTATATCACGTCGTTTCGAAATTATTCGTTTGCAGACCCAGGACAGGGTAAAGACCCAAGGCTAAAAAATGTATCAATTCCGGTAACACGACCTATGATGTCACATAACAATACGAGGTAACACCAACAAAAATTCAATAAACTGTACGCGTGCGATTTTTACCTTTAACGTCGAAGTAATTAGACAGTTTTTCCGTTGCATGCATCAGTTACCGGAACCTTGAATCTGATTGTGAGTAGTTTCAGAGTGGGTCAAAATCTCTCACGGTGAGGACCTTGAGATAAACTCAAGTTAGTCATCGTTGATTCATTGCTCCATCAACTGTATGAGGAACTGTTTAATCGCATTTCCTGGCAGTGACGAAGCCAATGATTAGTAGTCATAAGCTGTATAGAGGAACAAATTGATGTTCAGTATTGCCCACGAAACAAGCACAACACTGAGAAAAAAGTTTTTATTTGTCTGTGGTTTTCCCCGCCATAGCATATTTTAAAAACTATGATATCGCTAAAGTCGCACAAAATTTGTTTCCATTGAATACAAATTGTAGTCGGGAATATAATGAATTTATGCCTAACTAAGATCTAACTTACGGCACTACTAGTTAAGTTACATTCCACACATTTAATAAATCTAAAATTGTTGCAATTTTTAATGTTACTAAGTAATTACAGCTGTAAAGTTGCTTCGTTATCTTCTACTATCTCAGATATCAGGTTTATTTACATGTTATATGACAATTTACATGATAACACGCTAAATCTCTTCGCGCTCACATAATAAAATGTTAAACACTCATAAAAAAAACTGTATCATTATCGGTTCGAGTACTGCATACTTCTCGTGGATAAGATCTGAACCATGCATTAGGTTTTTATTTATATCGACTAGACTTGTGGCAAATTATTCCATCCTACCTGAGGTCAACTCACGAAGATGGAGTCGACAGAATTACATGGGTCACCTCCACACCTTGCTTGCCTTAATCTCTGGACCTTACGACCACAGGGAAAGAGATTAAGGCATGCATGCAGAAATACAACAACCCCATAAAATACTATTGGTTTGCAAAGTTCAGAAGGGTAGAACAGCTGTAGTAGTGGATTCACGATTTGAACTGAAACTTAACTCGATGAAACCTCGTCAATGTTAATACTATAGAAACTGTAACAAGTCGTTTCTAATATTATGTCGATGAGTTTCCAGTTATCAACTTATCAAACAATGTCGACAATTTTAATGCGGCGGCTGCATATTTCACAAATTTTAAGCAAAATATCTACTCGTACCTGTTCCATAAAACAGCTCAACAAAACAGCATTAAAAATTAAAATCATAAAAAGCAGTAATAAAGCCTCGATCCGGTAACGATAAATCATGATGCTCATTATTTTTAATATGTATGTTAATTATTTTGTTTCCTATTAGATGAGAGTATTAATTAAAATAAACGTGGGTAACGATTATGTATTATTGTATTTATTTTTAACATCCTTCGCTCCTGTTAAGTCCAAATCTAGGAATATGAATCTGCCCAATTATTGTTTTTTCTCAGCTACCCAAAAAACAACGAATGATTATTTTCATAACAACAAATTTTCTTATTTACGGTAATCTACTCGACGATTATGTCTGTAAATGACAATTTTACAGGCAGTTCTGTAATCTAGTTACAGAACAAATACACCTGACAAAACGTTGTTAACGTGGCAAGACTAGTTTGTTAATTTCCAAATTTTTGTTCGCAACAAAATGTTTTATTATCTCTGGTTTTTGTTTTTGGGGCAGCTTTTATCTCACTGATGAAAGCATTTTAGACTAATCTTTTAACGGTGTAATGAGCATTGTTTTAAAAACTATTTTCTGCATTAACTCCCAAATCCATCCTAATTCTACGACCATGGAAATTTGATCTGACTCGTTGGTTATTCAAAATGTTTCCTCGTTCTTCACTATCTTTACACTCAATAAAGTTTAATTAATGCAAGCTCCTTCAAAATTCTTTGAAGTTTCTGACGTCATTTTAACCAAAAAGGAGGAAAAAGAGCTTATATTCCTTTCATTGACGTTGACCTTGTGGTCACCAAAGACTGATGGCACTTAAATGGTCAACTACCTACAACATCTAAAGGGGAAAACACACGTGCGATATAAATTTCGTTCAATCAGCCAGCACCCTATATCTATAGTAATATTATAAAGAGGAAAGATTTGTATGTTTCTAACCAATAAACTCAAAAGCTATTGAAGGTATTTGTTAATTCTTTCACCAGTAGAAAGACAAATAATTTACATTGATAATTTTTCTCACTAGGGGTCTTCCATAAAGTACGTCACATGTTAAGGGAGAGAGGGGGTTGACGGAGTGTGACCAGGGGTGAGAGGGGTCTTAAGTTTCGTGACGGCACATTTCAGTTTAGAACTATTATCATAAAACTAAAATATTTAGAACTTTATCTGCATGGGTTCTTATTTACTTTGTTGGTGAGTTGCGAATCTAATTCCAGAACTGCTGTTTTAATTTAATAATTTCTAAATGTAAAATAGATAGATAGATAGATAAAACTTTATTCACACCAACATGCACACATACAAAATTGAAGACAAATTTTACAATTAAATAAATCCTTTAAAACATACAACAAATTATATTTATATAACTAAACTGATATTTTCGTGTGCAGCAGCGATGCGAATGGGCAAAAACTCAGCGTAACATTTACTCCGAGAGTAAATCGCTGATTTTCATTTCTAACCCATATAGATGATAAATAATGGAGGCCATACACATTAGGTTTTGCATGATGGTTTTAGCCGAACATGCATAACCGACAGGCAAGCCCTTACGTGTATCTGATAAAACTGTACAGTTTTCGATGCATGTAACTCGGTTATGCATGTCGGTTATGAATACACGGTAAAAACCATCATGCAAAACCTAACGTGTATGGCCTCCATAACAAAATATGTGACGTCATAAAGTTTAACCGTTTTCTCCTACCACAGGACCTCATCAGCGAACTGAAGAGCGAGCTGACTGGCAACCTGGAGAATGTGATCGTAGCACTGATGACACCCCTCCCACACTTCTACGCCAAAGAACTTCATGACGCAGTGGCGGGGCTTGGCACTGACGAAGAGGCTATTATCGAGATCCTGTGCACTCTGTCAAACTATGGCATCAGGACCATCTCTGCGTTCTACGAGCAGTGTGAGTACTTGTGACTTTTTAACGCCAAGTTTAGGGTTCGGTACCTCAAAAGGAAAAAAATTGAACCCTTATAGGATCACTTTGTTGTCCGTCCGTCTGTCAAGACCGTTTTTCTCAGGAACACGTGGAGGTATCAAACTGAAATTCATATTTAATACTCGGGTCCCTTGGAGCTGTGAAAAAATCAAACTTCTAAGCCAAAGCAATCAAAAGATACAGCCGTTTATGCCGCAAATTTCAGTAAATAATCGAAACTCGCACGGGAATCGAAACCTACAGGGTACTTCCCGTGAACTTAGAATCTTGAAATTTGGTACGAAGTAACGTCTTATATTATAGTACAGATAAAGGAAAAATTGCGAAAACCGTAAATTTTGTAGTTACATCATATAATAAAAATATTTTTGAAAATTCCGGTTTGTACGGAACCCCTGGTGCGCGAGTCCGACTTGCACATGGCCGGCTTTTTCTTATTACGAAGACCTAAGTTCTGCTGCCCAAAACCAAAACACAGTAAGCCACATAGTGTGTAAAGGACACAGTTCTATCTATCCCGGTGGGGCGGAGCGAATATTTGTATGATGAATACGAGCATTTGTACTAAGTCATGGCTGTTTATAAAAAAAACATAAAACTTATGATTTTATTTATTTTTTAAGCATTTAACTGCTAGATGTTTAAATCTAAAGAAAAGTTTACTAGAAAAATAAATAAAATCATAACTATAATTGCTATTTCTTCTTTCAAATGTTTAACACTTGAAAAAGTATTCATTTGACATTGTGGGTTACCTACAATGCGAAGAGATGGCGTTGCCTTGCAGTTTAAGGCTAGGAAAATTTCGACGCGGCTAATAGGGCCGTGGTAGCATAATGGTCAGTGCATTCGCCCGGATAGCGAAGGATGCGGGTTCGAGTCCTGTCCACTGCCTGGTCCGCGTGGATTTTTTTCTAGTAAACTTTTCTTTAGATTTAAACATGAAACTTATCATTTATGTATTGGTATCCGTCACCCTAGTACCCCATAACCTTAACACAAGCCAACTATTAGTCATGAATGATATTTGTACGTTACTAATACCACAATCTGTGAGTAAATTGCGTCTGTCTGTAAACTAGGTACCCAATAGAAGTTATTCAAACTCTTGGCTAGTAAAAAATGGAGCGTGATATTCGGATGCTTCAATAACCAACCAACAGTATAGTTTCGTGTCAGTTTTATTATTAATACTTACATATACAGACGAATCGTATCGAAAAGCAAGAGGAAAGATGTTACACAACAAAATGATTATAATAAATGTAACATTTCCGAGAATTCGGTTTGAATGAAATGTTTATTATGACGGTTTAATGTAATCATAATAATATAAATGATCACATTCCTCATACGTCAAGGTTAAACTAAAATATCAATATGCATTTTCACCCGTGCATTTTCACATTGTTTGGCCGTAACACGGCCGACGCGAATGATAATGATAAAATTAGTGGCGAATTGGCGATGAAACAAAAATACTGAGCCATTTTTGGATACTGAATAAATAGCAGAATTTTACCTGAACTAAAACGCATATTAAAATACTTACTATCTTTGTAAATGACCGGACGTTTCCTTGTGTAGCATTCATTTTGTATCTTTGTATATCACACAAAAGGCATTCGTATGAATGCCACAAAAAAATGTAAAGTTGTTCAATATTTGGTCTTACATTTTACAAGGCTGTACTTTTTAATTAAATACCAAAAATCAAGATCCCACTTACGATTACTAGTATTCGGTACAAGTCACCAATCGGTTTGCCTATAACAACTTTCACCTGATTTGAACCAAAACAAGGCTAAAACCATCTTCGTCGGTTCAAATACAATGATTCGGGTTAATTTCAAGTCGTGTAAAAGCTTTCAGGGACGGTGAATTAGTTTAATTAAAATTATTATTAATTAGTACCAATCGACTTAGTCACAATATAACATCTGCATCCACACTAAACCTGGCTCATTAACAAACTGTTTACTTAGGCGAGTCGCATTCGTCACCAATCAAAATAGAACTTGACTGCTCGATACAATACAATGACATACATTTGTGTTAAATCGATACGAGAAACGATTACGATTCCTGTTAACTACGTTAGCAATTTAGTATCTGCTAAGCAACTGACTCAATCTTGGAATAACGTCATTAAAAATTAGTTTTAGAGCGTTAACATTTATACAGTACTGTGTTCTTCTATGATTAGAATTACCGTCTCAATTATGATTTGTTGACATAATCTAAGAAAATGATAAACGCTGTCATCACTTAGTTTTTTGTTCCGACTAGAGATGGGATTTTACCCGGAAAAAACCCCAATGTGGGAAAAAATAGGGAAAAACCCAGAGAAAATTCCGAAATGGGAAAATATTCGGGTTTTTTCATATTTAGCATATGTAGCATCGAAGTAATGTCACGGCGGTGACACTCTCTGTGCGTGAGAGTTCCAGCGTCAGTGACCTTGAGCAGGAGCGTGTATGCGCTAGGGTTGAACTTGGAATTTAGACTTGTGCCAATGAGTATTTATGCATAGTAAGTTATTTAATGTAAACTGTTTTACAAAGCGCGCAATGTAATTATGTCGCTTGCACGTCGCGTAACGTATACGTCAATGTTCGCTTGTGCTTGAATGTAAATATATTAGAGTCTGGCAAGGTAAGCCGGCAGGAATTGTGTTCTAAGGAGGCTTCGCCACTGCAAAGTACCTATTTTCCGCTACATTTGTTCTAAAAATATTTTTTTTAAGATCGTGATAATTATGTTAAATAATGAAAATACCCGTCTATTGGGTTTTTTCCCACTGCCCATCTCTAGTTCCGACGTCCTAGTCAGCGTTTTGTAGAAAACAACTTTTCGCAAACTTGGGCGGTTGTGGTAGTAACCCTTATTGTTATTGACTTCCATAATAACACAACTGCTTTTGGACATCGTCGTGACAATCATCTAGCCAACTAACTTGTACTATAGGAGCTAGATAACATATAAACAAACTGAAATACATATAAACATTTATGTCAAGTAGGAAAATGCACGTATTCATCACATGAAAAAAAAATAGTTATATTCAAACTCGAAGTCACTGTATTCGCAGTGAGCATCACGAAACGCTAGGCGACGGAGGCCGTCAGATGTGCTATCCTATAGTTTCCAAATTGACTCAAAAAATAACAACATTATCACGAAACGCTAGGCGAAGGAGGCCGTCAGATGTGGTATCCTATAGTTTCCAAATTGATTGAAAAAATAACAACATTATCACGAAACGCTAGGCGAAGGAGGCCGTCAGATGTGCTATCCTATAGTTTCCAAATTGATTGAAACAATAACAACATTATCACGAAACGCTAGGCGAAGGAGGCCGTCAGATGTGCTACCTATAGTTTCCAAATTGATTGAAAAAATAACATTATATCTCTACAGTGTACAACAAGAGCCTTGAATCAGACTTGAAAGGCGACACATCAGGTCACTTCAAGAGGTTATGCGTTTCCCTGTGCATGGCTAACCGCGATGAGAACCAGGGCGTCGATGAGTCAGCGGCCAAGGGTGATGCTGAGGCACTGGCCTCGGCGGGTGAAGGCCAGTGGGGCACTGATGAGTCTGTCTTCAACTCCATCCTCATAACACGCTCCTACCAGCAACTACGACAGGTGAGTAAGAGTGATACTTGATACTTTGGGTAAAGAGCCAGTAAAGCCAAATGACTCCAAACCTTCTTATGATAACTTTAAAGGAAATAAAGACTCCAAACCTTCTTATGATAACTTTAAGGGAAATAAAGACTCCAGACCTTCTGATGATAACATTAAGGGAAATAAAGGAAATGCAACGTCATAAATCACTTATTTGATGTTCCCTTCTACATTTTACTCACTTGCTAAGGTGGACAGGAAATTCCTAATCTTCGATTATTTGACAACCGAATCAGGAAGAATCAGGGGAGATCTTGCAATATTCCATCTCAAAAAGGAAGTATGATAACGTGCACAGCACATAATAACTTCATTCTGTGTCATTATATTATAGATATACCGAATAATAACAGAGTATTGGATGAGTGTGTTGCTATTGTTAACATTATTTTGCATTACTCTTGTGTAAGAACTGAGTCAGTCCTCCAGAGTACACATACCTACTAACAATGAATTTGTATTCATAATCAGTCGAATGCGAACGTTAAAATAATAAATGAATTTTAGCTTCACTTGAATTGCAAAAGCGGTTGCAAAAAACCTTCATACAACAGTGATATGTTTAATGGAGCAAAACGACTGTAGTAAAACAAGACTGACCGATAGATTTAGGGCTGCCAACTTTTTTTCTATCAAATATAGTATTTTCGAAGATGTTACCTCTAAAAATATTTGTTGGGTGACAAAAAAACTAAATTAACTTTTTTTAAAAAAAATAACATAAATAAATGAATGTAATGATCCAAAATTTTTGATTAAAAGATTAAATGGCAAAAGGATGGAAAAAAATATGTGGATAAAATATCTTTTTTATTTTTAAAATGAATATATTTTTGCTCTTCCAGGCCTTAATAATAGTTATTTTTAATTCCAATGAACGCTTTTACTGGCAAAAATCTGCTTTAAGCAAAATATAGTAGTTTCGCCTTCTATTTTTTAAAAAAAATATAGTTTTTGATCCCCTTGTAGGTAGGTAGGTATATTATAGAGAAGGGGTTGGCAACCCTATTGACCGATAGACTGTTAAATAATAAGCGCACATTTCGAGTGGTAACTAGTTGCAAGACTTAAATTATTGACTTCAATAGGAAGCCTAACGATAAATCCTAGAGGCACATAAAATGCTTCTTATACTCATGTTACGAATAGTTTCATTTATCAGATGACCTTGACACACAGCACACGTCAGCTCAAGTCAACTAATCTTAGTTGACTTGAGCTGACGTGTGCTCCGCAACTAACAAAAAATTGTTATGTCGACAATATTCCGACATCCATCTATTGCACTATATCAATAAATGATAAGAATATAAATATACTAATATTAAAAACATTAAGCTGCAATCGTTGAAGTTAAGCAATTTGCACAGTGGTCGGTCATTGGATGGGTGACCGAAAATCTTTTATCTCGAGTTTCTCTGTGCTTCGGAAGGCACGTTAAGCCGTTGGTCCCGACTGGCCATGGGTCATGGCCCAATCGCCCTATTCCATTCATGGGGAAGACCCGTGCCTCAGCCCCCACTGCTGACATTTATAGGCTATTAATGATATCCTATCGATAAGCAACATAAAAATAGTGATGTTGCTCGTCGATAGGATATTATTGTCTTCAAACTACAGCTTCGATCTAACAAATGCTAAAATAGGTTTAGAAGTACTGTGAACAAGCCTGAAAATAATCCAAAATGTTCAGTACCTATTACGATTTGAAAACTTGATTTTACGCGCCTCCTTTCATTCAATATTATTTTTATTTCAATTAAAAGACTATACGACTAACGTTTACTCTTATACTCTGTATACTTATACAGGATGAACAAAACAATGGGACGCTCATGAATTAAATAAATAAGTAGGTACCTACAGTACCCATTACAAGAAAATAATTTCGACAAAATATAATTACAAAGCCCTTAAATTGAAATAAATAAACTTTGTAAGTAGGTTACATACCGACAGTACCTATAGTACAAACTACTTATAGTGTGTCGATTCGCTATGAATTATGCATACTTTGTCAGGACTAATAAAAGGCTGCGGTCTTTGTCCCACTAACGAAATGACCTCGTACGTCCTTTTCTGATTTCAGTTTGTTAGTATAATTATAAAGTCTTACAAAGAGATCTTCCCAAAGGTATTTAAGAGGTCAGTGGCAAGGCGTGTTCTATTCCAGTTAATGGTCTAACCAATAATTCATTTCAAATCTTGAACACTTACAATTTACGTTGAATTTGTATTAACATTTCAGATCTTCGCGGAATACGAACAAATAACTGGCAAGGATATCGAAGAGTCTATAAAGAAGGAGTTCTCTGGAAGCGTAGAAAAGGGCATGCTAGCTATTGGTAAGAAAAACATTGATGTTTTTATAATACACGAACTTTTAGTTACAAATATTGGTCTGTTCATTCTCATCAGAAATTGTAATTGTGAGTATAATCAAAATGTATTATGAAGTTAGTAGTAACTTGTAATACACAAAAACGACGGTAACTGCAAATCACATACACTCGTGTTAGTGATAAAACTATGGCTGTACGAACTATCAAGGTCTAATGTAAGCTAATCTGGTCAGTTGTAGCAGTAAATGGATAGATGACCTTGCACGCTTACGTGCGGTTAATTTTTCCGTCGCGTCGTTTCAATGAAAAAAGTCGCTGTAATGTTTGCACAAAAATTAAACATTCGCAGTGCCGAAACGACGAGGAAGGAATAGTTTCGTAATACTTAAAAACGCACTGTTATGCACATGAGACCGACGTTATAAAAGTCAACTATGCGTGCATTTATAACATGATGTGAATCTATGCACTATGTAGTTAGGTATATAATATACTTTATAATTATTCTAGTGAAATGCGTGAAAAGCAAAGTTGGATTCTTCGCTGAACGCCTATACTATTCCATGAAGGGATTGGGCACCAATGATAAGACCCTAATCAGAATTATTGTCAGCCGCTCCGAAATCGATCTCGGAGATATCAAACAAGCCTTCCTCGAAAAATATGGCAAGACATTGGAGAGCTGGATTGCTGTGAGTATACTTGAAATATTAACTCGTACTAATAAGTATCTTGATTCGCCATTCTGTAACACTTCATTAGCAACTGCATTTTATAGCTCTATTATTTGGTTTAAAATCGGCTTCATTTGATAGCTTCAACTAGGACGCCGATTCCTTGGTTTAAAGATCTGATAAATAATACTTTTCGAGAAGAATCGTTATCTCTTAAGATTTTGTTCATTTTGGCCAAGGTTGGGATGGCAATGGCAAGTTAATTAACATCTTAAAATATATATGGCTTTTTACTATGAAGTTTACAGAATAGCTTTCTGGGTTAAATCATGTATTACTCGGGATATGGGAACCTTTTTTAAATATGTAATTTAGACATAAGTAAAGCTTATCAAAGTGTATCTATATGTCAATGTCATACATGTATATACATATTTATAAATATACAAATAATTGTATACATATATTAGTGTCACAAACGCACCGCTATTTACCAGTTATTAATAACATTTGCTTACATTCGTTTCGTAAATATTCCCTAACAAAAACAGTATAAGTATGAATGTTCAAAACAGCATTTTTGTGTAATACTAACACAATAGCTCGAAAACTTAACAAAATACATGTTTTGTATCATTATTCATTATAGACCTCTAGAATATAGTATATTTTTCTTCAAGAAACTGACCCATAGTTTCAATATTATAAATGAACTTCCATTGTGATGTTTAAAGCTTTCTAATAAGCATGAGAAATTTTGCTTGATTGAAGATGCAACAAAATACGAATCTCATCATATTGTCACCTTTCAACTTATTTTTCTTATCATACTAAATCAGCACAATATTTTAACAGATTTTATTCTTTATACAGATCTTATTTAATTGTTATTATAATATGTGTGGATTTAAAATGGATATTCAATAGAAATGTGAAAAATTATCAAATCACTAGCAAAAGGCGAAACATTAAAAATTTAACCCAACATTTTCGTTCATACAGGGTGTTTGTTTTACGCACTAAACTATTTTCAGTGTTCTGTTCATAAATTGTGAAAAAAATCGTTTCCTAACAAAACCTCCGTGTTAATTGAATCGTTTTCGATTGAGATCTAACTTAAAGTGACTAAGAGCATCGTCCCTATTCCCGACCAACATTAGAATGTCCCGTTTTGATTGCAGGATGACACTTCAGGGGATTACAGGAAGGCACTATTGACCCTTATCGAATAAGTTCCTCGTCGAAATATAAGTCACAGTGGTCAGGATGACAACGAATACTAGCCACCTTATTCCAATACTTTAAGTTCTGTTTGTCAATTTGTTAGGTTGTTAAGTGATTTTGCTATGGGCGCAAAACACGTTGACTTCAAAGTTAACAAAGAATCGGGCGACTTTGAGATCAATGTGTTATCATTAGGCCAGGTGTAAAAAAGAGATCTGTATATTTTGCTTCCTTTCACACAATCATGTAATTCTCTTTGCACACAGTAGCTAACGCTTTGTGTAATTGTATACGTGCATGAGGGTACGGTTGTTATTTCGTGTTTTTCCATTAGTCTTATACGTAGTTACGGTTTTCTTTTTCAGGAGGACATAGGAGGTCCCATCGGCCAAATACTGTCCGTACTCTGTTACTAGATATACTTAGTACGGTCTCTAAAAACTCAGTATTACGAGAGAATCGTCACAGGATAACTAACAGAATGCTGTTGTGAAATATATTTATTTTTGTTACTAGTACAGTCACACTTAAATGCTGCATTTTACTATTTTAAAGACATTTATTTTACATTTACATTAATTTAAGCCTAAATTAAGTATAACGAGTGATATATTAATCTCATGCTTACTCGAATGCACGTTATGTATTTTTGTTTTTATAAATTATGGGCCAGTTTCATTATTTTTCTTTTCCGTTTTATAATTTTCGTGAATGTGAGTTGGTATTCCGTATTGTTTACAGGATGACCTAGACGGTGACTTCAAGAGAGTGCTAGTCACACTATGTGCTTAATCCTGCAAAATAATGTCTGTTAACGTCGTTATATTTGTTTTCAAAATTAATAAATACATGTATTTTGTTATGCTTTCGCATGCATTGGTTATGGCCTATAGACTGTTAAAAAGTACAAAGTTATACCTATATTTTGCAGGATGATACGAAGGGAGACTACAAGCGTGTGTTACTCACTCTCGTTTCGTAAGCAAAAGCATAATAATATTTAAGAATACTTATTGAATGTTCGCCTTGCAATGTTCTTGTTCCGGTTTGAAACTGCCTTTACCTTATACCTTTACAATATTGAATTGTTATACGAACTATTTTTGAAATAAAAGCTTGATATTTTTTATGAATGAGATTTATATTTATTGGTGCTCTAGTTTTGTTTCCATACATATTTACATTAAATACTACTTAAAGTATGTATGTTGAGACGCGTTGTTTTATTCTACATCCATTATTCCTTCCTGCGTTATCTGAAATAAAATAAAGAAATACCTAAATTATGAAAAATCCAGAAATGTTGATTCCATATACAGGGTGTACAAAACAATTGGACATCTGATTTAATGAGATAATGTGTATCGAAAATATAACAGATTTACAAAATAATACAATATTAATTAATCGACAAGTAATTGTTAACAACGGCACAGAATTTGTAATTTTTATCGTATTATATATAATTATAAAAAAAATGCATCAGCTGTCCCATTTTTTGAACACCTGTGTATACATATATACAACCTCAAAATTTTCTTTATTTTACCCAGGCAAATGCTTATTTGATGTGTCCGTGATGCTAGCGTACACACGATCGACATACGGCTTTTCGTTATGCCATTTAATACTGCGTAAATAGTGCCAAATTAGTGTAAAAACAAAAAAATAGTGCCTACATAGGCATAGACATTTAAGAATACTAGAAAAAAAGGAGAATAGTAATAGAATATTTTATTATAATCTACAAAACAACAAGTCTAGTCTAAGCTGAGCTTTATGTATTAACAAAGTCAAATCTAAGTACTTGCCTACCGCATTATTTTTACTAACCTTGTACTTGTATTAGCCAGTATTATTGTTCTAACATATTTGATTAACCTTTTGAACGCCACGGTCGGCACTGGACGACAAATGAAAAAGTGCCCAACACGCCACCGTCGTGTATGGCCGACGAGAAAACGACATTTTTAAAACACAAAATAAACATACTAAATCAACTTTTCTGTGTTTCTTTTTCCTATTATTTAAAAGTACTTTAATGATGTATTGTAAAATGGCACGAAGATATATCCATCAGTTACATTTCACTAGCAAAAATTATCACTAAATATTGCTAACCGAAATGGTGTTCTCCTCACGCCACAGTCGGCAAGACACGACAGCTAGTGATGGGTAAGTTAGGTAAATTAAATTTTGAATTTATGAAATATTTTATTGAAAGCAGCTTACTACTACATCGATAATTATTTTTTAATAGCAACTATTTGTATCTGAATATTCTTAATGCGTAATATTTATGAAATTATTGAAAAATGATTACTATTTATATCTATCGATCGATAGTTAACTGTTCACTCTCGCGCATCCCTACGGAACAGCGCATAGACAGTTACCTGTACGCCACAGTCGGGAAGACACGTCAAGCGGTGACGTCATTAGCGCTACGGGAGACTGCTAGTGATTTCCTATCCTATTATAATTTATAACGGGGAGTGTAATATGAATAAAAATGGATAGCAGTCAAATGACTACCGAAGAACTCCTTCGTGTGTTAGGAAGTGTAGAAGAGGATGATGAATTCTCTGAAACCACATCTCTACACGAGGATGATTTAGAGGTGAGTTTTATTTTGTTTTAAATCTTTCTTTAATTGATTTAGGCGGACTTTCACCAACACACGCTAAACGCGTTTAAGACTTAAATCAATTTAGGCAATCATGCCATCTGTGTCATTTATTTGAAATTGACAGTGACAGAAGTAGGATTTAAACGAGATTAGCGTTAAACGCGTTTAGCGTGTGTTGGTGAAAGTCGGCCTAAGTATAGTACCTACGTACCAACAGTTTTTGTTTAATAACATGTAAAACTAGTGGTTCTAGAACAGTTAGACCTCGCTTTGCGTTAGATAAAATGCTTTAATGCAAATTTTAATTAGGTACATTCGAACCAATTGAATCATGACTCACTTTGCTGACCATTCCTTTGTAATCATAAATGTAGTTAAGTTATCTTCGCTATTATTCATGTTGCACTTAGAACGTTTTCAATATGAATAAAATGCGGTATTACGGATCAGATATGTATGCAATTTTAACCTTTGTTATTACTGCATTAGATATGCTTTAGACAAAACAGATCAATTTGAATTTCTATTAAGATGTCATTCATAATCCAAACTCTTTTCACTACGGAGAAAAGGTATTATAATTTAAAAAATAAAGTGACTAGCACTAATAAATAAACTTTGTAGGTAGATGTATTCTAGAAACAGCTTTTCAATTTTTTTACGATACTAAAAAAATAAAAAATTAAGGGGGGGGGTTCCTCATACATGGAACTGAAACTATTTCTTTTTCATCTAACCTTTTTTTTTATTCTTGACGGGGAAACGCTTAGCCTTCATCATAACTGATGTTAAGTATTGATAAGGCTGAAGATGGAATCGCGTTTCTCCCGGAATCCTCAACCACTGAGGACTTGGCTATCTTATCTCTAACTGTCGAAACACAACAATGCTGAAAACATTGTTGTTATGGTTAACCTATTCGTGTGGGGTGCCTATAGATAGGTCTTAGATTTATTAGACTGGCGTGGACCAGAGAGATTGTAATGAGCGATGACCATAATTTGTACATTATATAAAAAAAGCCAAACATTATTATACTCCTCCAGCAGCGTCGTAAATAGTAGTTAGCGATTCGCTTTTGTTTACAGTCTATCACGGATAGTCAAGAAAGAATCAATGTCTCACCTGTCCTGCCATCAACATCTCACACCGGCCAAGAAACACCTGACTACAATAGGGCCTCAACATCTGCATCATCATCAACAACCCACCGTGACCGTCGTCGAAGCCAAACCGAGACGTCCTTCCAGTGGACTTCAGCACAATACGTGGCTGCATTGACTAGCTTTGATGAGTTTGCGTCAGGTCTTAATTTTGAAGTAACAGAAAATATGACTGAATTAGATACTTTTTTAAAATTTTTAGATAAAGACTTTATGTCGTTCATTGTACAAATGACAAATGAGTATCACTCACGTTTTGTACTAAACGTAGACCTTCGTATTCATTCTCGCCTACAAAGGTGGCATGATGTATCTATTCCAGAATTGTACATATTTTTTGCTATATTAATGTTAATGACTCGAAATCGTCATCTGACTATAGAAGAGCACTGGAGTACAGATTTGTTGTTATCATCGCCCATTTTTTCTCAACTTATGCCTAGAAATCGCTTTTGCACAATTCTAAGCATGTTACATTTTTCACGGCCAAGTGAAGAGACTAATGTATTATCTAAAATCAATACTTGCATTAATCACGCTAAGGAAAAGTTTAAAAAAAATATAACACCGTATAAAAATCTATGCATAGACGAGAGCATCGTTCCCTTCAAGGGACGATTATCAATTAAGCAGTATTTGCCAATGAAAAGGAATCGCTTTGGAATAAAGTTGTTTGTAATGTGTGATGTAGAAACAGGCATTATCATTGATTTTATTGTTTACTGTGGCGCAGCTACTCAAATAATAGATCCTTGTAATTTAGGTGTTGGAGGCGCTGTTGTCTCAACTTTAATAAGGGATTATTTCGGTACTTATCGTCATCTATATATTGACAACTGGTATACTAGCCCGGCATTGTAGAATTACCTCCACGAGAATAATATATACGCGTGTGGTACTGTAAAAAAAAACAGAATCGGTATGCCACGCTTTAATACTCTTAAGCCTGGGGAAGTCCAAGCGCAGTATTCTCCTCCAATGACAGCTCTAAAATGGCGAGACAAAAAAGATATATTTCTTTTGTCAACGATTCATAGTGATGTTATGGCGCCGTCATTAAAAGAGGACAGAGCGACGGGGCTCCCAGTTATGAAGCCACAAGCCGTTTTGGATTATTCCAAAAATATGGGAAGCATTGACACGGCTGACATGCTACTGTCTTCTATACAGTGCATAAGGAAAACCGTAAAATGGTACAAAAAGTTGTTTCTGCACATAATTGATATGCACGTATTGAATTCTTTTTTCAGTTTTCGGCAAATAAAAAACATGCCAAATTTACATTTTTCACAATTTCAGTTGAGTCTTATTCGCCAAATTATAGAAAATTTTCATTCTTTCAATACTTTACCTTCATCCATAAGCAGCAGCCACAACAATCCACTGCGCATACTACCGAAAAACTACAACGATCACATGCCGACCCTTATGGGCAAATACCAACGCTGTAGGCAATGTGCAATTAAAAAAGAGAGAAAAGAAACACGGTACACTTGTAAAATATGCAAAGTGTATTTATGTGCTGCTCCATGTTTCAAAAAATATCACTCTTAATTAATTATTCTGTTTATTTTTAGACAATGATGATCATTTTAAATTTTTTGTTATTTTTTTGCATTTACAATGCTATTCTGTCTGGAAAATAATATACCAGAAAAAAACAACCGGTCAACCATGGAGCTCAGCTGGGATTCGAACCCAGAACTTTTCGCTATCCGGGCGACTGCTCTAACCATTGAGCTACCGAGGACCTAGCTAAACTCGTCGAATTTTTCCAGTATATTTGCACTTCAACGTTTAAGCCAACGTTACAACGTTGGGTTCGAATCCCAGCTGATGAGCTGAGCTCCATGGTTGACCGGTTGTTTTTTTTTTCTGGTATATATTTTCCACAATGATGATCATATTTTTTAAATACGCTTTTTTAAAACGTTTACTTTTTTATAAGTACCTACAATACGGAATTTTGAAATATATTATTTATATTTATGTTACAATCTAGTTTTACCAATGTTTTGTTAATTTGCTGTGATAAGATAATTTAAGATTAATTACATAGGTTACAAAACAATCGATATCGTGTCCCGCTTCACTATTTCGCGATTGGTCGGCGGCGGCCGAGACTCGCTCGCTCGACCGACAGTATTCGGCAGTGACGAGTGTTCGTGACACGTGTGTAGAATTAATAAGTGGATTATTACCTTTTTTTTGAGTTGAAATGGCGTCCAAGAGTATGTGGCCTTCGAAACGCTATTTATTTACGGCAAGTTGTGATTTTATTACATAATACTTACTGTTATTTGTTTTAAATTTATAGGAAAAATTGACGAGAGCCAGTCAATTTTGACTACCGCTCACTATAGCCAAGACGAAGTAGACGTCATGGACTTGCCATCAACAATATGCGATAGCGAATATCATGCCTATTGGCCAGAGTGTCAGTCGCAGTTACGAAGCTGCGATAGTACGCCAGATCTTTATAGATCTACTGGGACACAAACTTTATTAAAGACTACAAATAAAAGTACACAATGCGAGCGAATTGTAAGTCCAATCAAAGAAACTGCACAAATTTTGGCTGACGGTTATTTTGCTGGAGATGAAACTCTTAAAAAGAAGTTTATCGAATGCTACATAAATGTGGTCTCGTCCATAATTCGTGTCATCGATAAATAATATTTTTACAGTTTAGTTTAATAAAAAATAAACCTCTAATTTGTTCGACTGATTATAATAAATAAGAATTGTTCTGCGATTATTTGACTGATGTTATGTTAATAACAAGAAATGATAGCTGTGATTACTTAATTGCTTATATAATAAGTAGTAGGTAAAAGTTGTATTTGTGATAATTTAACTGATTTTACAATAAGTATTAAGAAGTTGTATCTGTGATTATTTGACTAATGTTATATTAATAAGAAGAAATTATATCTGTGATTGATTACTTGACTGATTTAATAATAGTAAAAGTTGTGTTTATGATAATTTAACTGATTTTACACTAAGTAATAAGAAGTTGTATGTTTATTTGACTGATTTTATATTAATAAGAAGAAATTATATCTGTGATTGATTATTTATCTGATTTAATAATAGTAAAAGTTGTATTTGTGATAATTTAACTGATTTTACACTAAGTAATAAGAAGTTGTATGTTTATTTGACTGATTTTATATTAATAAGAAGAAATTATATCTGTGATTGATTACTTAACTGATTTAATAATAGTAAAAGTTCTAGGTATGTGATTATTTTACTGATCTTATTAGGCTGTAGAAAATTGTGTTTGTGGTCAATCAATAAAACTTTCAAGATCTGAACGCTTTTGTTTCATTGGGTTACCAAAATACCTACTTATATTAGAAATTTCATTAAGTGCGCGAAGGCACTTTTGAGCTCCTAGATTGAACTACTGTTCTAAACAAATGAAATTAAAAAAAATAGAATGTTATCTCTTAAATAGTCGAATAGTTCGTAGCGGCCTCTGATTTTTTAGATGTCATTGATTTTACTTAGAAATTATTCTAAACCAAAAAACGTCGAAATTCGCTTTAAGATCGCTGTGAATCTCACCTATACGATAATATTATTGAACAAAATTTATACCAGAATAATTGTTACTTCATAATATTTTATAATGAATTTATTATCTTATTTCGATAAAAACTATAAATACAACTGCAAAATTACTACAAAATATGTGCCGGCCGTCCGAACTCAGCTTTTTCTCGCAGAGTGAAAATTTGTTATACTAAGCATGAATTTATTATCCTATTTCCATAAAAACGATAAATACAACTGGAAAATTACTATAAAATGTGAAAAGGGGCATTTTACGCAAAAATCATGATCGAGATGTAACAGGCCTCTTTAAGTAAAAACGGAGAAAATCAACTAAAGCTAAGTAATTAGTTAGTACTCTAATAGACAACCCTTTCTTTACCTTGTTGTTTATAATTTATAATAATAATTATAAGTTTACTTGAAATGTCACATCATTACCTCGCACGCAAGAAAGCTGTCAAAGGTCGTGCCAACCACGCCAGAGTCGGGTCTTCCCGACAGCGAATGCCTACACGAACGAGATTAGTGATGTATCTTATTATTACCTAATTTATTCGTTTGTAGTTCTAATGTCTACTTTTACTTTGTATAGAATTTTGTAACTGCTGTTAAATAATACGAAATCAAAAAAATATATTTTATTTCAAAAATATGTGACGAATAGCAGAGATTAAATCGGTTATTGACAACTTATCGATAACATCGTTGGCATTCCTATTTTATTTGTAGGTATTTGCTCTGAATTTATGGCTTGGCGTGGGAAGGGCGCCGATGCGTTTGAGCTCTGGCGTTCAAAAGGTTAATAAAAACTTTAATATTTTTATTTCAAGCATTAAACTGTTTGAAAATTAATAAACGGAAAGAAAATTTTACTTAAAAAAAATACCTACCTATTATGTTTTTATTTATTTTTAATGCTATAGTCTGTTTCAGAGGCAGGCGTAAAAACGTACAATGACCTTATAGGGGCAAACAACCTTTTTTTCTTTTATTGATAAATTGTATAATTAAAAATAATATAATAATTATATTATTTTTAATTTTTAGCATTAATCTGCTAATTTTAGATGAGGTGCTCGTTAGCGTAGTGGTTAGCGCAGCCGCCCGGATTGCGCAAGGCGCGTGTTTGATTCCCACCTGTTTTTATTTTTTCTAGTTTATATTTTCTTGAGAAAAAATATCCGAAATATGCGACATCTTACGCTTCTTTCGTGGTGACAGAAAACTTTTAACCGGTTTTGATGTCGACGGGGCCGGCTCCATGTCGCTTGAAAAACGATATTCGTTGTAATACAAAACCAATATAACAAAAAAACTTAACACAAATCGTAACAAACAAAATTAACATAAACTTAACACAAAACCTAACAAACTAAATTAACAATAACAAAATTAATAACAAATGATCGAAATTAAAGGAACGATAAACAAAACCAACCACACGCGAGCGCATTCCAAAGCGGAATGCGTGTTGCTCCGCTCCCTCCACAACACAACCCGCGTCCACGCAAATCCCAAACAGGTTTTTAAACTCTGAACGACCGCGTCGCTCAACTCACCCCGTACCACGAAACACGGTACGATGCTTCAGCGACCGAAATATATGACGAGCGATACGTATCGGTTTCTGTCGATAGTAACATAATACTTCGGGCCAATGCCCTTTTTTCCGCCTGCTTTAGAAACAGACTTTAGTTGTTTAAATCTAAAGAAAAGTTTTACTAGAAAAACGCTGCCTTGTAGCTTAAGGCTAGGAAAATTTCGATGCGGTCATCAGGACCGTGGTAGCATAATTGGTCAGTGCATTCGCCCGGATTGCGAAGGGTTCGAGTCCCGTCCGCTGCCTGGTCCGCGTGGATTTTTTCTAGTAAAACTTTTCTTTTTTAAAAAAAAAATATTACATAATATGAAAATTCTGGCGAATTGACGCCATCAGATATTAATTTTCTTTAAAATAATTTGCTTATTCCGATTTTTACCTATTCATTTATTTAATTTATTGCCTTTTTATGACTTAAAAAAGCTACTTTTCGTAAACTAATGAAATTGTTATCAATGAACTTATAACAGTAAAAGCAACGAATTTTGATGGATAGATATTTCATATCACCAATCCCCCGTTGGCTTCCCGCCAAATACTAAACATATTACACTGAAAGAAACTACTATAATAACTTGGCCACATTCCAAGACTTCAATCAATGGAAGCTTGTAATGATCCAAAAATGTAAACATGTCAATGTCATGCTATAATAATAATATGATGACTGAATAGTAATTTTTTACCGGATTTTGAATTCCTCGATAGTCGTTAAAAAATAATGGTTGGTGAATATTGCTATCATATACCTATTTACGACGTACCGAATCAGTTAAGGAATTCTTTCAACTGTGGCATTTTCAAATTCACATACAATAAGTATAATATATAATCAACATTCCATAGTCATTAACTAAATAGGTACCTCTTTATATTACGTCCACTATAGCAAAGCATACTGACCCTGAATCGTGCAACGTTGTTAGGTGAATCATTGCTTTTGAGACACACAGCGGCCCTAACGCTTGGGTCAGCGTCATCATCGTGTTTCGACAGCAACACACGCTTGTTGCAGCGGTGAGCCCACGCGTCGCCCAGGGAGCCCACTATGTCGCCACCGGAGAGCCCTACACGAGTAGTCATTTCGTTTGTCACCACTACCTGATCAAAACAATAACGATAGTGATACCAGCCTATTAATGTCCCCACTGCTAGGGAACATGCTTTCCCAATAGATAAAATAGGGAGAATGGGCCATGACCTACCATGCAGGCCCAGTGCGGATTGGATACTGCTTACGACTGCAGATGCGGCAGTCTTAACATGCCTTCCGAAGCACGGAGGTTTTCTAGATAATAAATTTTTGTTTACCTATTCAATGACCGGCTATTAAGAAACTTGCTTAACTTCCACGATAAGATAATATCATCTTAATTCGTTCAGCCGTTTTAGCGTGATTAACAAACATTCAAAATGTTAAAAATTATTTAGGATGGTGTTGGATAAGTCATTGCTATGTCTCAAGATGATACAAAGCGACCCTATCGCTTGGGTTAGCGTCGCCATCGTGTTACCCAGCATCACGCACTTGTTGCAGCGGTGAGCCCACGCGTCGCCCAGGGAGCCTACTATGTCGCCACCGGAAACCCTACGCGAGTAGTAATCTCGTTTGTCACCACTACCTGATCAAAACAATAATGATGATTGTAACAGCCTGTTAATACCCAATAGATGGAATAGGCCATAAATATAGGATGGTGCTAACGACTGCTGAAGATGCAGAAGTCTTAACATGTAGGACTGATTTCAAAAATTCTTTTACTATTAGATTGCTACATTCTTCCCCAGGAACATACCTAAGGCAGCATTGTTTCACCGATAGTAAAGTTCGACGATAGTTATATCCTATAGAAAACTACACATTTAGTATGTTTTTGACGTAGCATTCAGTAACTATAATCAAACTTTCGATGAAATAACGCGATCTCAAATTATATTTTAACGCGTTAAATTAAGTTCAGCCGTGCAGAGCCAGCCGGGATGGATCACTAGTCTTAATATTATAAATGTGAAAGTTTGTTATTCACGCAAAAACGACTAAAAGAATTAGGAAACGCATATAGTTTCTTAACTGAACCCTTAGTACGAGTTTGAGCTCACGAAAACTATCATAGTTTTAGTAATTGTAAATTATGTTTCTATGTCCATTTTGGGAAAAGTAACCAAATATAGTCGAAATTTAAGAAGATGCAAATGATTTAATGATAGAATTTAAACACTGTTTATTTGTATTGAAATGAAAACAATAAAATCAGTACGAGTGCGAGCTCACATAAAACTATCATAGTTTTCGTAATTGTAAAACTCGTACTAAGGGTACTGGTTTGAGACAATGGAATCTTTTTAACCCAGTAAAATCCAAGCTCCTCTGGGATTCTCAAAAGCTGATTTATAAGGCGGACACAGCCGCGGCGCGGGCGGAAGCTTTCTATGTGCAAGTTTGTGATTTGTTACTCAATCACGCAAAAATGGCTGAACGGATTTTAATGAAATTTGGCACTCATATAGTCTATTACCTGGATTGAGACAAGAACACTTATTATCCCGTAAAATTCATGTTGTTTATAATTCATATATGTTGACGCCAAGGCTCTGAATGATCTGCAGCGGCAAATTCGTCGGGTTCAACGCTGTTAACTTTTTTTTTCTATTCAATTTTTAAGCGCGTAACGATCAACTGTACCTTTACTCTTCTCTTCAAATATAATTGTTAAACAGCGAATTAATATTATTTATTTCGAGTTCTGCGTTATTTAATCCAAGAAATCCTCCGCTACATAAACTGGACCTTCGGAACCGGATACAAAACACGAAGAAAGCGACCTATGCGAAAAAGCGACTTAAGCGAGTAGACGGAGTGACTGCTCGTCTTGGATCATTTGCAAAATATCTGCTAATATCTTCCTCAAAAAGCGATCAGAAGCAACCCTTAGCTGTGCGGAAAGAGAAATACCTTATTCTCGTCTGGGTGTACCTGCAGAACTGTAAGTACTCCGTATATTTTCACTATCCACCAAAATGAGCAACGATAAATTGGTAGTTCCCGAAAAATCACCTAATTCAAATAGCGACAGTGAAATTCATGCATTAAATAAGAAAAGAGGGGTAATACGGGGTAGATTAACGCTTTTATAAAATATATTAATGGCTTAGATGCACAGGAACTACTTTCAAATTTAAATAAACGGTCAGAATTAGAAATGCGAATTCAAGGGGCTTCGATGTTTTTTAATGAATTTAGCGCTATTCAATCTGAGATAGAAAACTCAGTAAACGAACATGAGCTTTTTAAACAATTAGAATTGCGTGAGGGTTTTGAAAGCTTATATTATGCGACCAAGCACAAGCTAAAAGCTTACTTGCGTCTGGTGAGATCGCTACTAGCACTAATGCTAATTTACATGCAGTAAAATTGCCTACCATCGCTATGCCTACCTTTGATGGTTCATATGAGCATTGGTTGGAGTTTAGAGACACATTTCTGTCCCTCGTTCATAATAATAAAGATATCTCGCCTATACAAAAATTTCACTATTTAAAATCCTCTCTAAAAAGTGTGGCAGCGCTTGTAATAGATTCTTTGGAATTTTCTTCAAACAATTATACGGTAGCTTGGGAATTAATTTGTAACCGTTACAATAACACTAGGTTGTTGGTTCATAACCATGTTAAGGCCTTATTTTCAATTCAAAATATTGTAAAAGAGTCACCTGGTCAAATTCGAAAACTAATTGATACCATTTTAAAAAATTTACGCGCTTTGAAACTGTTACATGAGCCGGTAGATTCATGGGATACACTCATAATTTATATGGTAGTTTCAAAATTAGACAATATTACCGAACGCGAATGGGAAAAATACAGGGGTTCGATTCCCATGGACGGTTTGAAAGATATACAACCTTCAATAAAATTAGAAAATCTAATTAAATTCTTAAAAGACAGGGCCGACATGTTAGAAACTTTACAGGTTACACACAGTCACAATTCGAAAACGTATCCTAAAGAGGCGCATAATTCCAAAGTGCACTGTCATGTTTTGCCTAGTACGAATCACAACAATTCACATCACTTTAAATCATCACGCAGCTGTGTAGTATGCAACGGCGATCATCCTATTTACACATGTAATACGTTTAATAAATTCACTTTACACGAAAAGCTTAAAGTGATTGAGAACAAAAACTTATGCCGGAACTGTTTGCGAGCGGGACATTCATTAGCAAACTGTAGATTCAGCTCCTGTCGCAAATGCAATCAAAGACATCATACAATGATTCACAGCGATCAACTGATCACTCCTGCGCCCGCGACGGCTGGCCCGCTCGATAAGGAACCGGTTTCCCCGCCCGGCTGCAAGACGGGAGCTAATGCGACAGCCGATGGATGCACGTATATTCATACAGCACACTTAGATAATCATTTAATACAAACCGACGAGTTATATAGTGTGCAATCAGTATTATTATCAACCGCGTTGGTTGAAGTAACAGGCAAAAGCGGTAAGCGTCAGGTCGTGCGCGCTTTACTTGACTGCGGTAGCGAACGCAGTTTTATTACGAAAAAATTATGCGATGATTTGAACTTAAATACGATACAGTCCATTTTTCAAATAAAAGGCGTTGGTAATTCGTTATCTCATAGTACTCAATCGTGCACTGTTGATATAAAAGCGTTAACAAATTCATTCATCATGCAGATACAGTGTTTAGTTTTACCTCAAATCACTTGTTCTTTACCTCCTATTACTATTCAAAGAGGCGTTCTGCAATCCTTACAGCTACCAGATAACATACAATTGGCAGATTCTACATTTTTCCAAAGCCGGCCTATTGATATGTTAATTGGTGCTGATGCGTTTTGGAACATATTAAGCGAAGGAAAAATGCGTTTAAAACAAGGGCCATTCCTACAGAATACAAAGTTAGGATGGATCATATCGGGAACTATTTATTTTAATAACTTGAAAAGCGATGATTCGGTGCTGTGTAATTTTAGCCAGTCTGTTGATTCACAGTTAAGAATGTTTTGGGAACTAGAAGAGACTCCAAAACCTATGTTACTTAGCGACGACGAGGTAGCTTGCGAAAAACACTTTCTTGAAAACACAAAGCGTACAGCGGATGGTAGATTTTGCGTTAAAATTCCTTTCAAGCGTTCATTAGATAATTTAGGCGATACTTTTCTATTGCGGAGCGTAGTTTTAAGGCGCTCGAAAAGAGATTACAATACAATCCTTCTTTTAAAAAAATGTATTCGGATTTTATTCATGAGTATCAAAGTTTAGGTCATATGTCTAAAATTGATACATATTCTAAACCATATTATTTCATGCCTCATCATGGGGTGTTTCGTGATCATAGTACAACAACAAAATTGCGAGTGGTTTTTAATGCGAGCCAAAAGTCAAGTTCAAATGTGTCACTTAACGAATTGCAATTAATCGGGCCTCCCATACAGGGCGATTTGTTTGCCATTCTGCTTAGATTCCGGCAGTATCAGTTTGCAGTTTGTGCTGATATTGAGAAGGCTTACAGACAGTGTTTAATTAATGAAGAACAACGAGACCTCCAAATGATCGTATGGCGTGACAATCCTAGCGACCCTTTGGAGTGTTACAGGTTAAACACTGTTACGTATGGTACTGCCTCGGCTCCTTTTCTTATGGTGAGATGTTTAAAACAATTAGCAGCAGAATGTAATGACCCGGACGTCAAATTAATAATTAATGAAGATTTTAACGTAGACGATTTGATTTTTGGGTTTGATTGTCGTCAACGTTTGTTACAATTATGCGAGCAGATTAAAAACGTTTTGGCATCTCGTTGTTTCCCTTTGCGTAAATGGGTATTCAATTTTGATACAAATAGTTTAAGCAATATTAAAAAGAATCTTTCATTAGGCGAAAATAATAATTGTCGTACATTAGGTTTGGGTTGGGATAATATGAGTGACGAGTTTTATTATCATACGCAATTTAAAAGCACTACGTCACGGATCACAAAGCGATTCATATTGTCCAGTGTTTCTCAAATAGTTGACCCACTTGATTTACTTAGCCCAGTAATAATGAGAGGCAAAATATTGTTACAACGGTTATGGTTACTAAAACTGGATTGGGACGATGCCGTTCCTAGTGACATAGCGAGAGAATGGTGTATATTTGAGAAATGCCTACCCATATTGAACCATTTGCGGATACCACGTTGCGTTATAGGTCCTAAAAGTAGCTATATCGAACTTCATCTATTTAGCGATGCCTCGCAGATGGGTTACGGTGCGTGCGCATATATTCGTACTGTTCATGCAGATGGTACGATACTGACTAGACTTCTCTGTTCAAAGGGCAAAGTTGCACCTGTAAAGCCAGTTAGTATTCCCAGATTGGAACTATGCGGTGCCTTACTTAGCGCTAAATTATTTGAAAGGGTAACTGCCTCGCTGCGTTGCACCTTTCGTAATACGTTTTTCTGGACCGATTCCACTATTGTTTTGGGCTGGCTTCGCACGACGCCAAGTCTACTAAAAACTTTCGTTCAAAGTCGAGTTGTTGAAATACGCGAGTTGACAAAAGAAAATCCATGGTGTCATATCAATGGTAAAGACAACCCAGCCGATTTAATTTCACGAGGTTTGGCGTTAGATTTATTAAGCGAATCCGATCAATGGTGGACCGGACCAGAGTTTCTTCGCGAATCGTACTTTGATTATGCATCCGCGTCTAAATTCAACTTAGAGCAAGAGCTGCCTGAAATAAAAAATGTGACACACGCTCTTGTTACTACAAATGAAAATAAGCAATTTAGATTTCCATTCCATAAGTTCTCGCAACTCGATCGTCTGGTTCGTGGCGTTGCTCGCTTGAAACGTGCTTGTTATAATAGAAGTTCAAATAATAAAAACAATATACGCACCGGGCCACTTTCTACCGATGAACTAAAAATATCCCTTAATTTATTGGTTAGATTTTCACAGATGGAATCATTTCCAGATAGTTATGAACTATTAATTAATAAAAAAATATTACCACATAAACATAATTTATTGAATTTAAGCCCGTTCATCGACGACTATCAGATTATACGCATTGGTGGTCGACTTGGCTCCTCTGAATTTGAATATAATAAAAAGCATCCTATTCTAATATCATTCAAACATCGATTATCAGTTATTCTTTTTGAACAAGATCATCTTAAATTATTACACGCTGGCTCTCAGCTACTTTTGTACACAATTCGAGAAAATTGGTGGCCGATAGGAGGACGCAACCTTGCTAGAAAGGTAGTTAATAACTGTGTTAGGTGTGCGAGGTTGAGGGCTAAGACACCTGAACCTATCATGGGTAATTTACCCAAGGACCGACTGACTCCAGGCTATCCTTTTAGGATCTGTGGTGTTGATTATGCGGGGCCGGTGCTCATATTAAACAGAAAGGGTAGGGGAGCTAAGACTATTAAAGCATACATATGCTTATTCGTATGTTTTTCTACTCGTGCTATTCATTTAGAGTTGGTTAGTGATCTCACAACCGACGCTTATTTGCTTGCTTTAAAAAGGTTTATTTCTAGGCGTTCAAAACCATCACAAATTTATTCTGATAACGGCAAATGTTTCGTTGGGCTCATGAATGAATTCGCAAAATTTATTTCTAATTCGTCAGATAAAATTATTAACTATGCATCTAGTCAAGGTATTAAGTTTAGCTTTATCCCCCCTTATGCGCCTCATTTTGGTGGATTGTGGGAGGCCGGAGTCAAGAGCTGTAAGTATCATCTCCGGCGAGTAATAGGTAATGCACACTTGACATTCGAGGAGTTCACTACTATGTTGGCGCAGATCGAGGCGGTACTGAATTCCCGACCTTTGACTCCACTTTCTTCAGACCCCACAGACATGTCACCTCTCACCCCTGCACATTTTCTCATCGGTCGACCTCTCACTGCCCCTACTTGCACTAATCTAGAAGATAGACCCATGCATCGTGTGACAAGGTATCAACGGGTTGAGCAAATGCGACAACACTTTTGGAGGCGCTGGTCCCTTGAGTTTGTTTCGGAGCTGCAGACGAGGTCGAAGTGGAAAACGAATAAGTCTAGCATAGAAATCGGAACATTGGTGGTCATTAAAGACACAAACGCACCACCATTAAGGTGGAACTTGGGCAGAGTGACTAAGGTTTATCCTGGCAACGATGGCATTTCGCGCGTTGCTGATATCCGGACTGCATCTGGAATTGTGAGGCGAGCATTCTCGAAGATATGTCCACTTCCAGTAGAAACCAAGGAGCATCATTGAAAGCTACAGCTTCCAAGGCCGGGGGCATGTTGACGCCAAGGCTATGAATGATCTGCAGCGGCAAATTCGTCGGGTTCAACGCTGTTAACTTTTTTTTTCTATTCAATTTTTAAGCGCGTAACGATCAACTGTACCTTTACTCTTCTCTTCAAATATAATTGTTAAACAGCGAATTAATATTATTTATTTCGAGTTCTGCGTTATTTAATCCAAGAAATCCTCCGCTACAATATACCTCACAGGTCAAAGTGGAATACAAATTCAGTACAAGAAATATTTGATTGAAGACCTATTCTAACCATGACTAGTCTATTAGCACAGTTTGACAATACATAAGTTACAAGGACATTAAAATATGAAACTTACAGCAATTTGCTTTTCTACAGCTAATCTCTGTAATTCCGCCATCTGCCTGAATAATAAACCTGTCCTCTGACTGGGTGTTATTCCCTCTTTGAATGGAAAAGCAATTGAATCAATCACAATTAACCTTATCTGAAAAAATAACAAATTCTGTGTCTTACCATAAAGTATCTATGAAAACTTTGACAGCCTTATTACAAAATGCGGATTTTAGTTAGTCTTGGTTTAAACCTTAAGTTATCTGTCTTCTTTTTAGCAAACCAAAGTGACAGTATCAGTTTTAGTCCAGGATTAACTTTAATCTATGTTTTGTAATAAGGCGGCAATATTTAAATAGTAAATTGGAATAGAATACTTAAGGGTACTAATATTATAACAATATATTGTTCCTACTCAACAATACTGATAATAAGTTCTTAAAAAGCAATGAAAACAAAAGTGGAAAGTTATTTCATTATTGGACATATGAGTAGATAATGGACAAGTTGGCCCATGAGAAAAGGGAAATTTACATATTTTATCATTCTGACCTGAAGTTTTTCAATTAAATTAGGGAGTCTGAGCATGAATGCGCAATATTTCTCTAAGCCAAATGCATTAACATAATGCAACTTATTTAGTGCAGCCTCTTCATTGATTTCTGTTGGTGAGTCTAGCAGTCTGTTGCACTTTTCTAGAGACCCTATTAAAATATCTAAAATAAAAAAATAGTCATAAATTAATAATAAAGTAAACTTTACCTAAACCTTATACCTAGAATAAAAAAATAAGATACACCAAGTAATTGTGGAATATGAAAATATTATCGCGAATGATCTCAATTGTCATTAAAAATGTCATATCTGCGCCAACTATATGGATGTTAATAGGCTCTAGTCATTTAAGGTATCAGTGTATCTTAATACTTTTTGCAAATTCTATGGACATACTGGATATTCATTTAATTTTTACAGTGAATATGATAATGTTAACATAGCAACAAGAATGACACATGTTGCATACACTGTTGGGACCTCCAATACTTAAGTAAACATTTTCATCCATCTCAGCCATGAACATCCTTACTTAACAGGATGAAGAAAACATATAAAATAAGTAGTTACCTCTGAATCTTTCAGGTGTAAAGTTAGTATTTGTGTCTATGTACAGGGCTTCTGCATCCAGCCCGCCGAGAACTTTGGGGATTTGCACTGCTGCACATAGCTGCATACTGAAAGTTTGAAAACACCTCTCAGAATTTTATTAACATTAGCTACCTATATGAATATCATATTTCTGTGCTTCTCCAAAGTCAACCTGAATAGAAAATACATGGTTGCAAAAACCACGGCAATCAAATATTAGCGTTTACCTTATTTGCGTTTTTCCAGTTCCTGGTAAGCCCAGTAACTCGGTCAAAGAACATAATTGAACTCCATCGTCACCGAAAACTTTATCAAGACTTTGACTAAATGTGGGAATTGCTGGTAGACTAGTATCTCTCTGAAAAAGTTTAAGTATTGTATTTACAAACATTTTTAAATAAATACTTACTTTCGATTCATAAGTTTATAACCTCAACCTCTTAAGTTTACACACCTGCCATAATTCAGCCGCGTTAACAATGCTAATGGACATTATAATTTAGCTTTTTTAATACTACAGTAGGTGCAGTTTTAATACCACATTTACAGCACAAAACATTAATTAAATTCATAAAAACTTTGTTTGGCTGTTTGTTTATGTTTACATTTCTTTTTTTTTTGGTTACGTTCTCCCTTTACAGGGAAGGCAAGGGGAACAATGCCCATACAGCCTAGCCTTAAGTTAAATTATTTTGTTTTTCTTTTTACATTAAAATGTCGGTGTGACGCATTCTAATGTTTCTTGAAGTGTTTGGCACGAAATGTATCGAGCTGGCTTTTTCGATACACTTCTGTGAGGTAGTCAATACTACAATAAAATTCTCACGTCCACTTGACCGGAATAGCGTATATTTTGACGATTCTACTAAGTCTTCAGTTACGCAGACAGTTGCAACACAAAATCACACCAATTTAATTTCACAATATCCACCATGAACGAATTTAAGAATATTTAAAATAAGACGCCATCCACACTCGATGAAATCCCGCCAAAAAAAACACATTTCTTTTTTGTATTTCTCCCCCATCCCTTTTTAGGGAAGGCAAAGGAAACAATGCCTATACAATCTAGTCTTCAGATTTCTTTTTTTTATTTTTATTAGAATGTGGGTGTGACGCTTTATAATGTAATGTGAAGTAGTCAACACTACAATAAAGTTCTCATGTCTACTTGACCGGAATAGCGTATATTTTAAATATTCCAGTAATTCTTCAGTTATGCAGAGGTTGTAACACAAAATCATACCAATTTTAGTTAACATGATTCACTATGAACGAATTTTATACGGCGCGGCGTAGAGTCGACATGAGCAAGAAACACGGATGGTGTTTCTTGCTTATTGCCTTATTAATAAACGAGGAATAAGCTTAGACTAGTTACCCCGTGTTTTGTTCATATCACTCAAATGTCATTTGTCATTCGATGAACAGAGACTAAACATATTGTAACTAACTAAGCTTATTCTTCGTTTATTAGTAAGGGGATAAATGTTTCTTGCTAATGTCGACTCTACGCCATTTTCTGATAGGGACCGTTTAGCGCACTGTAATGCCAATAGAAAGCATTGCGTCTCAGGTGTTTACACCTGAATTTTATTAATAATGGTGTTGACACCTGAGACCCATTAACAAATATGAAATTGGAATAACTTTCAATCTGTCCAACAAGGCACATGTTTTCCTATTCAAGCTCCAAGCTAGGTCTCTTCGCAACAACTCCGGTATCTGACACCGAAATAACTGGTGTGCTGAAATCTTTACCTATAGATTTGTCTCATATATTTTTTTCATTAATAGGTAGTTCGAGAAATGTTATTTAGGTGAAGCGCTTCATGTAAGGTGTACGAGATGAGAGCGATCTGACCCGCTTTATTTCGACGCAGGCTGTTGCCGTTACATTTGCATCCACATAGCTTCCGGAGTATGTTTAATTAGACTCTTGGTGTCAGTAGGTCAGTGCATATTTTCCTCCTTTGAAGCAATATTTACGATGTCTAAGATTTGGATACATTGCAATGTTCTGCAAAACCAATGAAGTTTATTCTATATGCACCGGCAAACATTACTTCAAAAAGTGTGAATAAAACAATCCGAAGGCCGACGTGCGTTAGTTGTGGTGATAGCCACATAGCGATTTCAAAACTATGTCCCATTAAAAAACAAAAAATCGAAAAAAAAAACACGCACAGCAAAATACTCCAAATTGCTAAATAAAAAAGCTTCCCCACAACTAAACGCCAGTAATTTGAAACTCAGCTAACAAAATGTCTAAATCTGAACGTTTTATGGATGTTGGTGTTGGTTATTTTCGTTTATAGGTATTATTATGCTTCATTCTACGGTTTTGCGTAAAAAGTTATGTTTCTATTATAGTTTTCACCTACCTTTTTATTTCTTAGTGATATTTAATAAATGTACATTAAAAAAAGGAAAAGAGAACAACACACTTTAATTATTAATAAAAACAAGAAGAGTAATAAAAAATGCTTCAAAAACCATTATTAATAAAATTCAAAAAAGTAAAATAATAAAGACCAGGCTGTATGGGCATTGTTCCTCTTGCCTTCCCTGAAAAGGGAACACTAAAAAAATTAAAAACAAACCAAACTGACAGTCTGACACTTGCTAACACTCGAGAACGAGAAAAGAACTTAAATTGTATCTAGGTATCGCACATACAAATATAATTAAAATGAATCATAATCAAATGAATATGCATGTACCAATGAATCCTGTTGGTGGCGCTCCAAATGTAGGTATGCAAATGCAAGTACCAGGTCCAATAATGCAACAGCAGTCTCCTCAACAAATCCAACCAGCTATGCCCCAACAAACGCAACAGGATAAAATGGACAATATATCTAAAGTTAAGACACTTATGGGATCCTTAAGAGAATCTATTCCAGTAAGTATTGGTAGTAAAAGCTTGGTTTGAATAACTATGCCAATCGACTTAAACTTAATTTTTGAAATGTTATTGTTAACAAGCCTTTTAGAAGTTTATTACATGGATACATTCACACAGAATAACCAGCCATACATTTCATACTTGTGCGACATTGTTATAAATTATATAGCTGGACATATACAATCTGAACCCCTTCTAAGCCGAACATCTCTGTAATCCCAACAGAGTTAAATTCGAGAGTTTGTATTAAAGAGGTCCTGCAGTACATTGATACAATTCTGAAAATTAAATTAAATATATCTAAGGTTATTGGCAGGGATTTGAGGTGTGAACATATGGTATTGATAGGGCAGCATAGTTGAACAACCTCTTGTTAAGTTACATTAACTATTCAGCAATTAGAATAAGCACTGTTTACATAGTATGTTTATGACTAATTGTTCTGATTTCAAAGTATGTAAGTAGGTGCCTGACCAGAGTATTCCAACTATCACAACTAAATAATGGAAAACTCAAAATTTCCTCTCAAGAGTCTATGTTCAAAACTTCAAACCTTTAAACATTGTAGTTGTTGTTTTCTTCTTATGATAAATGGTTCTTTTTTATTACAGATGACATTGAAATCAGCTGCTCAAATTCTGCATCAGAATCATAATGTTGACTCTAATTCACAGTAAGCTATATTTTTACTGTTTGATATGCATGCAGATGTTGCCTACTCCAAGGAAAGATCTCAGTTCCAAAGTGTATTAAGATCTTATAGCCTAAAGTTCCTTTTTGAAATTGGCAAAATGTTATGCTACTTAGACCTTCTAATTTTGAATAGTTTATTTAGCTACCAGTCTTCAGGCATACAAGAGCACACTTGTCCAACAAATGCTCCGATTCCCCACTGCATCAGATATAACAGAACTAAATAAAATAATTATTTAGATTAATTACATAGCAACACCTATTTTCTCAGTAATTTAATTTAAACAATAACGAATGTGCAATTTGATGTTTCAGAAAAGGTATGGAAAATGCTGTTCCAAGATTTGATAAGAATCTAGAAGAGTTCTTCTCACTGTGTGACCAGATGGAATTGCACTTGGTATGTAATAGGTCATCATCAGCCTATTAATATTCAACAGTAAGGTCTGTGACCCTGCTGTATTGGTGCCTGTGTTGGTGGAATAGGGAGACTGGTCCATGCCTCACCACGTGGGCCCATTGTGGATTTGCCAACAGCTTGACTTGCCTTCGGAAGCACGGAGGTGCTTGAGATAATAAGTTATTGGTAACCCATCCAATGACCGACCATTGCGAAAGTTGCTTATTAACTTTCACGATCACAGGCTCAATGTGCTAACCACTTGCGCCATCGAGCTAAGCTAAGGTGTAAGCCATATATATAACTATCATTACATAAGACAAGGTTACCGGAGTAATCTACTAGAGTAGGGGACTCTAGTAGATGAAAACTATCTGCCTCAATGAAGTAGACAAAAAAAAACTTTAACTTTATTAAATATATCTAGTGCTAATTATCTGGTCATTTTACTCAATTTAAATGTTTTAGATGTCAAAATTTAATGACAATATAGTTATGTAATGCTGTACATATCTCTGTCACATTTAATGCCAATATAGTTATGTATTAGCCGCGCCAATAAAGAAACGAATCTAAAATGGCGGCGGCAATCATGCGCTCTTACTCAAAACTATTGCTGTCTTTAGTCGCACACGGCGCGTACTGCATGCAAAAAAAATATCAGTTCTGACTTTGTTCTCGCACTGTCTCGACATTACCTAATAAACAACTTTTTCTTTCTATCTTTCTTTTTATTTGTTGACCCTACCATCTGTCAGTGCAGGTACATAGACGCCATTTTCGATTCGTTTCTTATAGTGTTGTACATATCTCTATCACATTTGCTCCAGCTTTCTTCACATCAAGATTTGAGTTTGGCTACTTAAAAGTGCATTTGTTGATTAATGAAATATTAGTACAAATATTATTCAAACCTGGGTATTTTGTATTAACAATTTTATGAGTCAACATACATAAATTAGGTTTAATTTTTGTGTTTCATCAATACCCTTATTGTTTGCTTGTAATACACAAGAATATCTGATAAGGATTGCCATATTTATTATCCTGGTCACTAGGAGGTTTGGTAAATTGTTTTTTGTTTATTTTATTTAGTCACAGATGACAGATACTATAATTGTATTGTTAGTACTTGGTAGTTTAATATGTAGTGAGTACTAAAAACACTTGAATGTCAGCTAGTTAGTGGAAAAAGTAGAACCTTACCGATTTTTTTAGCACTTGTACAGTTCCAGTAGGGCTCCACAGGGGTAGGTCCATACTTGTATCTCGAGCTTTATTTAATTTTTTTTAAAATGTTTCTTTCGATGAGCGAGGTTCTAGGGCTGCACGGGGTAGGGGATCGTAAGGGTCTAAATACTATGGCGGCGCTGTACCATCAGGAGAACCATATGTTTGATGGCCACTTTTACATAACAAATAATAATAAAAATATTAGTTTCATTTAATTTTTTTTGTTTGACTTCAGCTTCGGCAGAATATATAAATGCAAATACACTCTAAGACTCTGGTATCGTAGGTAGGTAGAGGAGCATGATAGCGCAAGTAATTAGCGCGTTTGGATGCGATCGTTGAAGTTAAGCAACTCGCAGTGGTCGGTCATTGGATGGGTGATCAAAAAAAATTTAGTAACTTGAACTCCTCTGTGCTTCGGAAGGCACGTTAAGCCGTTGGTCCCGGCTGCATCTGCAGTAGTAAGCACCCGCCAATCCGCACTGGGACCGCGTGGTGGGTCATGGCCCAATCTCCCTATTCCATCCATAGAGAAGCCCTGTGCCCCAGCAGTAGGAATATTAATAGGCTGATAATGATAATGATTCTGGTATTGCAAGGGTCTTTAGATTATGACAACGCCCGTCGGGGAAGTAACTTCCACCTTACAGAAGACAACAGTGAAATCACACTACCTTTTAATGGTGTTCTGTTTCTGTCGATGAGTGAGGTTCTAGGGCTCCACGGGCAGGGGATCGCAAGGGTTTAGAGTCTATGGTGGCGCCTTACCATCAGGCCGGCCATATGTTTGATGGCCAATTTTCCATAACAAATAATAATAAAAAACATTTTTATTTTTTAGCAGAGTACAATAGTGCAAATGCATTTCGATACTCTGCTAGTCAGGGCTATACGTCTGGAAATTGCATTAAAGCTTAGGATAATAACGCCTAGTGTCCGTGTCTTGCCCAAAACAAGAGCGCAGCGTTAAGCACGGACAGCTCAGTACAATGGGGGGGGGGGGGGGGGGCATGACCCCCCCCTGGGCTGGGTACAGATGGACCAAACCCAGGAGGATTTTATTTAAGTACTTTCAATATTTAATATACCACGACTATATGACCTCCCCTGGCTCCAAAGCTGGATCCGCCCTTGAGCTTTTCGTGCGCGTGCTCAGTTTCTAGGCGTTATTTATCCAATAGCGCAATTACATTTGGTCGTTAGCTCGTATTCGGTTGCACGAAAGGGATTACTCGAATTCGGGCACCTGAAGCAATATTTACACTGGAAGACGGTGTCGGGTAAACAAAGGGAAATCTACCCTAAGACTCCGTTCATTTACACTTAGTCGTTTACCCGAATTCCATTGGCACTCATATTCGGGCTAATAATTAAAATATTACTTAATTCAAATGCGTGGGGTACGCTATTGTCACAGGTATTAAGAGATTACTGTTTTGTTTAAAAGCACTTGAATACATACAACACATCTATATAGATGTAAACACTAAACATCAATTGGTAGTAAACTAATTAACATTATTGACCTGGCAACGAACACTAATCTTCGTTACTAATATTATTATCGAGTTATGTGCATTATACTTAATATCTTTGATGCGCTTACGTGACTGTTTTATCGTCCACATAATGTGGTTATATTGAAGGTAATGACTAGGTTCACTCTCAATAAGATCGTTAGATTAACTCTTATAAGAGGGGGCATAGCGGATTTCCCGCTCGAATTGGAGCGCCCGTCTGGGGAAATAATTACCACGTTCGGAAAGTCTATATAGTCCAGGAAATGAAGCATTTTGGCTCGCAATTTTTTCGTCCACCATGGATTTACTTGAAATTTTCACAAAAGGTAGGGAACAGCTCAAGGATCATTTTCTATATCATGCCGCTGTACGCTAGAAGCCTTTGGGGTGGTGTCACCCTATCTCGGGGGAGGAAATTTTTTAATACATTTTAACTGTAGGAATCGACGGAAAAAGTAATTCTAAGAAAAAATGTTAAATACGTTTTTTCGTAAATATAATATTTTTTGAGTTATTCAAAGTTGAAAGTAACAGATTTTTGACGAAAAAAACGTTTTTTTTTTAATGTTTTTTTTGCGAATAACTCTAAAAATATGCATTTTATCAAAAAAAGTGTAGAGAGTCAAATTGTAGCTTTTAAAAAAACTAAAACAATGCGTTTTTTTATTTTTTCTATGACAAATATGAACTAAGATACAGCAAATTAATGCTTAGCTTTTTTCTTCAAATGCATAAATTGGAAGATTTACAGCGAAATAACGAGAAAAATTTGCATTATTCGAAGAAAGCTCATAGAATATTTTTTAAAGTATTTAATTAGAGCTTTCAAACAAGTAAAAAATCGTCTCTAGCATGAAAATTGACTGACTTATGATCAAAATAAGATCGGTACCCGCTTTTTTCTACGAAAAAAATTTGTGAAAAAAACGATATAATACTAAATTGTAGCTTTTTTAATGACGAAAATTTCCCTGTGTGCATATTTTTTGTACAGTGAATATTCGGCGAGATATAGCCGTTTAACACCTACATTTACGATCGAACATCACCTTATTTAACTCTCCCCATTTAAAAATTAAGGGATCTTAAGTAATTTAATTCACATAGTCTTATAGCTCCTGAAAAGCTCTACAAATACGTCTCTGAAAAAAAAATCTATCACCTAAAATGAAGGAGCTATACTTAAAAGAGAACAATTTTTATTTCGAAAAAAAAAATATTGTTTTTAAGGGTATTTTTTACAAGGGTAGATTAAAAAATTATGAAATTGTATCCTAAAGCATGAAACAATCATTTCTTAACTATTTTTACCCATATTTAGGTTTTCAATTTTATATTTTTTGACAATAACTACCCCAGTTTTCAACCCTTAAAAACAAAAAGCGTACATCGGCACAATCTCTTTCTCTCTCTCTTTCAGCTTGTCTCAACCCTTTGGGTGTAGGCATCCTTCAAATTACGCCACCTGTCACGATCTTATGCGTCTTGAAGCCAATGTTTCCCTGCTGTTCTTTTAATGTCATCGTCCCATTTCGCACTCGCAAACTATTCGAGTTCGATATTGGTTCGTGCTAGGGGTACAGACTATACATATAATGCGATTCAATTAAGAATAGGAAAGCCAATGACCTCTATCTGTCAAATGTCGCTTGAAAAGTACGGTTTGCAAAAAAAAAAACCCCTTTTTAGCACTCCGCTAATTCAAGAATAAAATCCAAATATTTGTAAACAAACAATAACAAATATTGATAATTAATATCGGTTGATATTTTTTTTTCATTTATTGAGCTTTGGCCATGAATGGTTGATAACCTAAATCGTCAACCAAATATCACTTTAAGTTGCGTTCATAAACTCGATTTCAAACTTTCGTTTACATAAAGGATGCATTTTCGTATGTGACCTAGTAATAGTGCATGATTATTCATAACTACTCCGGCGGTAATGCACGAGATGAGCGGAATAGAAGAGCTAGATTCTGATTAATGTTTTTTCTCACAGTCTTAATAAATAAATATTATTAAAAATCGGTGGTTTTTTTATCAATCTTAGTAAATAAATGTTATTAAAAAAAGCATCAGCTTTTTCTCACTTTATCTTAGTAAATAAGTTTTATTAAATAACAACTTTTTTGCTCACTCTACCTATTTGGTTTGAATTGTCAGCTATGACATCACAATATGGCGCCCAGTCGATCCTATTCTTAGTTGAATCGCATTATACCAACATTTCGCTTATTGTGTTTGTATGTTGTTGCAGCGAACCGCTATAACTTGTATACAACAAGCGCAATCAGCGGCGCATTACCTGCCTCTAACGGTGATACCTTCGCGACTGGACTCTGGCCCCACCACGCAGGTATGTCAATATCATCATCAACAGCCTATTAATCTCCCCATTGCTGGGGCACACGCCTAGGGTTGCGAACCCTGCTATGTTCTACTATATTAGGGGATCAAATACTATATTTCTAAAAAAAAATAGTAGGCGAAACTACTATATTTTGCTTAAAGCATATTTTTGACAGTAAAAGCTTTCTTAAAAATTATTATAAGTATTATCAGTAAGGCAAAGAGCATCAACAATATATTTTAATTTAACCACATACTATATTTTTATTTTATGACAGCTTCGAAAATACAATATTTGATAGAAAAAAGTCGGTAACCCTACACACGCCATTCCTATGGATGAAAAGGTGCAACCATGACGCATCAAGCGTGCCCCAGTGAAAAATGGTGGGTACTAACGACTGCTGATGCAGCCGGGACCAACGGCTTACGTGCCTTCGCAATCACTACGGAACTTTTATAGCCGGTCATTCTCGACCGGCTATAAAAGTACAAGGTTTTTTTACTTCCAAACGCAAGCGACCGTATTTAACACTTCGCTATGAAGCTCATCACGTCAATATACTTAAGTACCTTAATTACAGTTAACTTCAAGTTTATCGGCTTTGTACTAAAATAAGAATAATGGAAATGTCAGTTGCCTGAAGCTGCTTTTCAATCTTCTATTTTCAGGGTTTCGTATTCCTGACAAGGAACCCTTATATTTTCGTCATGTCCGTCTGTCCTTTCCAGGTATTTATTGCTTGGAGACGGTTAGCACTAGAGAGCATAAACAAAATTATAACGGTTAAGATAAATTTGTAAGTTTAAGCGTGATAGTCGTTCAACTTAGGTTAAAGAATGTTGCATTGAAAAACAAAATCTAAAAAAATATTTAAAAACAACAATAAAATATCATTAATTCCATAAAGCTACTGCGACGCGAGTACCTACGGCAACGGCTTCTGAATCGCGCAATCTTTACGTAATGTATTATATTCAGGTGACATACTTGTAAAGATCGGCGGTTATCATTCGCATTAAAAAGAATATCGAATTGATTTTGAGTTTCAGCCACAGTTTGACTTTGATATAAATATTTGAGTTGAGATACTTGCATAGTTTGATATTGTTTTTTTTTTAATTTCCGATACATAAAATAAAGACTCCTTATGGGACGTCCATAAATTACGTGAGATGTTTAAGGGGGGGAGGGGGGTAGAGTAAAATCTCATCTAATCTTACGTTGGAGAGAGGGGCGGTCTCGGCAAATATCACGCAATTTTTTTTCTGATTGGAACAATAAGAATTATACTATTTTGGTCGATTTAATCCAGATTGTACATGCTTAAGATTTATTCTTAAGCGTAATCGTAATACGATTAAGATCATTCATTAATTGGTTCGAAAGAAAACTAGTCGTAAATAAAAGCACGAAGCAATTTTTTTTCTTTTTACAATAACAATCCAACGCGTTTACGTAAGAAACCCACATTTTGAAAAATCTCACGTGAGATTGGGGGATGGGGGAGGGGGTTGAATAAAATCTCACGACATCTCACCAGGGGGGGAGGGTGGGACAGAAAATTCAAAAAAACACCTCACGTAATTTATGGACGCCCCCTTATCAAATATATTGTGGTAACGGCAGGCAACTACGGAACCGCGCAGTGTAGCGCGTGGTACGACATGCACTTGGCCGATTTTTAAGCGATGAAAACTGTCTTTACTGACTATACATATACACGCGCGCATACATCGACGCATGCATATAATACACTCATACGCACCCACATATACACAAACACTCACATGCAATGACCATCCATCTATGTTAATTCTCCTTTTTTTTTCTAGGAGACAACGTTGAGCTACCCTCAGTATTTGAATACGGTACGACTGCAGATCTCGTACGCCAAGGATATTCACGATACGCTGGTCGCGGCTGCCCAAAATATATCGCCAACTGAGTAATCTTGAAGATGAAGACTGCATAGATATACCGATACATAATTACTTTTAAGTAGGAATAACTAATAAATTATTTTTAAAAATTTTATCTTTGTTTCTTTCAGTAAACAATGGGATCGATACTGGCATGATTTTCTAAACCAAAAATTTAATTTGACAACAGTTATTCTTTGTCATTCTCTTTACAGAATGGAAGGGAGACATTGGTGTCGATCCTGGCGCGATTCTCTAAACTTAAAACTAAATTTAACATCAATCTCTTCTTTTCATTCTGTATAGAGAATGACAAGGATTCACTGTTGTCAAATTTAATTTTAGGTTTAGAGAATCATGTCAGAATTGACACCATTGATGTTAAATTTTGTTTTAAGTTTAGAGAAACATGCCAGAATCGACACCAGCGTCTTATTAAGTGATACTTCTCGCGTGCAATAATGTGCAATAGGCAAGAATAATACGTACTGTAGGGCGCAGGCTTTTATAGGCTATGACAGTCGCTTACTATTAGGCGTGCAATTTACTTATTTGCCATTCGTTTTATACAACGAAAACAGGCCAACAGGCTACCACATGCTCCTATAGAAAACCGAAAATGCCAAGACTCAACTCACACTGGCAAAGTCAAAGCGTGTCGGGTTGTTTCATGTTTTTCGCCTCGAGAATACATTAAAACAGTGGGAGACAAATTTGATACATGTGAAAATCTTGGTATTATCGAATAAGAGGGAATACCTTCATAGTGGGAAAATAGAGATGAATTTGCCGCTTCTTCCTCGTAGTCAAAGTGTATACTCAGACTATTTTCTCCAACAGGAATATTTTTTCTGGTCAAACTGTGCTTGACTCCTCACGTGGACCTTTTGACCATCTGAAAAGTATGTCCCTCTTGAACTAATTAGTTTGACTACTGAGTTTAACCACGTGAACGAAGCGAAATTTGCTAAAGGCGAAACACTGGGAACCATGACGCGTAGAGTTACCATTTAGGGATTTGAAAAGTCCTGGCAAAAAGCCTGATATTTGGATAAAAGTCTGGATTTTTTAGTCACAAAATGGAAACACCATCTATTCACTTTGATACATTGGTATGGTCGGCAGCCGGGAATAGATGCTCGCATTACGAAAAAAATCCGGAGCAATAAAGAGCCGAACAAAGTCTTGATCGTGATGGTAGCCCTGATGACGCGTCATTTGAGACAGCGCTAGCGTGATTTGTGATTCTAACAGTCAGGGCTTGAAACCGGTTTCGAAAAACCGGTAAATAAATGTTAGTACCGGTTTTTAGTAAAGGTTTCGTTTGGAGCGCGTCCGAAATGAAAGCGGTACCTAAACCCTTAATAAACCGGTTTAATCCAGAGCGACACGTGCACGCGTCGGCATCGCTTGAAGCCCGTCACAAACGTAGCTATAATATATATTAATATATCGAAATATATATTATATTATAGCTAACTACCACAGACGGGAGCTATACAATAATATATATTTTGCCCTCACTCGGTCTGCGGTCGTTTTTGCAAGCGCACGGTTTTAAAGCTTATTTTCTAGCACAGGGTGTTTTAATTTTGAAATAACGTTATAATCAATCTTACAATGAATGAATGAAATGAATTCGACAAGAGCACTACTTTTAGATTTAATTGAAAGTTCCTCAGAGAATGATTCCGATGCTGAATTTGATATGCATGTTGCCTTGTCAGGAACGAAAAATATAACCATCTGGGTAGAGTCGCATATAAAACAAAAGAAAACTTGTGGTGAATTTAATTTGTATCGTGTTTTGTCATCCAATAAATTTGCACAGTATTTTAGGAGAGGGAGGGGGGGGGGGGGAGAAATGCTCGTGCGCACTTGAGCCGGAGATCGGGCAGGCGTTAAGAGAAAAGTTGAGCATTCCGTATTAAAAATATATACTAATATGCCAAAATATATCCCGTCACAGACGTAGCTATAATATATATTAATATATCGAGATATTATATTAAACAAACTACCACAGACGGGAGCTGTACTATAATATATATTTTGGCAGGCGTTCATTGAAAAATGGAACATCGCAGTATCATAAAAATATATCAAAATATATATTAATATATCAAAATATATATTAATATACCAAAATATACAGTAATATGCCAAAATATATCTGTCGACATATTTTGGTGACGTCATAGAAATATATATTATAGCTGCGTGTGCGGTCACTCGAAAATTTATATTGAAAATATGTTGTAATATGTCTTGCTATGATTTATATTAATATATATTATAGCTACGTCTGTGACGGGCTTGAAGTTTGTTTTGTTTGAACTAATCAAGTCACAACTTGTTAATGCTTGAGATGATGCATTTATTGACACGTTTGCTAGCGTCTAGTGAGTCAAGTTATTCATTTATTACCGATGCCGTCATAAAGAGCGAAATGTAACCCTTTAAAAACTGCTAAATTGATTCAAAACCTATTTGAATTTGCTCTTTAGGAAAACCGGTTTTTTAAGGTTAAGGTAACTAAATAAAACGCTCCTAATGCACTTGAAACTGATTTAGGTTTGAAAATTAACCGGTAAACAAGCCCTGCTAACAGTACCTTGCATTGGCTCTTCTCATCAGAAATAAGATCTTTTCATTGGCGTTTTGATAGTGTATTATTTATTATAAGTACGATTCAACAAGACATTTTTTTTCCACTCACCAACTTGCCATAATGTGTACTTAACTGAAATATGTTTTAATCTTTTATCTATACAGAACAATGGAAGATCATTATTGACCTGTTTGTGTAAATAATAAATTGATTTGTTTGATTATAGGCGCACTGCATTCTGTTATTACTTAGTATATTTATTTATTGATTACGGAGCCAACCAGTGAGTGTATCAGCCTATCAGAGTATTGTAAAAAGTCCAAACTTGAAGAATTGTGCCTTTTCTAAATTAAACAAAATGCCCCCGTCACTATTGAAAAAATGCGATCAAGAGCATGTGGCGCTTGGCCGAAATCTGAACTAATTTTAGAAACGCATAAAAATAAGCCTTTTATTTATAGAGGAAGGTGTACATAAGCCTTTTAACTAGACTTGCGACGAATATTCGGTTACTATTCGGTATTCGGCCTATTCGGCTGCTTTTATTATAATCGGCCGAATACCGAATACTTAACTATGTAATGTATTTTGTCAAAGAGAAATAATTGGTAAAAAGAAAAATTAAAATCGATTGATTACGTATATATTCATATTTTCATTTCTGTTATATAATCATTTAAGTAGTCATTAGTACCTACATAACACAGGTATATAATATCAGCTTCTGAATTGAAAAAATGGAGGATTCTATGTATTTGAATTATTGTGGTAATCAAAATTTAGAAGGGTAAGGTTCTCATTTCTTTTATAATAATTTATTAAGTAGTCATTGGTACATAAAACAGGTTCATAATTTAATCATTTTCTGTATTAAACAAGCTAGATTTTTTCTATGCATTTGAATTATTTTCATAATCAAAATTTGGGGGAGGGATGGGGAAGGTTATGGTGCAGAAAGACTAACTTTTCTGAATTTTTAGGAAGTAGTTTTTCTTTTTTTCTCGTAGACCATCCCAGCTTCAGAGAAAAGGCGCTCTGAATAAACACTACTTCCTGGCGCCGACAAATATTTTGCTGCAATCTTAATCAAACACGGATATTAAAAATTTCCTTGCTTGCCACCATGTATACGGGTTGTCATGACGTGATATATTACTAATATTTAAGAGAAGATCAGAACAACAGCGGGCGCGCGGGCGATTAGTACATTAGAACAAAACAAAGGAGCGCGAAACAATCACGTCTGTAAAAGTTTATGGCGCTAAAATTCAGCCGAATACTTTTGCCTAATATTCGGCTATTCGGTCAGGGGTAGGGTTGCAACGATATATCGGAATATCGATAATATCGAGACCAAAATATCGATATTTATATCGATATTTAAAATTCACTGATATCGATAATATCGATATCAGAAATTCCAAAATTTCGATATTTCGTAGACTAAATTTGAACACAATAATATCAATTAATTTACCTGCTATGACTATCTGAATTGAATAATATTGAAATAACTATTACTTTGAAATCGCAAGAGCTTATAGATGTATTAAAAAAATCTTGAACCCCAAGAAATATACTAAACTGGTGTGGATTCTGGCATGATTCTCTAAACCTAAAATTAAATTTGACTACAGTGTAGCCTTCTCATTATCTATACAGAATGAAAAGGAGAGACTGGTGTTAAATTTAGTTTTAAGTTTAGATAATCATGCCAGAATCGACACAAACGTATAAAGGTATAATCGTATATCTAATGGTAACTCATGCACTTAAATAAAATCCTTGCCTCTCGTTCTAGATAATTGTCAACTACTGATTAATTGAAATTTAATATCATTGTAATATAACACAAAATAAAATTAAGAATCTTATACAAATCGTAATTTTTTTAAGCTCGCCAAGTCAAGAAAGTAAGACCTACCCTAATCTGAAGCCATGGGCACGCCCCTGATGTCTGGGAGACTAAGCAATTTGCGTATTTGATGTGCGCTAAAAAACCGACATAGCTTGGAAAATCACGAATGTAGTGAAAACTTAGCGAAGGCATTCGCAAATGTCGTCCCACATATGCGGGTTGGCGCATTCGTGCTAACGAATGTGAGTGATCTGATCAGGATAGTAATTTTAATTTTTGGTTTCCTGTCGTGGCTGAAACACAAACCGTGCGAGCCAATAAAAAAAACCCTAGCGTGTTTAACGAAAAAGCTGGCTTAATGCATTTTGCGAGAAACTCGCCAACAAACATATGAATGTGTCACACTCACCACGTATTCTAATGTCAATAAAAAATTAAAAGGAAAAAATATCGATATATCGATAATATCGAGTTAAAATGGTCGATATATGGGATATCGATATTTTCCTGACTTCGATATAAATATCGATATTTCAAAAGATTTTGCATCCCTAGTCAGGGGCCTCGCCGAATATTCGGTATTCGTTATACTGCCGAATATACTATTCGTTGCAAGTCTACTTTTAACCTTTCCGAGTTATGGGAAATAGGTTTAAATTATAACGTTACCATTCTTTAAGAGGAGCTCGATGGCGCAAGTCGTTAGCGCGCTCGGCAGTGATCGTTGAAGTTAAGCAACTTTCGCAGTGGTCGGTCATTGGATGGGTGACCAAAAATTTACTATCGCGAGCTGCTCCGTGCTTCTGAAGGTACGTTAAGCCGTTGGTCCCGGCTGCATCTGCAGCCGTTAGCACCCACCAATGCGCACTGGGCCCGCGTTGTGGGTCACGTCTCAACCTCGTCATTCTATTCATATGTAAGGCCTGCCTGTGCCCTAGCAGCGGGGACATCAATATGCTGATGATGATAATGTTCACTTATTCAGCAGCAGCGTCCTGTCAATGTCATATAAGTGCCTATATTGGTCGCACTGTACTGGGTCTATCAGTGGAGCATGAATGGAATAATAATAATTGGTTGATTCTAATCGTGTTTGACACAAAAAATAATAATATTATTATTATCAAAAAGTCCTAAGTAGGTACACAAAAAGAATAACGAAATCACAGGCACTTATAACAAAATTAATAAATACTAGCAAACCAGTGAACCAAATGTTCACCAAAACCTGATTTCTCGAAAACCGGAAGTGCTACGTTACTCAAATCCGGTTTGTAGTCTTATCAGACTAATCTTAACTTATAACTTAAATATTCTCTTTATCTATCTCTTACGGTTTGGCCGCTGAAACAGCACCACAGACAGACGGACGGACTTGTCTAATAGATAAGAGATATAAGAAAATCGATAAAGTAAATAATAAGCATTTTAAAATATAATAAAAGTTTATTCCATTTTAATTCTGTTAACATGTAAAATTGCAACGATACTATGAAGGTTCAGTACATTGTTTAATATTAAAATTCAATCAATCTTTTTTATTACATATATAGTATTTTATTGGCAACACTTACATCTAATAATGCTACTTAATAGATTTGAGATCATCCAATTTCGTTAGAAGCATCTATCTAAAAAAAAATTAAACATAAAAATTATTTGGTTGAGTACTGAAGTATTGTAAATATTAAAATCAATTTAATAAAAAACACTACACCTAAATCTATATTAAAATGTTATTAACAGGACCAGCCGACGCATTTGAAACTTTTAATTCCATTTCTCGTTGGTTAAAAATGGAACATTCTTCACGTAACTATCACATTTGGAATATCAGAATACTATCAGTCTTTGAGTTAGAAGAAGACAGTTTCAGGAACCGTTGAAGGAGCACCGAGCTTTTGGAGATACCTGGAACAAATTAAAAGGGATTAAATTTTTATTAAGACAACACTTGTTGTTTTTATACGAGGCGCACATTTATGTGGTGGGGTAAATTACCCCACTACATCTGATGTTAAGTGTTAGTGGAGTCCAGTCGCGAAGATAGATGATGCGGTAGAAAGTGTGCCGCTCCAACTATCCTCACCTTGCCGGCCTGAACCCAATCCCCTACCCCGCGGAGCCCTGGAACCCTACTCACCAGCAGAAACACAACACCATCAAAAGGCATAGTGCTATTTTACTGTGGTCTTTTGTGAGTTGGAAGTTGATTCCCCAGGCGAGCGCTCCAATTCGAGCGGGAAATCAGCTGTGCCCTACCTCTCCTAATAAGTAACTGTACTTTGTAAGTTACTATAAACTATTTTTTTTAAACACGCCAATCAGTCTAGCCACAAAGTAAGCACTGGTGTCGATTCTAGCATGATTCTCTAAACCTAAACTTAAATTTGACAGCAGTATATCCTTGTCATTCTCTATACAGAATGAAAAGGAGAGACTGATGTTAATTTTAGTTTTAAGTTTAGAGAATCACGTCAGAATTGGCACCACTGTAAGGCTTGTGTTATAGGATATAAGGGTAACGGATAGAATACATATATATTGTACATATACGTATATAAGTATATTTATATAGAAATACATATTAAACATCCATGACTGGAGTACAAATGCTTGTATGCAGATGTTTGTGTGATGAACACATAAACATCTGCCCCCACCAGGATTCGAACCCGGGACCTCTCGAGTCGGCGACACCATGAAACCCGGCGTATAAACCACTCGGTCACGGAGGTCGTCGAAACTAAAAATTTGTCTACAACCAATGATATTATAATAAACAAAAAGATTATAATATATCATTGCCTACCTACGAGTACCACCTACTTACTAATATTAATTTTAGGCTAAAAGTCACAAATTTTATCTTTTATGTTATGTAAGTAAGTACATACATATTCCTGCTTCGCATACCTATTCTTTGATAAAAAAAATACATAAGTAATTCCTTAAGCAAAACACCTCTGTTATGCTAAGAATATCGACATATCGGCATATCCGCCTGTGAGTGAACCAGGATTGCCCCACACTATTTCCGATAAACATATTTACTAACTTCAATCGTGAATGCAATTAAAATTGATTAAATACACAATTTGACATTATCAGGTGTCTATTCCATCCGCTTGCCAACAGCCAGTGGGGGTAAGATATCAAGAAGGGGCGTAAATCCTAACCATCCATCAATAAAGAAGTAATGCACTCGCTTGGGTGTTTGTTTGTGCGGCGCCGACCTTTGATAAACTCGTTACGACATAAATATCGTATAGAAATGCAGTAGGTGCCTACAGCTACACCGGGAGACTGCGTGGAATAATACTACGGCATCGCCGGCCTATCGCAACTAATGTAACAAACAACAGTTCATTCACGGAGATTTCGAGAAAATTTTGTTTCTTATTTGTTGACATTGAAGGGTATTTTACTAAAACTTTCCTAGCGCCTGCGCCGGCGCATTTATTTGGAGGATAACCTTTAGATAGGAGGTAGATTAACATTAGTACATAAGCGTAAATAATAGTACCTTTTGCTTAGGTACTTGACTTGACTTGTGTTTCTGCCATGCCAATAACTTATTTTTAAAACACAATTTTCCAAAATAATCAAGTCCCGCTAATACGTATAAGTCTACTAACTCAGGTACATCCGATCTTGTTGAACTTCAAACTATATCCCCTAATTCCTCTTACCAAAGTACCTACGGTTAACACACCAGAGAACATGTCCTAGAAAGACCGCGTTTTAGTTAAATAACACTGTAGGTACTGGGAGGATTTTAGCGGTATTTTGCATTTTAATAGTTTTGCGAGTTGGGAACACTAGTCGAATCTTAAAAATAATAACACGGTATAAGGTTACCTTCTTAATTCTATTAATATTCATGCTTTTTTAGGTTTTGATATTAATTATGTTTGCTTTGGATGTTTGATTAACAATCATAAAAAAAGTAAAAAAAAATATTTTCTTCATTTTAATTACATCTCTAAGTACATATATATGTCCGCATATTATATATATCTTTTCTTTGTGCCTCTATTGACAAGACCAAAGTCTCATTTTTACTAGTCTTTAATTCTTCATTATTATGAATACCTTTTTAAAGATTACCTAATAATAACGTTCCCAATCGATTATTCATTTTGTTTACGCAATATTAGCATCCAATTATTATTCTTATCTCCCTCGTTACTTAATTGGGCATTATTAAATTAAACATTTCCTTCAACAATGTATCTTTAATCGAAAACTTTGTTAGTACCTTCCTAATAATTTTAAGTTCTTATTATCAAGGTGTTATTCAAATAGTTTATGATTCATTTGATATGAGCTTTTGAATTCAGCCATTACAATTCAGCTGGCTTATATGTTTTTCTAACGCTCCCAGTCCAGTATGAAAGACCCATTTATAAGTGGACCACCCAGTCATCAGTATAATCTAAATTACGCTGTGGTGTATCTACAATTTAAGGTTCACTGACCATTCAATTAATTATTGTGCAAAACCAGAAGTCGGTAACTCGATAACTTCATGATATTTTTATCATTAAAAAAACAAACAGACCCCTCGGTAAGCATGCAATAAATCAGTGGGAAGCAGCTTTCAAAACAAGTCAATAAATGTCCACCCGCGCTCTTTTTAATTATTAACACTATATATCATTGATATAACGCCACAAAAAGTATTGCAACAAACAATTTCTTGGTGTCATATTTTATTAAGTTACTGCAATCAAATGTAACAGTTATTGGCACTTAACTGCTTGATAAAGTGCCCATTTGCCAGTAACATTGTAATGCAACGGTAGCAATGCTCCCGTTATAATATTACGAGTTTACGGGTCGTTAATTTAAAGCTTTTCTTCTTCGATATCAGAAAATTTTATCTAATTAATTTAACTTATGTTTTTTTAAGCATTTAACTGCTAGATTTTTAAATGTAAAGAAAAGTTTTACTAGAAAAAAATCCACGCGGACCAGGCAGCGGACGGGGACGGGACTCGAACCCGCACCCTTCGCAATCCGGGCGAATGCACTGACCAATTATGATGTTCGGCTTGAACATCCAGCAGTTAAATGCTTAAAAACAATAAGAACATAAGTATAATTGCTATTTCTTCTTTCCAATGTTTAATACTCGAAAAAGTATTCATTTGACATTGTGGGTTACCTACAAATGCGAAGGGATGGCGCTGCCTTGCAGCTTAAGGCTAGGAAAATTTCGACGCGGCCATCAGGGCCATGGTAGCATAATTGGTTAGTGCATTCGCCCGGATTGCGAAGGGTGCGGGTTCGAGTCTCGTCCGCTGCCTGGTCCGCGTGGATTTCTTTCTAGTAAAACTTTTAATTAATTTAAGATTAGGGGTAGGTATATTTTTAACTGGCAGTCCCAGGTTAGACCTACTTAGACCTTGCGCAGGTGGCACTGCAGTTGGCAAGACAACGTATAGATCATTAAGCATGAGAGTACATACATAGAAACATAGAAAATTACATCGGAGGCCCAAGCACGAACTTAGACAGCTCCGTAATCGTATCGTCGTCCTCAAATTTGCTGGAACATCGAAATAGTTCCGTGTATAGTACGCTTTAGTTATCTACGGGCACTTTGAAAAGTTAGCTACGTTGTCTGTGGCCCCGTCTTTTTTTCCCCCTGATCGAACTGCGTACCACGCTTGTTATATTGCGGCAAGTGAGTCTTCCAATATTTCCCTAAAATGTTCAATAGCTTCCTACCTAAATCACTGTAGTGATTAAGTAATTCTTGTAGAGTCTGTGCAGAAAGAGAATGGGCGTGGCGAAAAACGGAACTAACATTAAGATTTTTATTTGGCAATCAAACCCAGCAATCTCTAAAACGTCAAAGTTTTGTATTGATACGGGTTTGTTTGTTGTTATGATTTCTTGCGGTTTTTTGTATTTAATCATGTCTAAAAGGGGTAAAACCTTACAAATACAGTATAAAAGCACACAGCTCCCCCAATCTAAATCCCATTCTCTTTCCGCGTAGACTTCTAAAGATGAATTTGTAAAGACTTTATGATGAAGTGCTAATACAAATGTGATAAGTGACTTGTCTTTTTGCATATTAAGCATATTAAGACACGGCCACATCTTGTAACTTATTAGTCTTCCCTTCGCTGCAAATACTCCTGCTAACAAAATTTTGTATGGAAAGAGCCATAGAGATAGATAGAGTTTATTCTTACATTCGGTATGGGCGCTGCTTAATTTTCATAGAAATTTTGACGAATACAGAGCTGTCAATGTTCGTGCTTGCCCCTCAGTGTAGTGAACCCATTGACTTACCATAGGTTCAGCCGAATACCTGTTGTGCGGCATACGTGACGTGCAGATAGCCGTCAGTGCCGCGGAACTGTTCGTACGCCTGCGCCATGGTCATACTGTGGCTCGCCAGCACTTTGTCGTTCACCAACAAGTAGAGCGCCTGGTACAAATCAAAAATTATGAATTAATTTTCATCCGCCAATCCGCACTGGGCCCGCGTGGTGTGTCATGGCCCAATCTTCCTCTTCCATCCATATAGAAGGCCTGTGCTCCAGCAGTGGCGGCATTAATAGGCTGCTGATGATGATGATGAATTGATTTTATCAGCGCGTCCACAGGATTTTGTGGCCTTTGGAATAATGCTCAACTAAGCCTTTTTTATGTTAAAAGTGTGGCAAACAAGCACATTGGCCTGATTATAAGCGGCCACCATAGCCTATAGACGCGTGCAATACAAAAAAACACTCGCTTTGTTGCCTACATTGACCCAATCCCCCACCCCGTGGAACGCTGGAACCTTACTCACCGACATGAAACACAACACCACCAAAAGGTCTCACGGTTTCAGTGTAGGCTTTTGGAAATAACTCTGCTAACAGACGACGCCGACATACGGACGGCTTTCCTTGGCACGGAGGAGCTCGAGATAATAAATGATTAGAAATTTATAATTGCAGATAGGGTTGCCACCTGTACTTTATTATAAAGTATTGTACGTTATTTCGGGTAATGTACTCTGTACTTTATGCCAAATATAAAGTACGCGAAAATACTTTATTTAATGTGATTTGATTACTTGAGGATTAATTTTACATAAATACTAGCGGACCCGACAGACGTTGTCCTGTCTACACGTCTTTAATTTGAAAATTTCAAACTTTTTTTAATAAGCTAAAACATTTTGGACCATTTTGATGAAAATTACCATTCTCAGATCCCCTTGAACACACACAAAAAATTTCATCAAAATCGGTCCAGTCGTTTAAGAGAAGTTCAGTGACATACACACTCACAGAAGAATTATATATATAAAGATACAAAAAGAGGATATGAAGAATTTTTGCGTAAAACGGAACAACAGTATGTATAATATGTCGCCCTTAGCGCAGCTTAGCTGAGCTTTAGTATCCAATGTACTTTATTTTCACATATAAAAGGTGGCAACACTTATTGCAGATCAAACTCTTTAAGAGCCCTTTTACATTTTTTGCAAAAAGTCGTAATTTTTGAGCGCCTCGTTTACCGCCTTAGAAAAGATATTGACTATTTCTAATAGAAGTAAACAGTAGATTTATTCTTCTTATTGCAAGTTAATTTAGAATATTTACAAATACTATTTTCCTTTTTTTGTACTGATCGTTCTACCGCAGCTAGTTTAGGGAAAAAACAATAACATGCACAACATTAAAGGGCTCAATCTCTCAATAATGTTCAATAAATTAGATCAAATTAATTACTACGACATCAGGAATATATTTTTGTTGTAACATAATGTATTAGATTCTTGATTTTCCATCTTATTAAATATAAAAAAAACATGTAACCTCCGTGAGTTTTCCAAAAAAAATTTGCAGGTTTACCTCGTATTTTGATATTGAATTAAATAGAATTACTATCAAAAACTTTCATAAAACTAATCTACAATCATTGAACTACTGAACTATGTATATATATATTTTTATAAAAAGTTCATTAATTTATTATTTTATAAGACTCGAAACATCAACCGTAAAATGCAATATATACTAGTGCAAATCAATTTTATTCAGATCAGCAGTTCAAATGAGCAATTTTGTAAAAGGGCTTTTAACCACTGCGCAATTGAACCCCCCTTGCTTTGTAAGATCATTATCATGTAACCTCCTATGGCTCACACCACTGAACAAAGCAACCTCTTTCTTTATTCAGTGGCGGACACGGAGTTAGGTATTTTTCAATTAATTAAACTAATCATAATTTCCAAATGGATTTGGAAACCAAACGGTCTCAACCATCAGCGCTTCTGATTGGCGATAATTACAAAGTTTTTACAAACAAACATTCTTACTTTTCGAAGTTGAGGAACGTAACGAACACGTAATATGACGCTTCATTAAAAATTCATGGCTTCTTATAATAAACACCAGAGACCGGGCTATTTCGCTATTACCAATTCACACCGGCTCAGCGTGTCCGGTAAATACACTAAATTACGGCCTTACGATGCGAATTGCTAAAAATATATAGGATACCTATATCTATCGCGAACTTAGCTTCAATTTACTAATGGCGCCAAAGTTTCATAACACTATTACCTACTTAACTAAATATATTGGAACCACACCCTTTGGATAGAGTGATCTGGCATAGTAATCTGTTGTATTTGCGTTATTAAAAAGTCATTAACATCGCTGCTGTTCCGTATCATATTTCAGATATAAACATTACATAAGTAACATTATACTTATTGGCGATATGATAATTGTTACCATGTTCGGTACAATTCAATTTTGCATTTGTTATCTATAAATAATTTATTAGCATACCGACATAACTATCTATCAATGATTACAGTATAAAAATGGTAATTTCTGACAAGTCTGATACTTTACCAGTATCAAACAGAAATTGTCTATAAATTTAAACAAGATTAACGCTGAATTTTACAGCTAGATTAGAAGATACCTTTCTCGGGGAGATAGTACAAAAAGTTTTTCACTCAGGATGATTTATTTAATAAGTACCTATGCAAAATCCTGCAAACGACCTTTTACCATATAATGTGCTTTATATAAATATGGTCCTCACCTGAGTATCTCTAAGTTTCATTTTAGCCCGGATTATGTAAAGGAACTGGGACATGGTCAGTTCCTGTGGCACCAGGAATTTTGTCCTCCCCAACGCCGGGATGTCGCACTCCCTCGCGTATCTCTCTACACGAATCTAAAACAAAAAAGAATCGCTACGGAAATGTTCTAGAATTGGAGCGCCCATCTGGGGACTTGAGACCTTAGAGAAGTCTACATTCAATATTGTAAGTCAAGCAAAAGTAATTTTATACTTACGGGTACTTTATTGGGAAATCTATGTCTGATTACTTCAACTTCTTGGTTTGCTCCTGCCATATCTGTGAATAAGGAATTTATATTAGTAATACTATATACATAATTTAACATTTTTTTATGAAGAATGCTATATTTTACATTGAAATGATTTATAACGAGCTAATTTAGGTAGAGAGAAATGCACTACAACTACTACTACTACTACTATGCCCACATACATTTATTTTGTCTTCATATTACCTATTTGTTGTTAAAGCAGTAATAGAAAATTATTTTATACACAGAACAAAAAATGATCTTATTTTTCATAATCGGTTCATGTTCATGAATTCATGACTGATATTGGACGTGGGCGCAGCGAAATTCCAGTAAAATAAGCGCGCTGACAGACACGGAAAGACTTCCTACGAATCCTGAAAATCGATCACTTTAAGGTTGGCATCGAACCCGGCACATATCGCAATCAGTTAACGTCTTAAAAAAATGTTTATAAAATCAATTCTTTTTTATCATTAATAAAAAAATATCAATAATGAATAACCACTTACCTATGTCAATAGATATCATTGTAATTGAGTATGAAGTAAAATGCAATAATCATCATCAGCTTATTAATGACCCCACTGCTGGGGCACAGACGCATAGGCCTTCCCTATGGATGCAGTAGGGAGATTGAAACATGACCTACTACGCCAGCCCAGTGCGGATTGGTGGGTGCTAACGACTGTAGATGTAGCCGGGACCAAAGACTAAACGTGCCTTCCGAAGCACGAAGGAGTTCATGATAGTAAATTTTTGGTCACCCATCCCATGACCGACTACTGCGAAAATTGCTTAACTTCAACGATCGCAGGCGAACGTGCTAACCACTTGCACCATGAACACTACCTACATCATGATCATGATGCACTCAAAAGCAATATTATTGTGGAAGAATGTCCTTAAGAAAAAAAATATACATACTATCTTGGTAGCCGAATACTTCTTGGGAAGCGTACGTTATGTAAAGGAAACCGTCTTCGTCGCAGAACTCCTCATGTGCTTGAGCCATAGTCAAGCTCATGCTAAGCATGGATCTGTTGTTGATTATCAGGTACAGGGCCTGAAAATGAATCATTCTTTAGTTTCGGAATTTTTCATCAAAATCTGTGAGTCACCCCTATTTTCCAATCCTTAGGTAGGATTTTTTTCAAATCTATCTGGAACCAACTACGGGCTTTCTAATAAGAAAATTAATTATCAAAATCGGACTATTCTGTAAAAAGTTACGCGTAATCAACATCGCACATAAAAAGAAACAAAAAAATATACGCGTCGACTTCAGTATTATCTCAATATATCCTCCGTATTTTTCGTCGGTTAAAAATGAGTAGGGTTTAATCGAATTAGAATTTGGAATTCAACGTTAAAAAAAACAAAATTTTACTAGCTACCGTTTGAATCACTGAGGGTCATACGACGTTCTTTTTAACTAGTAAAATAAAGAATTGACAGTTTTATTGTATTCAAGTATTTGGTCGGACTTTTTGAATAGCGTAATTTTTATTATAGGTAATGCTTATTCCTAATATTATTAATGTGAGTTCTGACTTGAGCATTTATAAGTTGCTGGACCGGAAAATGGTACAAAGTTTTGCTTTTCGCAAGTATCTAGGAAAAGCCTAAACATATTATAAATAGATAAGTACATATTTTGGAATATTTGTTTCACAATTTACCTATATTAAAAATGGGATTCCATCATTTTATCGCAATTCCTTCCAACGATTTTCATTACCCATAAAACTTTCTTTTTCAAATTTTAACAAACCCTAGAATTAGGTTACATCGCATTTTCGTTTCCTCGAGTATTTATTATCTACAAACACGGTTCGTTGTTATTTCTATTCATGTTTTATACATTTACTTCAATTTTTCTTCAGAAAATCAATATACATCGAATATACGATTTAATGATGTCTTTTTAGAGTAAAAAAAAATGTGTGCGTGTACTAGTGTACACACGTAAGAAGTGAAACTTCTTTATGGCCTTATTTTTCGAAAAATGATCTACATGCAACATTCCAGAAATTGGTTAAATAAAGTTAAATTAGATAAAGTTTAAACAAAAGGATTTTATTATCATAGACATGAATACAAATTACTGCCTATGAAACTGTTATGATTACACGGCTCAGTAATCTAAGGCACATGTTCCACCTCCGACGATGAACGATAAGCGAGTAGAAACTAGAAACGAATTGGCAGTCCTGAGTTAAAATGCACGCGCACGGCTTTTGACAGCCAAGCCAGCTTAACCGAGCGAGTATAGCTCAGCGATACTCGCTCAGCGATACTCGCTCAGCGATACTCGCTCAGCGATACTCGCCCAGCGATACTCGCTCAGCGATACTAGCTGAGCGATACTCGCTCAGCTATACTCGCTCGGTTAAGCTGGCTTGGCTGTCAAAAGCCGTGCGCGTGCATTTTAACTCAGGACTGCCAATTCGTTTCTAGTTTCTACTCGCTTATCATTCATCGTCGGAGGTGGAACATGTGCCTTAGATTACTGAGCCGTGTAATCATAACAGTTTCATAGGCAGTAATTTGTATTCATGTCTATGATAATAAAATCCTTTTGTTTAAACTTTATCTAATTTAACTTTATTTAACCAATTTCTGGAATGTTGCATGTAGATCATTTTTCGAAAAATAAGGCCATAAAGAAGTTTCACTTCTTACGCACTTCTTACACTAGTACACGCACACATTTTTTTTTTACTCTAAAAAGACATCATTAAATCTTATATTCGATGTATATTGATTTTCTGAAGAAAAATTGAAGTAAATGTATAAAACATGAAAAGAGTTTGGCTGAGCGAGTCTTATCTTTAATAACTATTGTCACTCAGCTACAAACGAGTAGAGAGAGTTCTCGCCGGCGACAGTGTGATCATTCAGCTATCAACTATTAATATAAAAAAAGATGGCGCGTAACGGAAAAATGTGACGCGTAACCGAAAAATGTGACGGTAAATTTTTTTCCAACGCCGATAAAGAAGTTTCACTTCAAAAAGGTATTTAAAATGACTCGGTTTACCCCGACTCCGCGTAGTCTTATCTACCCCACGCCTAAAGTGTAATTTAAAAGTGCGTAGGCGATTTTTTAGAAGATACCTTTTCTACAAAAATAAATACATGTATCACCTCTTGGGCCCTGGAAGTACAGTTTTACCGCGAGACGGCCGGCGAACTGAGGAGCAGGTGGTTTTGACGGCGCCGTCGCGGCTGAGGCTGGCCGGCGTAGCGTAATTTATCGTCAACAGGCGAATGCATGGGTTTCGATACATATTGTAACATGTTTTTACGAAAAGTTTTATCGACAACTTAATACTTTTACGAAATGTAAGTTCGGTTCGATATATCGTTTTTCTGGTAATCAAAACAACTTTTTTTTTAAGAAACGTTTTTCGATGATATGAAACAGCGATGATTAAAAATTCGATGAATTAAAACAAATATGTGTAAAAAATCGTGGAATAGTTTTGGGTAAAATGAAAATCGTTATCAAAAAAATCTGTATTTCTGATAGACACCCATTAAAAATACTTTTACTTTAATATTTCCTTGGAAAGATACTGTAAATTACACTTACGGAGCCATTCTCGCGTATTATAAATCATTTTTATCACTTGATATATTATTAAGAAAACACTTCAAAACAATAAAGACTTTCGATAGCACGCACATAAACTTGAAAACTTGCCTAAAGTGAATAAATAAATGATTTAGAACTTATATTGAACTTTGCTTGAGCTCTGTTTTGAGGGTAGGCAAAAAAATGCAACCTTTTATACAAAAATTGGCGGGGAGATATGCTCAGCCTTCAAACGCAAATGTTAAAAGCGCTCTACCCTATCTTATCTCGAAAATATAATCTAGGCTCGATATGAATTACATTACATTTTCATTTATTGGTTTATTTAAAACACTTATCCAAATTATTTATTAGGCATGATTGATAAGGAAATCCTAAAACGGAATATTGCTAATCTGATCAACTAAGTATTTCCAAAGTCAACGACTTTAGACTGTTCATCAATTCGATGAAAAATCGCGATTATTTGTCGTCACTATAAGCTTGCTGGAATGATAACTTTTCACTAAGAACCTATTGAAATTTCGAGATCTAGTTTGGTTGATCACTAAGGAAGATAAATAAAACAATTACATTACTTTAGTCATGCAAATAGATGACAATATTGTTTTGATAAGGAATAATCAATCTAGCTAGACAATTTATAGTGTGTAAGTTACACTTTATAATTTTCTAAATGCAACGGTGGCGTCAAGACATTTGCAAGGATCTGCCTATTTTTATAATTGGTACCATTATATCTTTATTGAAATAAATTGCCTCACTTACTTGATTCGGCTTCATCTTCATCCTGTTTCTTATAATGACTAGAAATTGTGACATGGTGATGTCTCCGGGGACTAGGAACTTCGTTTTGTCCAAAGTGGGTAAACTTTTCTCCTTTTGATATCTTTCTACTATTAGCTGTTAGTAATAAAAAATAAAATTAAAGCTAGAAAATAGAGAAGATAGTTTTGGAAATCATTTAAGGTTGCATTGGAGAACGCATAGGCATGGAATGCCTTGTCGATACTAATTTCCATAACACAAGCTACGAACTTTGGGATCATAGCTATGTATAGTGATTTTGTCACATTACAACATTACCATAATGTGATCCGGTCAGGGCGGGACTCTTATCCGTAACCCCAATGACCAGGACCACCTTATGACATCCCTAGAACACTTAAATAACCGGCGTACAATGCAGTTTCGTCAACCACAAAAGCCGCTTGTAAAACCTTGGTGAAATCTATTATTTTTGGACAGCAACTTGCATAGACCTACAATGCTGTTCTGTAAGAACAAACTCACTTTTCAACTCGGAATCCGCGTGTGATTGAAAATTAGGACAATAATTTCAAGTAAATATCAAATCACACCGGCGAATTCCGCGGTGAAAAGTGAGTTTGATCTTACAAAAAAGCACTTTTAATAATAATAACCAATACCAAACAAATCACTATAATTATATTTTTTATAAACCACTATACTCTTTCCATACTCTTCAAAGGACTGAAGAAAGGAAGGAAGGAAATCTGGAGTTCTGATGTTAGTACCTATAGTTCGATTGGGGCTTTACAGCAGTGGTAGCTGGACTGCTGAATTGGCAAATTTTATAAAATTATTAATTATTTTATCTATATTTAAAACTCACCGGTATTTTATTCGGGAATTTGCTTTTTATCGCCGTTACCTCCTCTTTTCTGCTTACTGCAAAAAAATAATCAAGTAAAAACATACTAATTTAAAAGTTTAGAAGCCAGGGCACTGGTAGTCGTAGGTATAAAAGGTACAAAGAAAAATTATTTTCATCCCACCACCTCGGAAAGTGTAATTTTGCGCTTCGAAATCTGGCTGGAAAATTCTATTTTATTCGCTTGAGCGGCAAAGTAGATTTGAATTTAGAACATCACATATAATGAGTACTCAATATAATTGTAAATTCAAAACGTCATTAAACCTATTTAATGTAACCTCTATGGTGCCAAATTTATGATTAGAACTTTTTAAATTGTGAAAAAATTTAAATTTGGAACCTTCTTGGTTTCTTTGTTTTATTTGCGTGCTTCGCGCCATTCTAGTTTTTCACGTTTTATTGCTTAATATAATTAACATAACCTAAAAACTGTACAAAAAAATCAACTAAAATGAGTGACATTAGCGACGATGAAGTTTATCTAACGCCAACTGAGTTAACTGAAACAGTTAATAATGCGCAAATGAGCCTTCTCCCTCAGCAATCACGAGAGAAGTATTTGAAACAGTACGATATATTTAACATGTGGCGACTAGCTAAAGGAGCAAAAACTTTCTCCGAAAACGTTTTGCTGGCATATTTTATAGAATTATCTGAGACCAAGAAAGCAAGCACGCTATGGAGTACGTATTCAATGCTAAAATTAACAATTAAGATGAAGAAAGACGTTCATATCGACACCTATCATAAATTAGTGGCATTTTTAAAAAGAGCCTCATCTGGTTATAAACCAAAAAAATCGAAGGTTTTCACAGCATCTGAAATTGCAAAGTTTATTAATGAAGCACCTGATTCCGTATATTTAGCGGCAAAAGTAAGTCAATACGTGTAATTTTTTGTTGTTGATAAAATTGTACATAGTACTTACAATATTTTTAATTTGATTAATTTATTTACGATTATAAATACTTCTTTTGTTACAGGTTGTTCTTATTATTGGTATAACCGGAGCATGTCGAACAAATGAACTTACACTACTTAATGTCAATAACGTATCAAAATATTCTCATAATTCTGATGAATTGCTATTAATTAATGTACTAAATACCAAGACCAAAAAAAGACCGCAACTTCGTTATTCGCAAGGAATATGTAAACATTGTTCAGAAATATCAAGCTTTACGTCCTTCTAACACCCCAATTGAACGATTTTTTCAACAATATCGCAACGGAAAGTGTATCCGACAACCTATGGGTCAGAATAAAATTGGCAGTATTCCACGAGAAATAGCAACTTTTCTCGGACTTTTAGAACCCCCGTTATACACCGGTCACTGTTTTAGAAGAACCTCAGCCACACTTTTGGCCGAATCAGGGGCTGATCTTCTATCGCTTAAGCGCCATGGAGGCTGGAAGTCTAATTCGGTTGTAGAGGGATACATAGAGGATTCAATCCAAAATAAATCAAAAATTTGTAATAGTATCGTGGAGGCCATAACGCTGAAAGAACCTCTGTCAGATTCTTGGTCTCGCCCTTCTACATCTAAAATGAGCCCCCGTAAGATTGGAAACAATAGCCCTCTCTCGCCAACATTTACGCCAATAGAATCCAATGAATCGGCACAACTATTTAAAATTACTGATACGAGTAGTTTACCACAAAACAGCGCACAATTCACAAACACCAACATAACATTACCTAACAAAAATATTAAACTTAACATAAGTAACTGTAGCAACGTTACATTTAATATTTCTTAATTATTTTCTACTTCTTATTATTTTCTTCAATTTATAGATTATCTTAATGTGTTTTAATTGAAATAAAAATATTTTGTCATTATAAATTGTTTTCTTTTTCATTTTGTCATTTCCTCGCTGAGGTGGGATGAAAAGTTACGTATTGCACTCGAGTGGAAAGATTTTTCACCTTGTGCTCGTTTGTTTCCCTCGCTGACGCTCAGGATTCTAATTTAGAATCACTCGCTGCGCTCGTGATTCAACTTTAGAATCCTTCGCTTGCTCGGTCATCCAAATCGAGCACGCGGTTAAAAAGGAACTTTCCACTCTTGTATAATAAATAACTATTTTGTATTAGATATAAAAAAAATGTTGAAGTTTTCTCACAATGTGGGAAACGAAAACAAACATACGGCTTACTAAGGAACATTTTTATATGACTCAATCTTGTGCAAGATATTTTCTATGGGCAGGCGATCCAATTCAGGCAGTTAGTCAGCTGCCTGTACCGTACTTAACATAAAGTGAGTAAGTGAAAGTTTTCGTTGAGTCGTTCGGAAGATCAGTGTTATCAGGTGATATTCAGATCTTGGCTGCAGGCTGCAGGTGCAGGTAGCACGTGCAGCTGCAGCGGAGTTCGGAATGTAGGTATTCCATACATTTCCATATCGTAAGACTTTTGAATAGGAGCTACTGGAGGGTTCACGTAACATCCCTTCTCAGTGTCTTTTTTCCTATAATCTACGTGTTCGTACGGCCTCACCATGCAAACCGGCAAATCAATATTTTTACCATCCTTAGAAACGTTACGTGAACCCTCCAGTAGCTTCTATTCAAAAGACTGACAAATTGGACTCGACCGGAAGTCATAGCCGTATTTTGAAAAAATGTTTCGCTGCACCAGACGCTCTGGTAGTCAGGGGCGGTTTATGCACTAGGCCCGCTAGGCCCGAGCCTAGGGCGCCGTGGCAGAAGGGGGCGCCACGGGCCGATAAATTTGAAAGATTAAAAGCGAGAAAGCGAACGTTTTAATCGGGTCCACTCAAACGTCAATATCGCCAATATAAAATATATATGTGCTCCATTCCTACCCACAAACCTACATAATATATGTATGATTGAAATTCTGTTTCCGTTAAATTATTTTTGAAATACACTCCCGCTCAAAAGTATGGGTTCACTTCTCGAAATTTTCAGCTTCGGTATAAGTTCCATATCTTGGTGGAAAAAGGTCGTAAGAGAATTTAATGAGCACCGTTTTGAAGGGGACAGTTTTAGCTTCACTTTGCCATTTTTTATAATTTTTTACAATTTTTTTTATAGTCCCCACGCGCTTTTGAACATGGCAGTTTTTCGATGTTTTTTTGCCTACTGGAAACGGGCTGTCTGGCTGTTAAAAAATTTTCCTTGCAATTTCATTCATCGCAGTTTCAAAGAGGATATTAAACATTGCATTTTTGTTTTTGAAAAAGTATCGTGCGATTTTTTTTACCAAAAATATTCTAATTTTCGACAAAAATTGATAATTTTATTCAATTCGGCGTATCTTGAAAACGGCGGGTAATCGAAGAAAATAGCAAGGGGGTGAAAAGTTGCAATAGATCATGATGGACCTTGTAGATTTATTTCAGATTTTTTTTCCGACATTTGTTTTTTCATACTCTTGCAGTCGAAATAATTTAAATTTTCTCATGATTTTTTCTTTTTTTTAGACGGCGCAGGCATTTCTTTTATTGGTTTTATAACCATCTTGACGTAATTTTTACTAAAAATCAAATTTCGCACAATTTTTTGTACGTTTTTTTCATTTAAAAAAATAAATTTTTAGTTCAAATTACGTCAAGATGAAGATGAAACCAATAAAAGCAATGCCTCAGCCGTTTAGAAAAAAGAAAGAATCATGGGAAAATTAAAATCATTTCGACTCCACGAGTATGGAAAAACAAATGTCGGAAAAAAATTCTGAAATAAATCTACAAGGTCCATCATGATCTATTGCAACTTTTCACCCCCTTGCTATTTTCTTCGATTACCCGCCGTTTTCAAGATACGCCGAATTGAATAAAATTATCAATTTTTGTCGAAAATTAGAATATTTTTGGTAAAAAAAATCGCACGATACTTTTTCAAAAACAAAAATGCAGTGTTTAATATCCTCTTTGAAACTGCGATGAATGAAATTGCAAGGAAAATTTTTTAACAGCCAGACAGCCCGTTTCCAGAAGGCAAAAAAACATCGAAAAACTGCCATGTTCAAAAGCGCGTGGGGACTATAAAAAAAATGTAAAAAATTATAAAAAATGGCAAAGTGAAGCTAAAACTGTCCCCTTCAAAACGGTGCTCATTAAATTCTCTTACGACCTTTTTCCACCAAGATATGGAACTTATACCGAAGCTGAAAATTTCGAGACGTGAACCCATACTTTTGAGCGGGAGTGTATAAAAATCATTTATTCTAGCCTGTGCTTTTTCAACTATTTTATGGAGAGGGGAGAGGGGGCGCTAATTTCGTCAGGCCTAGGGCGCCCGTTTTCGTAAACTTAACTTAACTGCTGGTAGTAAGTACTTCACAAGGTGCAAGGTTGCCCCTATAAGTTATTCTGCATTGCAGTTTGGCAGAAAACTAGTTTTTAAGTGAAAAAGAGTGTAGGGGTTTTTATATCGTTGACAAGATGTCATGAACAAGTTAGTCATGGTAGGACAAAAATCAAAGAAGACACAAAAGAGAATTTAAAAGTCAAATTGAATTAAGTTTATTCGTTTTCTTTCATATTTTAGACAATAATGCATTTGGAAACATGGTCAAAAGTTTACACATTAATACGACCGACTTCGGTCGACACGAGTCAATTTTTTGTGTAGGCTTTCAGTTTAGATCGTTAATCATATTTTAGACTGTAGTCTTCTAATCTTAAGAGTTAATATAAATAATTGTGGAATGCATTAACTAGTGTTGATTTAATATGTAAATAAAGAAATTTGTCTACCTATTCCCTTCAGTACCCTTAGTACTAGCACGGTAATAATATATATAATATTACCGTGGTACTAGTTCGAGCTCACGAAAACTATCATAGTTTTCGTAATTGTAAATTATGTTTCTATGTCCATTTTGGTGTATACTTAAAATTTAAGAAGCCGCAAATGATTTAATGATAAAATTTAAACGCTGTTTATTTCTATTGAAACGAAAAAAAAAAACAGTACCCTTGGTACGACTGCGAGCTCACGAAAACTATCATTGTTTTCGTAATAATAAAATTCGTACTAAGGGTACTGTTCGTAAGTACAATGATGGTACAAAGTACAAAGTGTATCCACTGTTATATCCATTAGGGCAAAGTTAAAAAACCTCATTATTTTTAAAGTAGTTAAGTACATATCTGCTCTTAAGTAGATGACAACTGTTAATTAGGTATTTGTTAATTTAGGGTTCATATAGTTATTAGGTACATTATCAGGTTGATCATACTAATCACACTAATATTATAAAGGTGAAAGTTTGTGAGTGTGTGAGGGTGTATGTTTATTACTTCTTCACGTCTAAACGGCTGGAGAGATTTTAATAAAATTTTGTAAGGAGTTAGCTGACACCCTGGATTAACACATAGGCTACGTTTTACTACGGGAAAATATCCTAATAAATAATCCGCGGGGCACAGCTAGTTTGACATAAATGGTAAATCACGATTGCTTAACTTGACACGGTAGACGATACCATGATTTCTGAAAAACAACTTATGGTCGCAAACCGAAGCGTCAATTAACTTTTAAGTTTGATTAAACTTGATGCTACCACTTTTTTGTGATAATAAAAGAAAAAGGCAACAGGTGATTTAATGAAGCGTTTACATTGAACGTCTTGAGTGTGTCCGTATACCGTTACATTGTGGTGATTACTAATGTGGAATTGTTATTGTGTATCTATGAGTTAAATAAAATATTTGAACTAAATTTTGTATTTGGAGACTACTCCAAGATACTAATCCAAGGTGCCAGATCACCCTTGACACTATTAACTCGGTTAAAGGCTAAATGTTTACACTAAAAGCCAGGGCCGGATTTAGAGGTCCAGAGGCCTCAGGGCAACAGAGGAGCGGAGGCCCCCTCACCCCAAATTATTTTCCAAATAAAGTAAACAATATTTTTTCAGTCGACTTTTTCAATAAATAATTTATTGTAAACCAAGTAGATTCCCTTAGTATTGAACAAACACATATAAACGGAAACAAGAATTATCTGAAATTAAATCTTAGAGTTAACGAACGAAACCGAAAAGATGTTTACTAGTGTTTACTAGTTGGAATTTGAAAGATTTTATTTTCTAAGTCTATTGTGGGGGCCCCCCCGTTTGTGGAGGCCCCGGGGCTTTCGCCCCGGTTGCCCTCCCCTAAATCCGGCAGTGCTAAAAGCTTAAAAAATGGTATAGGTACTTACTGAAAGTTTTCTTAGATTTAAAGCACTCTTTCACATTGTGGTTCACATCGTGTTTAATCAAAGTAATAAAGTTCAATTCCATTTTGTTTATTTATAAAAGTACTTAATCGATATATGTAATAATATTGTTAACGTGCGCACTCGTAATTGCAATATTTATAGCGAGACTCGATGCGCGTGTTTTCCGATCGCTACTCCAAACAACACTGTGCGACTACTGCAAAATAATTAACATTGCTAGTTTTATCTACGACAGCCCCTAGTTGTAAATAACAAGAGACGATAATTAATCAGCGCCATTTGTTTTAAAAATATTGTTATCTCCCTGTGCAATTCCACGTTCGATACTGTGTTTGAGTTTATTATGAGGCGAGGGTGTCCGCGATTCTTTAATTTATCTACCCAACTAGGTGTCATTAGGAAGCAACATTTCCGTTCCATTATGTTTTCAGAGTCGTTTATTTTTTATTTATCTACTCAGTAGATAATTAGGAGTTGGTCCTATTACTTTGTTTTTTAATGACATTATATAAGTATAGGCAGATAAAATATAGCATATCGGTGCTAAGTTATAATAACTTAGCACAAAATACTAATAAGAAATTAGTTTATTTCAGTAACTTAATTAGCCTAAAAAGCCTACCACAATGTATGAGTATGGTACATCATTTTAAGCAGTAAAACTGCTTGTGTTAGGATGCACCGCTCTTCCATAGCTTGGTTACAATAGGCCAATTGACAATCCGCCATAGATGTATTAGTCCAGGAAATGAAGCTAACAAAATGGTAAAATCTCAACCCTTAGTAGCATCTACCTTTGTAGTTTTCAACCTTTATTAGGTTTTGAGGTTCTCGTACTTAATACAGGATTTTTTTTATGTTAAAAGGGTGGAAACAAGCATAAGGTCCGCCTAATTAAGCGGTCACTGTAGCCTATCGCTATAGTCGCTTCCAATACTAAAATTATCACTCGGGCCGTTGCCTGCCCTGACCCAATCCCCTACCTCGTGGCTCCATGTAAACTTATTCACCGGTAGAACCACTTCACCACAAAAATGAAGTGTTATTTTATTGCGTTCGTCTGTAAGATGGAGGTTACTACCCCAGACGGGCGCTCCAATTCGAGCGGAATACCCGCTGTACCCTAACTTCTAAAAAATAACCTTTGATTAAAATAAAAACCCTTTTTAATTTAGTCTATTCGGACAACTAATTTTAGGTAGGTAGCATTAGCGAAGGCATTGTTTACCAAGTATGATTTGTAAAAGATGCTTTTTTGACCACGCGCTTAGGGTATCTAATTAGTAATGCACATGGGCGCTACATGAGTTAGAGATGTTTCTACCCTATCCCCTAGTCGATGGAGTCCTGCTGGAACCTTATTTACTACCAGAAACACAACACTGATTACAAAAGTAAATGTGCTAAATGTAGAATGAGGTTCATTTCTGATTCTTATTTATAAAATTCATTGATTGCAGTGTGTGCGAGATGTGTCGTGCTCGTGAGGCGGCTCATTTGGCTACTGGCGTCACGTCACGTCCACAGAAACAGTGGTAATTAGTTGCAGATTAAGGCCCTGTACCCAGGGGCGGTCTTAGCTAAACTTTTCGGTGGTGCGAGATCTTACGGTGGCGCCCCAGTTTACATAGGCACGAAAAAAAAAATACCTAATTAATTTTACATTTATGTTCTTTATTTTGTGTAAATTTTTTTGATGAGAAGAAGAGAATAATGGAAAAAATATAAGTTTGATTTATTTATTTATGTTTTTATTTATTTTTAAGCATTTAACTGCTGGATGTTTAAATCTAAAGAAAAGTTTACTAGAAAAAAATCCACGCGGACCAGGCAGCAGACGGGACTCGAACCCGCACCCTTCGCAATCCGGGCGAATGCATTGACCATTATGCTACCACGGCCCTATTGGCCTATTGCAAGGCAGCGCCATATCTCCGTCCGCGTGGATTTTTGGCGCTGCCTTGCAGCTTATACATGAAAATTTCGACGCGGCCAATAGGGCCGTGGTAGCATAATGGTCAGTGCATTCGCCCGGATTGCGAAGGGTGCGGGTTCGAGTCCCGTCCGCTGCCTGGTCCGCATGGATTTTTTTCTAGTAAACTTTTCTTTAGATATATTTATTTAATTAAAAACTCTTAGAATCTAGAAAATCACTTTTCTTGCCTTTGCGCTTGCGATTTTTTTTATTAAATCGGAATAATGTAATCCTTGGGCAATGTCATTTTCTATTGATAGAATTGCAAGATCTGATAGTCTTTCTTGACACATTGTCGAACGTAAGTACGTTGCCGCGCGAGGCAGCTCGGTGCCTCGGCCGTGTATTACTTTTCTCTATGCTCGGTCGAGGCAAGCGCGCGCGCTGCCGCGGGCGAGCGACCGAGCGCCCGAGCCATCGAGTGTCGGTTTTTTGTTTTGCTCAAAGGCGCCTCGGTCGTTTGCCGCGCGCACTCTGGACGCTCACGTATTCTGTTTCGTGCCTCGGTCGAGCATATTATGAATCTTATCAGTTTTCGAAACTAATATCTCTCTATGGTGTAAACACCTGGCTATGGAATGCAAGTGATCCTAATTTTACAATTAAAGGACTTAGGGAAGATGTCTGGTTAAATATTAGCCACGAGATGAATGTCCCGGTTCCTGATTGAAAATGAAAATGGAGTCATTGATGGGATCTTTCAGGCGGGAAAAATCACGAGGATGAACGAACGAAGAAAACTGGCTCGGGCTTGCCGCGCGCGGCAGCCTCGCGGTGACACCGAGGATGCCGCGCTCGTTCGGAGACAGTTTCCTCGCGCGGCAAATGCCTCGCTGCTCGCTCTGTGTAGACGCGCCTATTTAATTTTCTAAAGCTTCGTTCACCTTTGGCGACAGTTATAGGGATGGTCAGCAAAATCCGAAGCACTGTCCACACATTCGGGAAAATATCCTGTCATTTTTTTTTATTATGTTGAGGATTTTTATTGGCTCTGCTGATTGAAGGTTTTTTAATAATGGATTCAGGCTCAAAAGTTCTTCAAACAATTCGCAGCTAGGCACGTCACATTTTTCCCCTCGGTTAAAATCATTTGCAAATCTGCACAGGCTTTTTCTTATAAAGACTTATCAGGAATTATTTTGATATCATACAAAAAAGACCATGTATCAATGAATTTCGATAATGGTCCTAACCGAGTGACCAATGCATTTTCAATGGTATCTATCATAGGGTAAAAGACGATAATTTTAAAGAGTTCTTCGGGATCTGTGGTTTGTTTCATCTGCAGTTTCATACTCAAATAATTGCTTCTTTCTCCGGGATCGTACTGGCTTAAATGTGGGATCTATACCAGCCTCAGAAGCTATTTCCTTAGCTATTATTTGAGCAGACGAATAAGTCCGGTACTGCTTCACAAATTCCGACCAGTTTTTCAGCAATTGCGATGCGTTTGACTAATCCATAGTTTCAGACTGCAATGCATATATCATACCAAGCGACCAATGTAACTAAGAATTCAAATTGCTCCATATTCTGAATCAGTGACAAAGTCTCTGATGCAGCAACTGAATCATTCGTTTCTTCGTGAAGATTCAAAAGAGCATCACGAACTGAACAATAATTGTAGCGAACAGAAGCAAGGCTAGAAACTCTACCGTCCCAGCAAGTTTCTCAAACTTTTTTAGTGATAGTCCATCTATGTGCTTGGATATGACTTCCCACCTCTTTGTTGATCCAGAAAATAATAAAAATAGTCTTTGGAGAAATCCATATAAAGAGACCGATTTATCGGACGATTTAGCTGCATCTGCTATCACCAAATTCAAGCTGTGACAGCCACATGGGTTAAAAAATGCTCCAGGATTGGTTCAGAATTCTGGTTTGACACCTTTTCCCCTCACCGCCTTCCCGTTCGTCGCTCGTCGCTACTCGCCGGGCAACAATACGATTTGCTTGCGTGTAAGTCGATCGGTACCTAATCGGGCGTTCGGCCGTTTTCGGCGCCCCCCATATGACGGCGCCCGGTGCGGTCGCACCGCTCGCACCGCCCTAGGGCCGCCCCTGCCTGTACCCCGTTACTGCCGACCAAAACTGATTGATCGCACTTCACACGTGATTTCTTCATGGTTATATTCCTAATAACCTGAAGACCAGGGAGGGACGGAGTGCAATGGATATTTAATCCTCTGGAGAAGCGCTATATTTTTCAAATTGATGGGAGAAACTGTGGTAGAACCAGTGGGGCGTAGCGTGCCTTGGTGGGGCCCCGTATAAAAAAATGTTTGGAGTCCCTTAGGTAGGGTAAAGTTAAAAAATTAATGATTGCATAAAATAAAAAGAAATATTTATTCATCATAATTGTCTGTCACTTTTTCCAAAATTATTACAAACAATTTAAATTAGATATAAACTTTCATTGCCTTTTTTTAAACTTAAATCATTTATAGCTGATGATGACTAGTTTTTAAGTGTCTCTATGGACAATTGGACAATAGTGATTAGTCTGACGGGCGTTCATGTTCCATCGAAGTTCTTAGGTAATTTTTATCAGTTTTAATTTTAAAAAACTTCTTTCAGCAGTTGCGGTTGTAACTAGAATTAAAAAGCATGCTGTTATAACCTCCGGAAAACTGGATACAAGACTATTGAATTTTATCAGCAATAATTCAATGTGTTCCTTAATGGAATGATTTTTTATTTATTTATTTAAACTTTATTGCCACAATTACAAAAATGGACAAAAGGCGGACTTAACGCTAAAAGCATTCTCTGCCAGTCAACCTTTAGGCGTAGAGACATTCACGAATGCGGCTTTATTAAAAAAGAAAAAAAATGATTAACTATAAACATACACCAATAAAAGTAACTACATAAATATTTACTTAAAAAACCCTAAATATACATGCATAGAATACATTTAAATATATATACAATATTTATAATATATATATATATATATACACATACATACATACGTAATCATTATTAACATAGTTTATAAAATATATTGATGACGAGACTGTGAAGGGAACTTGTGAGTAAAGTTTAACGTTATTAGCTTTCTAGGAGAAGCTCATGAACTTTCTTCTTAAAAATGAACCTATTAGGTGACCTAACAGAGTCAGGGAGGCTGTTCCAGAGTCGTGAAGGTTGAAGGGCAAAGGAATCAGACATATAGCGAGAGTGAAAAAGAGCAAGAGATAGTGCAAGAGTATCAGTAGAACGAAGTTGAAGGTCATGTGAGTCACAAAGATATAGAAATTTGGATCGTAAGTATTCTGGAGAGTGAGGGTTGAACAGGATAAAATATAGAGTAGAGAGCATTCTCTGCTGCCTTCTCTGACGTATGGGAAGCCATCTAAGTTGAGATCTGAACGCAGATACGTGGTCAAATTTACGTAGGCAGAAGATGAAACGTATGGCATTGTTGATGAGACGATCCAATTTGTTCAGAAGATCAGCATTCAGATCGGGATAGCAGACATCAGAATAATCAATGAGCGGGAATATGAGAGATGTAAGTACAAGTAAAATTTTTGTGTTGATGGGGAGAAAATTTCAAAATCTATTTAAAAAACGAAGTGAGTAAATAACTTTGTGACTTACTTCGGCAATTTGTGTGTTCCAACTAAGAGAAGAATCAATGTAAAGGCCAAGATTTTTGACACTTGTGTTAAACGGAACAATCGTGCCCTCATACACGACAGAGCGGAGAGACCTATGATCAATTTTGGCAATTTGTTTAGAGCCACCTATGATAATGGCCTGACATTTTGATGGATTCACCTTAATTCCAAAATCGGCGGACCAAGCACTAATACGTTGCAAGTCATGGTTTAACATTTCGATGGCCATATTAACGTCCTCAGCCGACGTCTGAGTATAGATTTGTAGGTCATCAGAGAAGGAAAGGAGGTTAATAAAAACAGAAAAAAGCAAAGGAGAAATTATCCCACCCTGGGGTACACCAGCATTTAAATCGTTCCAATTTGACAGATCTTGCTTAATGCGAACCGCTTGTTGACGACCACGAAGGTAAGAGGAGAACCAATCCAGTGACTTTGATGAGAAGTTAAGGGAATTTTAATTTCAGATTTTTATTTATGCATGTTATAAGAGCCTTTAATTGGTCATAACTTATGACCAATTAAAGGCTATTAAACGCTTATGAGTCATAAGGATTAACTAAGATGTCTTTACTGTATTTAACCGACAGTTTTCCGGAAGCGTTTAATAGTTCTTCGTTTGAAGAAGGCAGGAGTTTCTCTGGTTGTAATATTTCGAACATAGTACTCAGGTCGCAAAGGCTCTGATATGTTTGTTTAGTTTTACAAATTAATATATTTAAACAGCAATAATATACATTGACTTTAAAATAGGATTCCGGGTCTGAAATCCTCTTATCATGTGATAACTCATTTTGAAGTTTGGGAAGTTTTTATTAATTTTTGCTTACGCACATTTGGGGCCCCCGTGGTCCGGGGCCTCCATAGCGGTAGCTACGCCCCTGGGTAGAATCCATCATAAATACTCATATTTCACCAACAGCTTGACCCGAACGCACCCTCTAGGCCGATCTTGGGTTTAACAAGCATACTACCGTACCTACAGTTTACCACTATGTAACACCATGCATACGACTTTAGAGTGGTCCCTATAATTTGATCCATGGATTCACATCATGTGGAAGAGAGAAACTCCGAGCAGTTCCCAGGACTTACGACCCAGGTGTAGGTTATTATGTAAAAAGAATGTCAAAAAAATACATTTTTGTTTTGCATGGAAGCAGGTTATTGTGGCTGGTCGTGGCCATTAATGATAACCTATACGTTTGCGTTTCCAGCGAGAACCAATCACAGGGGATGGGGTAAATCGTTATCATGGATTATCCCAACACCTACTTAGCCAGTCCTGACAGCCGGAAAGTACCAGCTACCCGCTGAAGACACAGAACCTTACACAACACCAGAAATGAGTGCAGTAGGTACCATCAAAACTGTTATTTCACTGTCTATAAGGTGAAAGTACTTCTCCAGGTACACTCCAGTTCAAGCAGGCTCTATATACCCTAACTCTCGTCAAAAATCTTTATCCTATTTTTATAGCTATTACAAATTTTTGAAAAAGATAGTCCCTGAATGCAGCCCAAGGTTTGACATTGACATTCACTTGACATTCAAAGTTTTCCGAATTGTTTCACGCACAATAAAAAAATATAAAATAAAAAAAATAACACGTAATATACTAAATATTACTTTTGTACTAGTGTTGATGATAAGTATTTTTGTGATTTTGTTTGATAAATCGTTAAAAATTGTGTGTTTAACATTGCGTGAGCTTAACTTTGTAATATTATTATGAACATAGGTATACTTAGCTCGATAACGGAACGTAATTCTTGGCGACGGACGGCAGAAGTTGAAGTGCACAATTTATTGAATTTCTGAAATCATGGTTTTAGATTATTTGGATCTATTCTTATTGATAAGCAAAATTACTTCATATTAATTTATCCTTGTAATATAAGAAGGTTTATGTAATTCATGTTATTCTGTTTTTAATTAAGAAAAATTGTTATATCACAAAAAGTGTTCGATGGACTTTAGAATCAATAACCCAGATTCGTGTTATGTTTTAATGGATACAGTATAATTTTCATGAGGATAACAATGTGGTAAACACCGCGTCCCAGTTACAAAATTAATTGCTGATAGTGAAAATGTTGTTCACCCCGATTTATATAGCTATGACTTTCATAAAAACTTGGCGCATTCGCTCTTTTAGAGCGCGTTTGCTTGAATTTCTAAGTGGAAACACGAGTGTCGCTTTCTGTAAAGTGCCCGAAAATGCTGCAGGTATGTTATATAATTTTTAAGGAGAAACTAAAAAAAATATTAGTTTCTAACAATAATAAACTCTTACAGAAACTCCCACACTAAGTTCGAGACTATGTACAAATCCAAAAAATGCATATCTATGTGACCTGCTGGACTACACTAATGCCACAAGGATATGTAGTATGAAACCTATGCAATGTATAGAGATAAATGATTGGGTGTCATGTGCGGGAGGATTGCCTCTCGGCTCTGACGATCAGTCTCCTGTAACAGACCTTGATGTTGAGGTCCTATTTGAATGTGAAATGGAGCCCAATGAATCTAGTTCTGAACAAGACATAACAACTGTATGTACTTTGCAATATTTTGGAATTTTTTTTTTAGTTATAAGTTATTAAATTTTTCTTTAAATCAAGAAGCAAAATGATAATAAAATGTAAAAAAAATTATTATATTTTTTTAGATTTTAAACATCTAGCAGATGAAACTGCTAGATGTTTAAATCTAAAGAAAAATATCCATGCGGATCAGGCATCAGACGGGACTTGAACTCACACTCTCTGCTATCCAGGCGAATGCACTGATCATTATGCTACCGCAGCCCTGACGGCCGTGTCATACATGACATTTCAGATGTCTCTAGAGAGATAATTATCTTTTTAAGAAACTTATGCATACCTATGAGAAAAAAGTCTTTAAAGAAACAAACCACAAACTTGTAAAAATATTATATGACATTGGCATTTGAAAAAAATATGTTTATTTTTGTTATTACAGTTAGAGTCAATGGGTCAGCCAGTGGCATGGAAAGCTGGATCACACCTAGCCATAGTGATCAAGACTAATATTGAGAATCTTAGTGCCATTGGGTTCAACTTTGTTGGTGGAGAATTTGTTATAGACCATAGACTCCCAGTTGTCAGAGTTCAGAGTTAGTAAAAACTTCAATTTAATTTTTATTTTATGTGATAAAAGTGAAAATTGTTTTATTGGTTTTTATGATGTTATTCTAGCTGTCCAATTGTCTGGAGAACCTAATAAAGCTACTGATCCAGCCATGAGAAGCTTGCGAAGTGAAATTCAACATGGTCTTAAACAGTCATTTAATGTATTCCAATGGCCAGTTCATGCAGCTTTACTCCGTAAACTATCCAAAGTTGTAGATATAAAGTCTGACACAAGGAACAGTACTGTTGAAATGAATGGTGGGACTGAAGCTCCTCTAGACACAGCAATTCCCAATAAAAGGCACATTACCTTAGCTGATGTTAGTGTCAATACTGGAAAATCATTGAATGCAGATGATGAAGTTTTGAAACCTGAAGAAGCAACAATAAATTTAGAAATTGTTCAAAAACCACCCGATAAATCACCAGAAAAGCATGGTACCACTGATGAAAAAGTAGGAAAACCTGATGAGGTAGTTTTTGATAATGTTACTGTTGAGATACAGCATAATATTACACCAAAGAAATCAAGTTTAAGATTAGACTTGAAGAAAGGGACAAGCCAACTTTCTACATCACTACTCAACATATCCAGTCAAATTAAGTCTGTTACTACTCATAAAAGAATAGTTAGTACAAAAAAGCCACAGCCCGTGGTGGAAGCATGTTCTCAAGTGAAAGAGGACAGCCAAAAAGAATCTCCTTCACAACAGAGTACACCAAAGTCTGCAAAATGCTCCCGTCCATTAGTTAATACAAAATCACCAAATGTGTTGATATATTCTGATAGTATAGCAGCTAGAGATAACTTGGAGGCTTCTCTGAGAAAAGTGTTAGATTGTGATAGGTAAGTGAAATTATAAAACTTTCTATGTTGATTTATGGTAAGCTGTTACCTGTAACAAGATTTGTGATTGGTTCTTGTAGGTGGCTTAAATAACAGAATTTTATGTTATATCCTCCATTTACACAGAATTCTTTATAAATATAAATGGAAACAATATCATTAAGACTTACAAATGTATGTTTCTTTTACTTATTTCTTACTCTACTTATCATACTCTTAAAATGAATTAAATTTTTAGTTGATTTTTTGCAATTAATATTGAAGTTTGGGGAGTTTTTAGGTGAAAATTGTAGAGGTCACTAGAAATATTGGAACTGTTACAAATTGGGCAGTAATTGAGAGAGGTGGGGCATTGACAGACACTGAATTAAAAAAAGATGTTATAAAATTATTTATTAGCAAAACTTATTAAAAATTGAGGACTTTATTGCAGATTTAATATACTTGGGATTAGGTGTGCTCTGCGCTGGCTATTAACTAATTGTTATTGAATTTTATATAGGTCTTATGTTTTTTTTACTGTATTTTTCATGCTTAATTATGTATGTTTATATGTACACATGACGTCAATAAGTGCCTGTGAAGGCTTATGTTTAATAAAGTTATTCTGATTGATTGATAGCGGATTTTGACACCTTACAGAAAACCACAATAAAATAATACTATCTTTTGGTGGTGTTGTGTTTCTGTCAGTGTATAGGTTCCTGGGCTCCACGGTGTAGGGGATTGGGTTAGGGTAGGCAACGGCACGAGGGATATTGTTTGCATCGCAAGCGTCTATAGGCTATGGTGGCCGCTTACCATCAGGCGGGTCATATGCTTGTACCCATTTAACATAATAAGAATACAATGCGATTCAAATAAGAATAGGATCGACTGGGCGCCATATTGTGACGTCATAGCTGTCAATTCAAACCAGCTTAGTAGAGTGAGCAAAAAAGTTTTTCTTTAATAAAACTTATTTACATATATTAAGTAAGAAAAAATATCAGATTTTTAATAATATTTATTTATGGAGACATTAATCAGAATCTAGCTCTTTAGTTACTCTCATCTCTGCACTACCGTTATTTTAGTTAGTTTACTGGAGTATTCGTAATCATCACTGCTGCTTTTGGCTATAAAATAAAATGACGATTATTGTAGGTTTTAAAACAACAACTTTTATTATCTGTATTTATAAAAAAACAAAAGTTCTTATGTTTCCCTTTTTCAGTACTATTTTTTTTACGTTTCTTAAGATTTATTTCCTTCTTTTGTTTACAAATGTTTGGTATAAAAGTGATACAAGTTTTATTTTTGCAAACCATACTTTTCAAGCGACATGGAAGGTCATTGGCTTTCTTATTCTTATTTGAATCGCATTGTAAGTTGGTCCCGTTTTTAGGTACACATTGTACAGTGTGACTCGGGAAACATTAGAGACGGGTGCTTGGCGAGGTCGTGCCTCCTTGGTGGCCGTCGCGGGTTGCGTAGGGAGATGCGCTCCGCTACTGTTAGCCCATTTACTAGACGGCGGCAGATTGCTGGCACTCTGTTCCGACTTGCTGCACACCGTGCTACCGTATTATAAGACTGCTGAGGTAACACACAAAATTAATTAGAACTAAACAGATAAACAGATTAAAACCAAGAAACAGTAATTAATATGGGTATTTGACAAACCTAGATTTTAGAAATGCCCAATTTTTTAATAATTTGTTTAAATATAAGTAGATATTCTTTCTGTGAAAGTACTGAAAGTATAAAATCAAATTAATTTAGATTTTAGAAATGCCCAATTTTTGAATACTTTGTTTAAATATAAGTAGATATTCTTTCTGTGAAAGTCCTGATAGTATAAAATCAAATTAATTTAGATTTTAGAAATGCTCAGTTTTCAATTACATACTTTGTTTATATAGAAGTAAGTAAGTTAAGTAGATATTCTTTCTGTGAAAGTCCTGAAAGTATAAAATCAAATGATTTTTTCCTATTGAGTATATTGTAACTATCTATGATGATAGTTACAATAATGAATATAAACCTTGACATTAATTCTTTCTTATTAGGGTACAGACGATAGTGGGATGTTCAGTACATATTTTTCAACAGGTTTGTTATTGTTTGTTTACAAAAGTTCAATTTCATTAATTCATAGGTTCGTGAAAACGAAGTAGTGCAATTTTCTTATGACAAATGGAAATCAGTGAAAATGAAACACCACATATTCTGCTACCAAGCGTCCCCAGCAAAGAAACAATTCTCTACGGAAACAGATAGACAGTAAGTACTCTTAAATATCGGCTAACCGAATTTTGGTTAAGAAGCAAGCGCGTACCTACAATTTTATAATCACGTAAAAAAAAATCGTCTTTATGTCACAATATTTTTTTAAGATACAAATACTACATTTTCAAGATGTGTATTTGCTTTTATAATATTATTATAACTTTTCGCGAGTTTGGCCCATTTTAAAGTAATTATTATATAAATTTATAACGCTGCGCTGCGTCGCGCGAGTGACTGGTGCCTGGTAAAATATTGGTAAGACTTAATGTAAAGGAAATCCTTAGTCTATGTCTATCTATAAAATATCAAGTTTGTTACCAGGGATACTTACATTTAAGCGAAAGTCTACCAATTGTTTTGCAATGGTTGTAAGAAAATAAGCTTATAGTGGGTCAAACCCCCAGGCATGAGCACCGCGATATGATATATAACGCGTTTTTATCACGCTCAATTGTCAAATTACTATGGAGTTTGACAGGTAGATGCGATAAAAAACGTGATATAATGTAAATTTTGGTGCTCATGCTACGGGGACAGGAATCAAATTGGCTGATGGAACATTTTGTAGAGATTATATGACATGTATCGGTTTTTTAACCATAAAGATATTACAATAAAGTTTATAATGTGTATCATTTGTAAACAAAGTACCTTAAAAATCACAAATCGTACGCGCTTGCTCAAAGATAAATTATTATTTTTAGAAGTACTAACATTACGTGTTTTTTATAATACATGTTTTCGTAAACTTTTCAGAGCAAGCCAAGAAAATAATATGTATCGGTATGCAATTAACAATATTTGTATCAAGAATTTGTTTTTTTCTGTATACCAAATGATATTAATTTTTTTTGAAATCACTACCAGTAATTTTATCAAAATTAGTGATATAAAATATAGTGTGATAAGCATAATGATATTTTTTTTTATCTATTTATCCCATCTAGCTGCTAAGCACTAGTATACTAGACTTATTTACTAGAGTAATGAATTAGAGCACCGCATATGAAATTGCTTTTCTAATGCATCTTTACTCTTATATTTAAACCAGGAGTATTAGAAAATTATAGAATGCGCCATTTGCTAAACATCCCGCGCAGATAATAATGGTTAAAGTAGTACTAGGAAAACTGCAGCTGCAACTGGGAATAATTAATGGCTCTTAATAGCACGGAGCACTTCGAGATTTTATATTTTTGGTTACACATTCTATCCCAGGTCCACTGTGAAGTTGCAGCAAAAATCAAATGCAAGTTCCTGTAACATACACTACGCTTAACAACTATTTATTAAAATGGCTTAAACAAATCAGTTTTACTTTTGTGTTTCAATTAAAATAGTTCATTTAGTAATAACATTAGTTGACTTGAATTTCTTGTAACAATGACGAACTTAAACTTAAAAATGCAGTTTTGTGTGAATATACAGTTCATCTTTGCATGTTATAATTAGCGATGTTTACTTTCTGAACCATATTATAGTTAGTTCCTCAGTGTTACATGAAAGTGAACCTTAACTCGCATGATTAGCGTTAATTATCTAAATACTGGTAATATATAAGGTCTTGCCCTCTTTTCTACCATTAGCTCTGTTCCTCTTAAAGTGATAATTACTTATATTAACATCCTATAGCAATGCCACTACTGCTTAATATTTCAACGTAACTAACTAACTTCATACGACTATTTCTTAGTCGAATTATTGACGATATATTTTAATTAAATTTATCCAGAATAGTGTGCATTAAGTTATTGCATGTGGCAATTCAGCTTGCATTGCCTATTGAACAATAGCACGCAGCAAATTAAATTTTATGCCTAACGTATTAAGGTCGTCTTCTAACTTTATGCACAAAGTTGTGCTGCAATGACACCACTATCGTGATTCTTACTTGTATAGCAGCTAGCCAAGCATTACACCCAGGGCCCGATTTTAGGCAGGGGGGGCTGTGGCCTACAAAAGAGATAAAAATAAATGTTGATCGGTCACCAACCAGGGGGAGGGGGAAGATTGCACAACGTACTCGTAAGTGACCCGGCCGCCTAGATTCGGGGGCCATTCCTTCGTTGCGCCAGGGCCAGACACCTTTAAATCAGGCCCTGGTTACGTCTCTTAATAACGGCCATTGTTTCGTATCGATAAAAAGGACAAGTATATTCCACACTAGTAAAATAAAGACTGACTACTAACTAACAGAGCAGCGACCTCGAAGCGACATCAAAGCTGACTGTCACACTTGGATTTTCACTACATTTTAACTGACACCAATTTTTATTGGTCTTTATGTAATAAGCAATATGCTTGGAAATGCAGTGCCACCTAGTCCACCAAGTTTCAAGCAAGCTCTCACATACACGACTCTAATGCGTCAGAATCTTTACTTTGCAGTGCTTCTCAATATCAGTAACGAATCATTGCAGCACTTCTTCGGATCTCTAATTTGAAGGTCGCCTTAGAGCTTTAAGTCCCGTGGCTCAGCCTGACATTTATTTCAGGCCTTCCAAATACACTGGGCATCCAGGTCACGAGCTCGATATCCAGGTTCTAGCATCCGAGGAGACCTGGAGGACGCCCTCGCTACTGCAAGCGACAGACCTTACGAACAATGGAATAGCAATCTTTTCACAAGTACGTAAGAACCTTTTTCGATTGGGCAATCTCACGAATGCTCCTGGTTGTCAGCGGAATATAAAACAGAGCTGAAGTATGAGTATTGTGGGCCCCATAGCTCTCTCTCTTTCCAGGCAGTTATCAATTTGCAAGTGGCGCTCAGGCTATTTCCTTTGTCTATGCTGGCGACAACAATAGTATTTGTTTAAGAAACATAGACAATCATACTTGCGAAATGAGACTTACTGTGTAAAATTGCTACATTATGGTCGATTCCTGTAACGCAAAATGTTACCGACAATTATGTTTTTTATGGTTCCGTTGAGAGTTAAGAACTCGAAACTACAAAAAATATGCAGTCGAACACAGAACCTCCTCCTTTTTTGAAGTCGGTTAAATTAAGCATTCATTACATATTCAAGTAATTTAGATAACAGATGGCAAAATCTATGATTTTATTATTTCTAGATACATTTAGAAGTCGACCCAAGCGACTATTTAGGCGAGGAAGGTGTGAAAAGCAACGAAGCTCGTCTCGGTATAATTCACAAGATCATTGGAGACACCCTCGGCCTCCACGTTAAAGATCCCAAAGAGGTCTCGCACATAGAATACACCAGGGGATTTTTTCTAGGAAATCATGTGGTAAGTTTTAAGGTTTTTATAGCATTCAGTAAACCGCATACCCATCATAGTAGAAATTGCTGAACGATGACGTTTATATTTTTCTAATTATGAACTAAGAAAAAATGCGATAAAGTAATTCCCGCCTTTTTTTTAACCTTTTTGTTGGAGTGAAAAAAAATAAAGAAAGCCACGAGCAATTGTTTTATCGGACATGAAAATTAAATACCCTTTTGTGAAATGTGAATAATTGTGAAATATAAACGTCTTTGATAGATTGAGGGTTATGGAAATTAAGTATATAGATTGTTTTTCAGTAATTTGTGACGTGATAATGTGCATTATTATTAGTTGTTTGAGATTAAGACGATTACAAATATTGCGGTATACAACCGCAGATTATATTTAGAAAGCTTTTTAGATACACCGTCATATGGTATCACTATTATATAAAAATATCACTCATCATCACGAGAGAAGAAAGCACTATGTATTCTAGAGACAAAAAAATGTGTATAGAAGTAAATTATGTTAGATAACCTTCACACGGAACACAGCTTCGCACTTACTATGTAAAGTCGGCATTCCTATATGTTTACACATTGTTCAGGTTTTTTTAGGAACTTCTTAAGCTAATCCGCAGACGAATAAATTCGCGACGTAGATAATTTTGTATGTAAAATTACTATTGCGCAAGCTCCGTTGTCTATGGTTTATGCTTAAGAGGTTTGCCGGGATGTATTTAAAAGTGCCAATTGTTAGCATCTGTATTTAGAATGAAAGTTGGCAGGGGGTTTTACTATTTTTACGGATAAATATTCATAATTTTATTAAAAACCCATGAAAAATATAAAAGTTTTTATAACAGAAAGTGGAATAAAAATAGTATAAACAATTTACACAGAAGGACACCCGCACACTTAAAAAAATAATGTTTTGAACAATTACTTCATACATGTAATGAGGATCACACAGAAAAACAAAATACTTCGACAGATCAAATATCTGCCTATTACTTGGTCAGCAAATCAACTCAAAATCAACAGTATAATGATCTAATAAACTTTTTCATTAATATACTTTTTAAATCATCGAAATCGGTTCATTCGTTGCGATGTTATAACGAATTTTATGGTAGCCAATATTCACCGGCGGTCGAAACGTGTGACGTCACAGAGCTCGATCGTGGTTCATTACGCTCGAACTTTAGAAGCGTCTATACGCATTTAGTCCCTTTTCCACAACTACTAATTAAATTCAACATGCTATTATACAACGTTTATAAATAGTAGAATCACACCACTGTCCCTCATATGCCTGAAGTGTGAGGAGAACATCCTTTAAGGTAGTTTCGCGTTGTCTCAGAAAACATAGTGTAATCGAAAGTGAACCTTATGCGTTGGTAACAAGTGTTGTCCGGTAGGGGCGGCCGGCGTCGACGTCTGGCCCCGGCCACGTGACGGTGTGATCCCTGGTGAGACTCACCGAACACTGTGTTTACACGATTATTTTGACGTTTAACCGCGAGTTTCAATCATCAGCCTTCAGGAAAAACTACACAGATCTCTTTCTTAGCAACGGTTGTCACTTTTAATCTAAATAATAAAAATGTTTAGGCAACTAAGCTCTTATAATCCTATCCCTTACTGAAGTTTGATTATTGAAACTGGGCGTACAAAGAATTCTCAACAGAATTTGTACCAGTGCAATCTGCATTTTAAAATCTAAGCTATGTATTTACATGGCAACAACTCGCACGCAACCTGTTGTTTCAAATGTACACAAAGTAACATTGGTTGTCCAGAGTCTTATCATAGATAATATTGCAAAAGTAGACTCCGAGAGAGAAACATATCGAAGTCTTTGAAAAAAATTTACAGTGCGAGCAAGATTTTTATGAATGTGAGTGACAGTTCAGGGAGGGCACCACTGTTTATGTAAATGACATACAAAATATGACGTTTACAAAGACGGCTTCGTTAGTTTTTGCCACATTCATAAAGATCTTGGTCGCACTGTTGCCCGGCTCTCATTCATTCATCGACAAGACTTTATTTACGAGTATAAAGGGGCTCAAGTCTTTTACAACACTATTTCAAAACATATTGTGTGCAATTATGTGAAGTCACAACCATAGACAATCAGGCATAGAGAATAAACTAAGCGTTCCTTGTCCAATCACGACTACGCACCATCCATCCTGCTGGATCCAACGTGCTAAACAGCGCGATACATGTAAAAGAGATGGAGATACAGGGGTATCATACGACTGGCAGATAAGTGCGAGCGAGACGTAGCGACCGTGCCAATAAAAGTTCATTCATATGAGTATTGGCTACATTATCGCTTTCTCTTTCTCGTAGAGAATTTCAAGCGAGTGTTATGTTAAACAACATTTTGTTGCGATCCAAATGTTTCCTAATACAATATTTACGAACTTTTTTTTACTACTTATACATTTTCTGTTGAGATTTCGTGCTACATAATGCTTTAGTGCTTTCTATGTAAAAATAAAATTATAATAATTTGCTCTTTACATAAATATATTTTATTGTATCACACACGTTTATTATACTCGCTTTCGGCACTTTTATCGCATTAACAAAATAATATTTTACAGAAATAATGGCTGTTGGAACGGGCTGTGAGAATATTTTAACAATACTTCGGTTCATAAGATAATCTGGTTGTTTTAAGAATGATTGTATTTTGCATCCTTTTCGATTAATACAGTTAATTTTTTACATTAAATTTGCTTGCTAATTATAAAATAGTATTAGTCCATTTTTTTCAATTCTTTTCAAAGTTATCGACTTTTATATTGGCAATTAAATTCTCCGCATGATAATGTTTTTAAAATTATAAACAAAATCAAACAATGTTTTTCTTTAAGATATGTGTACTTTATTTATGTGTGGCAATAAAAAAATTAAATTAAAAAGAAATCTTAGCAATAGCAGGATCTTACTATAAAAAAGTTAGACATGGTTGAAAACCATGGTTTAGGCGAATTTTGTATATTTTTTTTCTTAAACTCGTGTTGAACGCATGCCTAACTTTTTTGTGGTAATAAGCAAAATATTCTACACCTGACTATTTTCAACCTTATGATGATTGGAATAAAACTTTGTTTACCGTAGCAAAAGCTATCGCTCATGGAGCAATGGTGTCCGCCTTCGGAAGCGCCACGAGTGCAGAAACTTGGTGATATAAGGATACAGTGGTGCCTAAGGGGCGAGACACCCATTGAGCCTCCTTCTAGCAACTTCTTGCCGGTCTACGTGTACGAATGTCCAGACAACTTCTCCACAGTAGAATACTATGACGTGAGTAATACTTTTCATTCTTTCAACGATAAAAATTAGGTAAATATATAAAATTGTATTCTTTAAAAAAAGTAAAGAACTGTGAACTGCATTCATCCAAAATAGGAAAATTTATCTCATAACGACCTTACTCTTACCACTTTTACTAATGATTATGAGATTATGGCTCTAGGTTGTGTGATATTAAAGCAATGAGCAGGGGCCCAATTCTCGCGGCATAGATATTATATCACTTTCGATATATATCGAATGATCTGGCTTTTATCGAAGGAAAACCTTTTTGCCCTATTCTCACCATGTCGCAATAGATATTTATCTACGGATGATCAGTAGACATACATCGACTGCTAAATAGCCTTCGATATATAAATATCTATGGATCTTGGCATGTCAATCTTGTTATTTCCACTTTCTTTACCTATTATTTATTGTGTTGTCGTGTGTCTTTGCCAATTATTGTTACCTCAAGATGTTGTTAACTGCCTTCATAAATAATTAGTAAATAAAGAAGTAGGTAAACAATGGTGTCGATTCTGGCGTGATTCTCTAAACTTAAAACTAAATTTAACATCAGTCTCTCTTTTTCATTCTGTATAGGGAATGACAAGGAAACACCGTTTGTCAAGTTTAAGTTTAGATTAAGAGAATCGTGCCAGAATCGACACCATTTTCTTATTGACGATACGGAGTTTTGGCGGGATTTCTGCGAGTGCGGTTGGCATCTTATGTTAATTATTGGTTGTAACACCAAATCACACCAATTTTATTTCACAATATCCACTATGAACGAATTTTAGAATAATTAAAATAAGACGCCAATCGCACTCGTAGAAATCCCGCCAAAAACTCCGTATCGTCAATAAGAAAATGGTATCGATTCTGGCATGATTCTCTAAACCTAAACGTAAATTTGACAACAGTGTATCCTTGTCATTCTCCATACAGAATGAAAAGGAGAGACTGATGTTAAATTTAGTTTTAAGTTTAGAGAATCGTGTCAGAATCGATACCAATGTCATTCATAACTTTATAGTTTTCTAACCAAATTTTTGTTTAAACGTAATTTTTTTATGAAGTCGGCGTCCCTCATTTCAACTGGGCCCTCTTGCTCTCACAACGGCGGCGCCTTAGCACAGCAGCAGCAATCACGTCATTTATTAAATCATTGACGAAAACATGAATCAACTCATCTATCGTTAATATAAACTGGTGTCGATTCTGGCACGATTCTCTAAATCTAAACTTAAACTTGACAACAGTGTTTCCTTGTCATTCTCTATACAGAATGAAAAAGAGAGACTGATGTTAAATTTAGGATTAAGTTTAGAGAATCACGCCAGAATCGACACCATTGTTTACCTACTTCTTTATTTACTAATTATTTATGAAGGCAGTTAACAACATTCTGAGATAACAATAATTGGCAATGACACACGACAACACAATAAATAATAGGTAAAAAAAGTGGAAATAACAAGATTGACATGCCAAGATCCATAGATATGTATATATCGAAGGCTCCTTACCAGTCGATGTATGTCTACTGATCATCCGTAGATAAATATCTATTGCGACATGGTGAGAATAGGGCAAAAAGGTTTTCCTTCGATAAAAGCCAGATCATTCGATATATATCGAAGGTGATATAATATCTATGCCGCGAGAATTGGGCCCCAGCTCAGAAACATGAATGTTCGCACTAGAGATTTTTTAAGGCGCGTCAAAAAGTATTCAAGTTAAGCCATTAAGTGCTTTTATCGCGGCAATTTGTTATCGAACTACGTTGTATTTTATGTTTTCGGTGTCAGTCGTAAAGTTTAGAAGGCGATTTTAAATGTGCTTACTAATTTAATTCTTACGACGACATTGCTTGTTAAAGTGAAATGTTGTATCGTTCAGGTGTGTCTGCTGCGCAATGTTTGGAACAAACATTGTTCTCGAACATTGTTTGTTCAAAACATTTCCAGTCCGCTGCGACTTTAGCAATGTTCAATAAACAAAGTTTTTTTAACAAAATTTCATATTAAAAAAAAAAGCAATGAGGAAAATGTGAACATTGTTTAGCCTGTAGTGGATTTAGTTCTCTTTATTTTATCGATTGAATTTGATCAGAGGCTCAACCATTTTGTGTTCACAGAATTCACAGTGCCCATAACTTCCGCCACTTCCGCGAAGGCATTTGATTTTTGTTTTATTTTTATTTGAAGTTGCATCCCAAATTACAGTTCATTCACATATCAAAATAATTAATTCCAATGCTATCTCTGGATTCCACTCCACAATGCACTTCATCATGAAAGCCATCACATCAAAACACGTCTTCCTACGCCAAAATCAAACATAAAATGAACGATTGTTTGTTGTTTGTTTGTTTTTTGTGTTTTTTACAAACTCCGGCAAACACGTTCAAGTGTTCAAAACATTTAGGCCACACCTCTAATTATGTTTTCCAACAATTTTCTGTTCAAAACATGGCGCAGCGGATGCGCCTTTCTATTGCTATCAATCAAATAAAGTGACAACGTTAACTTTTATCAAACTATTTTTTTATTATCTAGGAAGTTTGCACATTTGATGAAGAAAGCTAATTCTCTCAATTGTAACTATGTACCAAAGTGGACGATGTCCAATACATTTTGATGGAATGTGTGAAGAACAGAAGAGAGAGAGAGAGCTATTCATACAAAAATATCGACTTAACTTAAGAATATACCTAGGTTCCTTTGTGAAAATATTAGCACTTCCAAACTCAGACGCAGCGAAGTCGATGTTTGATATGGTTTTCGCTAGTAGGAATAGCTCGGCCTCTAATTTAAATTAAATTAGTTTGTGTAAGTTTTGATTAGGGTAAGATGAAGCTGGCCTATTCGTAGAATGAAAGCCTTTAAATGAATAAAGAATAAGAATAAAGTATATTAACGACTTTGAATAGGGCTGTTAGATTGCGTTTAAAAAGAGCGCTATTTTTAAAGCCATGATTTAAGGCAGCGGTGGAAAACAAATATTGAGAACGTTGTAAACGCTTAACGTCGGGATTTTAACGCGCTGAGAAGAGGAGAGTTTTTTGTGTCTCATAAAGTGTAACGCTCCGGCCAAATTCTTAAGCAAAAAGCGCAGAAAAATAGGACAACGGAGTCTAATGCGCTACTGCAAACAGTCTTGCAAACAAATGTCAAATAGTTACTAATATTTGACATTTGTATGCAAGACATTTTTGTAAACAACTAATGCGCAAGTTTATATGTCTGTGGATTTGCTCAAGAAATTTGTCGCCATCTATACCACTAGTAAAGCCTCGATGACACGAGGCAAGTTTACAAGCTGCAAGCCAGCGAGTTTGCTAGCTTCAAAACTCGCCCCGTGTCATCGGCTTTTTTATCATCTGCTACTCGATGATACGGGGCGAGTTTACAAGCTACTAGAGTACTCGCTGGCTTGTAGCTTGTGAAACTCGCCTCGTGTCATCGAGGCTTAAAAGTACCGTTTGTCGGCAGAACCTGACATCCCGTTCTCTCGGGCGCGTGGTTATCTACACCGATATTGTCACCACCACCATGGACCTGGTGGGGGTACCGCTGGGGCATGGCGTGGCGGCCGTCGCCCGGCGGCAGTCGCATGCGGTCGGCCGTCGCGGCAACACGTGGCTGTCGCCTGTGGGCCAGGCCGTGATGTCATTACAGGTCAGAGTTGCCACATTTTTTTGCCAACTCGGGATTGAGTAACTTCTTGAGTGAAAAAAGAGTGATTATTTCGTTGAAAGCGGGACATAGTAAAAAAACGTATATATGTATTTTAAATCAGATTTACCCTATCGTTAAATATTTGAATCTTTGTTTGAGAGTTCTTCATTATACGTCGGGAAGGTGGCCAGTTCTCGCCCGTTGGCCGGGCTGTCCTGTCTTTACAGGTCCCATCCCTCCCCTTAAACTTATAATACCCGCCGCGACAACATGATTTCTCCACCCCCATACATTCACCACACTTCAATACTCGTATCGTAATAAGGATCATCTCATAGATACAGATTCAATATCTAAAGGTAGACTTTCGAAGCGAGCGTCAGATAATATTTCTATGCAAATGACATTGTAAGTGCCGCTTTGACCGACGCTAACATTGATATTCGACAAACCGTCCGATAGCCACTGATCAAAGCCACTGAGTCTATATCAGTCTGTCAGCATGTGTGCGTCTGATAACCACAAATTCAATACTGACACACCATCTGATATCTGACGGTCCGATAGCAACTGGCTGAGGGTCTGACATTATACTGACTGACAGCCGTACTGATAACTATAACTCAGGCGTACTTTACAACAAAATCTTAAATAAAATTTAAAAGCTAATTTAGAAGCATGAGCCTCACTCTATCTCTATTTGAGTTTAAACAATTGATGAAAATGGAATGATGGTGTTAAACAGAATTAAGCCTTAATTTGAATTAAGAATATTGACGCCAGTGGTCCTCAATGATTATACCGTCTGGTATATACTGAGTAACAGAGAAGAATACGTGTTAATTGTTCAATATTTATCTTCAGATATGGCAGAAGATGTCACCAACCCTCCCATTAGTTCAGCACGCGGCTGCGCTCGCCGCCGTGCGTGCCATTCGATCAATACCCGCGTACGAACATTTGGACATTAGGTAAGTTAAATATATAGACTTACTAGCTGGCCCAGCGAACTATGTACCGCCATAAAAAATAGGGGTTGGTGGTAGAAGGGTGAAAATTTAGGGTTGTATGTATTTTTGTATGATGTATCATAAAAAAATAAAAATAAAATTGTCCAAAAAAAATTAAGGGTTTAAAAAATCATCCCTTAATATTTAGGGGGAAGAAAAATAGATCTTGTCCGATTCTCAGACCTACTGAATATGCATATAAAATTTCACGAAAATCGGTCGAGCCGTTTCGCAGTAGTTCAATTACGCACATCGTGATACGAGAATTTTATATAGATTCCATAATCATGCCCTTTCCCAACCAAAGGATAATTTATTTATGTCAAGTGAAGCCGTTATGGTCTAGAATATAATATCTCCAAATCCTTCGTGCTCCGGAAGGCACTAGCCGTTGGCCTCGGCTGCATTTGACATCCTTAATACCCACACATTCGCACTGGGCCCGCGTGGGTGATCATGGTCCAATTTCCTATTCCTTCCAAAAGAAAAGTCTGCACCCCAGCAGTGGAGACATTAATAGGCTGATGATCGCCTAGAATAGTTTATTGAATTAGAATTTTGCTCAAATTGGCAATAGGGTATTTGACAAGTTTAAGAAAACGATCTCACGTTTTGACTAATGTTTATGGAGTCCGTGGATATTCATCATTCTGTTGTGTATTTAAGTAAAAATAGTCAAATCAATAACTCCATTTTCAAGTTGCCGCGAAAACGTTTCTCTGGACAATATGGCGTCTTACCAGTGTGTGACGTCACACGACTGTTATTAAAACGTCAAACGATGCAATGTAATGTCACTATAACCAGAAGTTTACTTGCGTGTGACGTCATATTAGACTCCGCCAATCCCAAGCGTTTTGGGTCACGTGACAATAGATAAGAAAACTATTATCTTTTTCTGAGTTTTTAGTATTATATATTTTTTTTTGTAAAAATAGTAAAAAACCCCTGCCAATATTCATTCTAAACACAGGTTTAGAATGAATATTGGCAGGGGTTTTTTACTATTTTTGGCAGGGCAGTATCTGTATGCTGGCACTTTATTTTTGACACTGTCAAATACCATATTTTGTTTTTATCTTATTCAGCCCCAATTAACAGACTTGTGACGTGTAAGTCTACCATGCCACATGTTTTTTAAAAAAACTCACCTGTTTTAAATAACTATGACAAATGCTTATAAACATTAATTTTATACAAATAAATGAGATGGTTATATGATCTTAAAGACTAATACGAATAATTTCCTTAACTATCACTGTCTTTATCTCGTGGTTTACCTGATTCCTTTTTATTTAACAATCTTAAATAGGCTTTCCTATTAAAAACTCATTAATGAGTAAAATATTTCTGTTAGCAACTAAAAAAAATACTAATAACGAATTTATTGCCTCAAATTATGTTTCCTATTATCGTTTACTCTTCTTACTCCGGATTGATTAATCCATTTTGTAAGGTACATGACCATGATATTTTAATATTGTTTATTTATCATAAATATCAGGCAAACAAAAAAAGGAGGAGCTCGATGGCGCAGGTGGTTAGCGCGTTCGGCTGCGATCGTTGAACTTAAGCAACTTTAGCTGTGGTTGGTCATTGGATGGGTGACCAAAAATCTTCCATCTCGAGTTCCTCCGTGCTTCAGAAGGCACGTTGAGCCCTAGGTCCCGGCTGCATTTGCAGTTGTTAGCACCCGCCAATCCGCACTGGGCCCGCGTGGTGGCCCAATCTCCCTATTTCAAAGAGACCGGTACACTACATAACGAATGGCGTTATGAAATTTCCAATTGTCTACCATCACGGCTTATGAATTTGATACTAACTGTATTGAGACAAACGGGCAGTCAGCAGTCTTGTATAGTTATATGCTTCAGTTGTTGTAGGTTCAGAACACTTATTAGATTTGTTCAATTTTTTTTATGAAAAGAAAAGAAAATTTGTTTGTTTCTGTAAATCGAATGGCAAATTATTGTAGACCAATCGTGACCAAACAAGTGTGTTTTGTTTTGCAGAATAAAGTGGCCGAACGACATCTACTTTGGGCGCGAGGTTAAAATAGGCGGCACCATTACGCTTGCGAATTGCATGGCGGATAACGTCATCATCACAGTAGGTCAGTATCCCTATTATATATATTTATGATAATCTATACATATAATAAAATGGTAGGAAAGTCAAAACTGTACATTGAATATTTTTTTAAATCACTTTTTTTAATCAATACTTGTTGTGTGATCATTTTTCGTTTTTAGAATTTTTGTCTGTTCGTCTGTATGTATGTCCGGGATAAACTAAAAAAAGTACTGCATGGATTTGCTTCAAATTTGGCACGAATATTAGGAAGAAGTCGGGTCAACAAACAGGCTACATATTATCACGCTCTCACCTACAGGGAACGAGCTGTGAACCTTTATTTCTAACTAACTCCACGCGTACGAAGTTGCGGGCGGCCGCTAGTTATAAATATATATTGTATCTTAAAAAAAATACAAAATACTTTATTTATATTTTAAAGCTGAAGGTCGAAACCGCTTACCTCAGGAACTAATGTTTCGAGAAAATTTACGTTGGACAATCCATTAATCAAGGAAGATTTATGCTATATAAGGAACATCACGCTACCACCAATAGAATCACGATATTAATTAATGGCTTGTGGTGACTTCAATCATTTGTGTAACCAAACTAATGTTAGAGAAATAAAGTTATTATTAATGCGAGTAAAACCACAGGAAAGAGTTAGTTTAAACAAAAAATATAATTATTCCATAGGTACCGGAGTAAACATAAGTAACAGCATACCGACTATATGCTTGAACGACATAATAGCACAACACAACAGGAAGCATGGCACTTCCCTACCCTATATTACAGTGGAAAGATTTCTAGCGCGATATTGCTCCGAACTGGAGAGGACCCTGGACTATATGACGACAGAAGGAGGGGTGGAAGCATTCCTGGAACAATACTACCAGTACTGGTTACATTCGTAAGTATAGCAATATTATAAAGATTGGGTAGTGGTCTCCATGATGGTAGAAAGATTCCTAGGGCGGTAATGTTCTGAATTGGAGAGGACCCTGGACTACATGACGACAGAAGGAGGGGTGGAAGCATTCCTGGAACAATACTATCAGTATTGGTTACATTCGTAAGTATAGCAATATTATAAAGATTGGGTAGTGGTCTCCATGATGGTAGAAAGATTCCTAGGGTGGTACTGTTCTAAATTGGAGAGGACCCTGGACTATATGACGGCAGAAGGAAGGGTGGAGGCTTTCTGGAACAATACTACCAGTACTGGTTACATTCGTAAGTATACATAGCAATATTATAAGATTGTGCAATGGCCTCCATGATGGTAGAGATATTCCTAGGGCGGTACTGTTCTGAATTGGAGAAGACCCTGGACTATATGGTGACAGAAGTGGGGGGGGGGAGGCATTCCTGGAGCAATACTACCAGTTCTGGTTACATTCGTAAGTATAGCATTATAATAAAGATTGTTTAGTGGCCTCCATGCTGATAGAGATTGTAAGGGCGATATTGTTCTGATTTTTTCCTGATGCCTGGACACACGGTGATAGAAGTGGGGGGAGGGGGGAGGCATTCCTAAAACAATATTTCCAATACTGGCTTCCTTCGTGAGTATAGCAATATAATATTTTTTTTAGTGGTTTCCATAAAGGTGGATAGATCCCTAGCTGGAGAATTGGACCAATTTCAAAGATCCTTTCACATTACAACGGTCTAATAATGTCCCTACTGCTGGGCACAGATCTTCCCTATGGATGAAATAGGGTCAGTACGGATTAATGAGTGCTAATGAGATTGTAGATGCAGGAGTGATCAACGGCTTAACGTAAACGGCTTCCGAAACACGGAGGGAATTTGTGTTTATGCATCCTGCAATCAGCTATTGCGACAACTACAACCTTACTGCTACCTGAGAAATTAAAAAAAATAGCTAGTAATAAACAGTAAAGATATCCCCCCTCCATACAAAAATATTGTTTGTTCGTTTCGTTCGTTCGTTTACAAAATATCCTAAATGGCGCAAATTTGTAAATAACATACCTATTATAGAACTATTAATATCCGTTTAAAATATATACGTAGATTCTAAAAGTTATATTTGTATCAATGTATTAGAAAAAAAAATGTTAAGTTTTCATAATTGCACAATTAATGAGTTCACGTGGAAACACTTTTCGAAAATATAAATAAGAGATTTTGTTTTTGCTGAAACCTTATTCGTTGTCTGAAGTAACTTGCAAAGTTTCTTAGATAACTCAAAATTCACTGTGTATATATATTTTTTACTTTTGTGACGAACAAAGCTGCTCTCTCTATCTGTCAAATTATCTATTTATCCGGGTAATTTCTTTTCTGTGTTAGTGACGAGGAGATCCGCGTACAAACAGAAGGTGGCAACGCCTCCATAGTCCACGGGAAAGTGGAGGGAGTGGATGAAGCAGGATGGCTGATTGTTCGTGCTAACGGCTCCACACTACGCCTCGAGCCTGACGGGAATACATTCGATATCATGGCCGGACTAGTCGCCCCTAAACGATAACCCTACCTGTGTAGGGTTACCATCCGTCTAGGAGACTTTTACTCTATAGTACGGACTTTGTCCGGATTTTTTAAATGACATTTAATATGAATAATAGAAGTACATATTGATTTAAATACCATACCGTTGTGATAATGTTACCATTTTGTGACTAAAAAGTCCGGACTTTTTTCGATATGTCAGGATTTTTGTCAGGACTTTTGAAATTCCTAAATGGTAACCATATACCTGTGAGCAATATTTACTATATGAGGAGCTGGCGAACAAAACGGTATAATTACCTAAAAATTAAATTTTACAGGAGCTGTACAAAACTGAATGACATACCTCTAGTGAGCTTTTGGCATGGTTTTCAATTTATAAATTTAGTAATTTTAACAGTTTAAGGCGGTTTTGATTGAACATAATTTGAGATTCAAATTTAACAGGCCCGAAACCTCCGGATTGTAAAAAAAAGTAGTTTGACCAGATGCGTAATTATACCCTTTTTTTCGCCAGCTCCTCCTAACATTAAAGAAAAAAATTAATGACCATTAGTTCGGAATACGGTATTCGATAAGTTTTAGAAAACGACCTCACGTTATTACTAATGTACAAAGGTCCATAAAAAGGATATTCATCATTCTATTGTGGATTTCAGTAAAAAAAGAACTAAATTAAAAATTACATTTTAGGTTAAGCCGCGAAAACGTTTCTCTGAACATTATGGCTTGTCACTAGTATGTGACGTCACACGACTGTCATAAAAATGTCAAACGATACAATGCAATGTAATGGTAATATTATTATATAAAATGAAAACTACACAACTCATATTTTCAAGCTTTCGCACAGAGCCATTTTGTAACTAATAACGAAAACACTACAATTGTCACTAAAGTCTAAAACAGCCCCGATCTTATATCAAGAATTACCGACAGTTTGTTAAATATGTCGCCTTTAAAAAAGAGGCGGGCAATTATAACATGTGACAAATGCCTGTCATATTTATAAGCATTTCTGAAAATGTTCTTAAAATTAACACATTATAACCTGTCACTCGACAATTGTCAGCTTACATATGTCAGTGACATAATGTCGACTTGGTGAATTAGGGCCCACTCACACCAACAAATGACACGAAAGAAATCGAAGTTAGGACATGTGGAGTAGAAGGAACGAAAACACCAAATAGAATACATAATTTTATTCTAGATAAACTTCAATTGAAAAGCCAAGCTGACTAATTTGATTATGAAATTAGTTTTTTTTTACTTTTTTTTCGTTTACGGATGTTTTAATTTGACGTCCGTTCGATGAGCGATTTCGTTGTCCAGACTCGGGCTATTAGGTCTATCTTTTTTATTGGTTTAGAGGGGAGGCGGGCAATGTTTTTTCCATACAAACGCTCTCGACTGATTCCTCCTTGATTTTTATCACTAGAGAAATGATTTTCATACATAAAATATAATTTCACTCATTCTATGCTCCCATGTCTTCCTTTTTTCGATAACTTGTTATTTAAAGAAAGTAGAAGCCGTCAAAAATGCCAAAAATAAACTATTTTTTATTACCACTAAAGACGCCTAGTATGAAGATTCAATAAGCATTTATAAAAAAAGCAAAACATAGAGGCCTCGTATAACAACTTATTATTGTAAGGGTGAAATTTCTTTTAGATATAGGTATCTTATTTTCGAGGAGGAAAACGTCGGAGTTAAACCTCAAATGCAATTTTATAGGCTATTTTCAGCGTTAGTTACTGTACCCTTAGCACGAACCAATATCGAATTCGAATAGTTTGCGAGTCCGGAATGGCATTGTCAAATTTTGTATGTCAAACAGCGCCACAACGGATCTAGATCAAAAATTTGACAATGACATTTCGGCCTCGCAAACTATTCGAATTCGATAACGGTTCGTCCTAAGGATACTGTTGTTCCTATCGCACGGTATTTTCCAATGCGCGACAGCAATAAAATTTTCAAATACCTATTTCGCAAATGTCTCTCAGCCCGCGTACGCGTTGGAAGAAATTTTAGTTAAAGATACTATCGGCTAGGCCGTAGTCAAGGCGAATGGACAAACAAATTGTTCTATCAATACATTTCTATAGCAACGAATAAGTTAGGTTCCTCTCTATAATAGTAACATTACAGTATAGCTTTACTGTTAAAACTACTTTATTGTTATTATATACAGGGCGTCCCACGGCTACCTCACACGGAAGGAAAGTATATTAAATATTGAAGATAGGATATTATACTGAAAGAAGACTGCATTTTATTTTTAATAATAACTAAAACTGCATTCACAGATTTTTTAAAATCGCCTGTTACAACTGGGAATCAAACTCGTGAAATGACGAAAAAAAAAACACGACACGTTTTATGATAATCATCGAAATGGTTAATCATAAGGATTATTTTTTGCTAAATAACATAGCATTTTAAATGAATGGATCGTCTTATTACTTGATAAAAATAATAAAGTGATATATAATGTGTAGTACGTATGCATTTCTTTTTGAACTCACAGTTACATTGCGATTGGTTGTAATTTGTAAAAATAATAATTCGAAACACATAAATACCTCCGTGTGAGGTAGCCGCGGGACGCCCTGTATTGTAAGTGTTTATGTATAATTTACATTATGCATTAATCTTCCTGTTTTTTAACTTGTAGTTCATATTATAACAAATTTCTGCTCAGTTGAATTTCAATCAGAGTGCAAAGAGTCAGCAAAGATATTACCTAATAAAATATCATTGTGGATTATTTAACAGAAGTTAGACGTATGTACCTTACTAACTTAGCCAGTAGTATATTATTGTAGGTACTTATATGGAATTGTAGCACAAATTATGACATCAATATCGTTATTTTAAAACGTAGCATGTACTTACTAGAATACCTTTCGAAGACATACATAATGAATAACTACTTGTGTAAGTGGATATCTCGAGGTTTTTAATTTTTTTGGCTATGGATAATGGTTAATATGTATTGGGTTTCTTAGTAACGAGGTAATTTTTTTAATATTAAAATAAGTTTTCTATTTCTGCAATTGTGATTAAACGTTTAACAAAAAATAGACTTTATTTAAAGGCTCGTAATGTTTTGTTAGATTTAAACTTTAGCCATAAGGCGTTACTTCCGTATATATCGCTTTGCAATAAAGGAATTGCAGGTATGAAGGTTGTAAGTAGGTGGTCCTATATATATATATATACATATAATATATGTATATCACGTTTAGTATGAACAGCGATGACACTGCCATTGTTCTATTAAATAGTGTAAGATATTAATGGGCTTAGTTCAGACGTTATTTTCTAATCTCAAGACTAAATAAGACAGTAGTCCCTCTTTTTCATTCTCTGCACAGTATGATAAGGATATATTACTGGGAAATTTAGCTTTAGATCTAGTAAATCATGCCAGATCTAAGTCCATTGTCAAATATCTTTAGAGTTAATCTTAAAATAAAAGAAAACCGTTCTTAGAATAGACTTTTATATGACAGATATGGAATCTCAAAAAAAATGCTTTGTAGCATAGAATTAGTTGTTATATGTATATTAAAATGGTATTTCATTGACTGCTTTGCAGTAAGGCGTGTAAAGATTTGCCTGTTTTCGCTATCTTGGACGTATTGTGATGCCGGCACTTCACTTGGCTATTCGTATTTGCAATTTGTAAACTTGACCAGTTTGAACAGTTTGTCCTTATCAGCTTTTTAAGGAATGAAAAGGACGAACTGGCGGCATTGAATGCTGATATTCGTGTAATATAAATAAGGTGAAGTGGATTCAATTAATCAGTAATAGCCTGCGCAGATGAGGGATTTTGTCCACGGAGGACTTTTGTCCGCCGCAATATATCGCTTACAACTGCATCGAGAAACGCACACAACGGATTATGAATACCGCGGACAAACAGTCGCCCGAATTAACGCGGACAGCGAGGGACCGGACAGGGCAAAAACAAGCGAGAGTCCGCGAAAAAAACTAGTCGACACGGAGTTAGACGATGCACGGCTTTCAACGCCGCACCGCTGTGCCGGTCGGAGTGTGGGGGTGTTAGGTTTATTTCTTGATTCGATCGCCGCGCTCAAAGCCCGCGATAAAAGCTATGCAATAGCTTAATAGAACACAGGTGACAAGAGACGGCAACGCACTCAGCGGACTTTAGTCTGCGTTTCGCGGTCGATAGTGATGTGTGTTGTAAAGAAGTGGAAAAAAGCACTCCTTTATATGATACATCAAAGAAAGAGTATCACCGCCGAAAAGACAATGGCGAATTATTTGATGAAGGAATTTTTAGCGTCTATAGATGTCATCATCAAAAATGCAAAACAAAAAAATCTTAAAGGCTTTATCAAATAATTCTGGAAGTCTAAAACTAAAATTATGACAACACAATTGAATAATTGAATTGTGTTTTCATAATATCATGCGTCATTTCTTCTGAGCCTACTATTTTAAGTGATTTCAGTGATTAAATCATCCTCAAGTATTTTTTTAGTATGTTTTGCATTGCTTAACTATATCTTTTAGAGAGATCGCAAAACATTCTTTTATTCAAAATTTAGTGAAAGCATAACAAATAATCTCAACAATACAAATAAATAATCCGAAATAAAGGGATGGACCAAGTGTTCCCCTTTAGAAAATCTTCTTTTTCTTAAACTTCATGTTTATTACAATACAACATTGTCTTAGAATATTGCTTCCATAGCGTTGTACCGCACTAAATTTTCGGCCGACAAATGTCCGCACACCGTGTGCGTTGAGTCCTGAATAACAAGTCGTCGGCGGACATTTTTTTCATAATACGGGGACAAAATTTCGTCGTCTGCGCAGACTATAAAGAAGTTGAACAAAAACGCCGTTACTGCATCAATCACTACCTCAGCCACTTGGCTTTGCCAATTCTTTGTGAATATTGTTGTCGAATTACTCATATTCTAATAAGATTTGCTGAAAAAATCTAAATTTTGTATCAAAGATAAAAAATAAATAAAAAAACAACTGCCTTGGGTTGTTCTATCTTAAATGTAAAATATCAAAACATGTAGCATTGTTAATGCAAATAAATATTAAAATAAACATACCGTCAATAACAACCTATAATTATATAATCTTATATAATATGTATAAATAATTATTTATCGTGTTAAGTGTATAAGATGATTATGAATTATAATGTTTGTTTTTATTTATTAATTACTGATAATTCTATCAAAAATGTGCCTAAACTGTGTTATGTAATGCGTTGCATTCAATCACGTTATTGTTAATAATACCTAGATTGTTGAGATGTTCAAGTGAAAAGTAGGTAGTTTAACTAAATGTAGGTAGTAGCAAATACCACTTGAAATTTTGGTGTTAATATAAGTGACATGCTAAAAATACTAATAAAATTTTGCAATGCATGTGATTATTCTAGTTTCCAAATTGTCCTAAATTTAAAATCACAATAATTGTTGTAAAAAATCTAGTCATTTTCGCTGTTGTCATGTGAAGTTTTGTTATTCCATAATGGAGTCTATAGTGTTATACTCTTTATTAAACTCTTTTTTCTCGTTAAATACCTCTTGTTGTAATATCGTCCTGTAATAAATTATTTCAGAATAATAATTATATGTGTTTTATTGCGTTATTATTTATTTATTTAAACGTCGAGTGACAGATTTTGATAAAAAAAACAGTAACCGATTTGGATGAATCCTGTTGAAAAACATAAAAATGTGTAAAGTAACAAGATTGTTATTCCTTGGTGATCAATCTTACTTATACCAAACATTTTGTTTAATAATAATCCGCGTTTTCGAACTGCAACTTATGAGAAGGAATTCCCGAAGTATTCAAATGATAAAAAAAGAATATTGATCCCGCGAGTGGTTCCTCCTGCAATTGTTCAGCCGCCATGTTGCGTCGCGACGTGGTGATCACAAGATGGCGGAGGCCAGGCCCCGCCCACGTCACGGAAGTGGTGCGTGAAGTGGGCAGTTTGATCGTTTCCGTTATTCTGCGAGAGTCTGGGTCTATACGTAGTACCTTGAGAAAAGGAACAACAAATTTGAGACAGATAAACTGCCAGTCATTGTACACCGAATAGTCATTGGACAGTTGTATAAACAAAGATTAGCAAACCTGTTCAAAACAAGCAAACAAGGGAACCTGTTCAAACGCAAACAAAATATTATTCTATTTTATTCAAATTTGAGACAGATATTAAAGCTGTTTCTCTACCTCAAGTTAATATGTTAGGAAATAGATATAAGTATATCCTATGTAACAGCTCAATTACATTTGGTCGTTAGCCCGTATTTCACACGAGCAATCTCTTTCGTGCACCCGAAAGAGATTACTCGTGTGAAAATCGTAATTTAGCGTTCGCGTTTATATTACATTTTCAACTTGACGCGTAGTGCATCAAGTTCTTTATAGAATTGGGCCTTACACTAATTTCAATCGGTGTTTTTTAGCATCGTTCCTGCGACGACCTAAGTTCGTGATAATACTATGTTATAATAGGTAATATTTGTTTTTGAACAAAGTCTCATCGTATATTGTTTTAATCTTTCATGGTCACTAACATTATAGTAATATAAGTTATTTAGGGGATTGTTACCATGTATCTTGTTTTTAGCTAGTTTCCGATATTTCGGTACTGTTGCAAGCGCCATGGAGTAACTGAGTTACAAGATATATGGAAACAATTCCGTAAATAACTTATATTAAGTACTATAAAATCTCACCGATCCATTGAACATGAGAGCCACCCAGAGGAACCCATCTTTGTCTATGGTGATCCCGTCGGGTATCGCGGTGGCATATCCCTGCTTTTGTAAGTTAAGGATCGTGCGACGTTTGCCTGTTATTAAGAAGATACAGCACAATAGGGATGACGTAACAAATGCACAAAATAACAGAGATATTTGAAACAGATATATTGATTTGAAATGTCGCGTAACGTCACGTTTTGGTACAATTTTTACTTAAAAGTGACGTCACGAGCCCCCAGTCTATGTCATTTTTTGGTTGATTGACCAAAGAAAAAATATGTGTCCATTATTTTTTAAAAACCTTAGTGAAGGACTAAATGGAATTTCGTTTACTTAACCTCGTCGTCACCACCCATTATGTAAGTAGTTCTTTTCTTTACTTAAGGGAGAAATGTGTGGCACATACCAAGTAAACAAAGAAAGGCTATTAACAGATAACATTGCAAAATATGTAATACTAGCGAATGCTAGCAACTTCATCTGCGTGCAAAAAGTGGAAACACTATCGTTTTATATATATACATATTTTTTTAGCATTTAACTGCTAGATGTTTAAATCTAAAGAAAGTTCTACTAGAAAAAAATCCACGCGGACCAGGCAGCAAACCCGTCACTATCCGGGCGAATGCCTGGCCAGAAATGAATGAACCATTATGCTAACGCGGCCCTGATAGTCGTGTCGAATTTTCTCTAGCCTTTCTTAGGCCGTTAGGCAGCGTCATTTCTTCGCATTGTTTGTCTGATAGCGAAGGGTACGCGTCCGGCTGCTACCTGATCCGCGTAGATTTTTTTCTAGAAAAAATTTCTTTGGAAACCTATCGTTTGTCCTTTCCCGGTATTCAAACTGTCTCTATAGGTACAAAATTGTATTTATCTAAATGGGTTCAGTAGTTTAAGCGTGAATAGTTAACAGATAGACACTCTCTCGCATTTATAATAATAGTAGGTATCTAAGGATTAGCGGAAATTAAGTGATACTGCAATCGAGAGCGTAAACCACCAAAACACCTTCTACGTGAATGTGGGCCTTTTATCCACAAACGTAGTATTCATCTGGGACGACCTAAATAATACGCCCAGAGGAAATCAATTCTCTAAAAGTTAGAAACGATTTTGAGCTTCTTGGAAGCTGTCGAGCTAAAAAGAGACACACTTTAACTTGGTGGCGAGTCACACATTCACAATAGATCTTTTAGGTCGCAGTGACTACCTACAGTTCCACTGGGACTGCATAGCCCCAAAAATATGTAATAATAACAATTGGCTTCTTACTAATGGTGCCTTCTGCCAGATCGAAGTCGAAAGCGTCGATTTTCTTGGTCTCCGAGTCCACGTAGTAGAGGATTGTGTTGTTCGGCGCCCACGCCATCCCGTTGGAGATGCTCACTGGCTTCAGACGGACTTCTGGAGCAAAGCGGGGCCCTTCCAGAACGTACAGGACACCGTGATCTGATTGCACCTTGTCGCCATCTTGAGGGCCTTTGGTGCCTTTTTGAAAAAAAAAACATTAAATCTCAATTATACTTGGGTAACTAAAGAGTATATTCTCTCGATATTATGTGATGATGATTTACCCGGCTGCATGCATTCGTAACACCAACCAATCCCCATTAAGTCCTCAGGGCAGGTCATGAATTCATAACAAGAACTATACTATTCCACCCACATCCCGTTTGAGATCCTCTCGGGTTTCACTCGTGCTCCTGGCGCGATACGAATCCCTTACAGAACGTATAGGACACCGCGTTCTTACTGCACCTTGCCGCCATCTTGAGAGCCTTTGGTGCCTGTTGTGTAGAAATTAATTTAACCAAGGCTAAGTAAATAGGTGACAAAAATATTATCTCGAGTTCAACCGATGTTGAAGATCCATCTGCATTTGATAGCATGGGAACTGCAGTGCCAGAAACAGTAATATCTCGAATTTAGTCCCGGCTGTATCGTAATGGGTTTGCGGAGTGGGTCATCAGCATGACCAATTTTCTTTTTTCCATCTCTAGGAAAAGCTTGTGCCCCAGCAGGTGATATATTAATAACTTTATTACAAATCATTTTTTTTTGTCATCATCAACAACCAACTAATGTGCCCATTGCTAGCTGGTCTAGACCTTCCCAAAGAATGAGGTATATAGTACTCGCCACTACAACACAAACTTACGAGCTGCGTACCTACCTACAATTTGCTTAGAGCATCCAACGCTCCTTCGTTGAATATATTGTCGGGGCTCCCCACATCAAGCGCGGACACCAGACGCGGGCCGAGTCCACTTTATTGTCCCAGCCAACAAGAACACCTAACGGATGCCTACAATCAAGCGGCTGCTGTCCAATACGACACTCAAACTTACGAACTACCTACCTACCCACAATCTGCCGTGCCTTCGTTGAATATATTGTCGGGACTCCCCACATCGAGTGCGGCGACCAGACGCAGAAACAAATCCCTTCTCTTGGCCCAGACTAACAGGAACACATCTGAACGGACACCCAGCATCAGGCGGCTGTTGTTTGCCACTACGAAACTCAAACTTAAGAGGCACTTACCTGCCCACAATCTGCCCATGGCATCCACCGCACCTTCGTTGAATATATTATCTGGGCTCCCCACATCGAGGGCGGCGACCAGACGCAGCGCGGCGTCTCGTCTCTTGTCCCAGTCCAGCAGGAACACCTCTGAACGGACACCCAGCAACAGACGGCTGCTGTTCGCCACTGGCAATACGACATTCACCTCTCCGTAATCTGAAAATCATAAGATACTTTAACTTTTCCAATCCCAGTAGTTACATTGTTTGACAGACCCGTACCCGAAGCACCATGGCGGTTAGAGATAAGGAGAACGATCGCTGTAAAAAATAGTGTCCCAGAAATATGGACAAAATAAGTGAGGCGCTACGATCGCTAAGTTGTCTCAATAAAAGTGGGCTAATTTAAAATGACCAATGCCGCGAAGAAAATTTGTTCATTATTCAAATAACTTCATCTACTTGTACTCATAAACAGCTAACTTCACAGATAACACTTACGGACGGCAGCGCGGCTGGTGGCTGAAAAATGAACTATAAATTCTACAAATTTTCAGGGTCAGGCGGGCTAATACTTTAGTACGTAGCGATCGTTCTCCTTCTCTCTAAACTCTACACGAACTCTGACAGATCCATATTCGTATCGCTAATGTCAAAATTTCTATGGAAACTAAGCAGCACTCCTAGCTTTTTCCATAGAAATTTTGACATGACGATACGAATACTTTGTCTGTGGTTGTCAGTGCTTAAGGATACTGATCCAATGTTAATTGTGAGTAGGGATCACTTCCGAAAATAGCTGAAGCAACCCTAGGCAATCTTACGTGGTCTTCCTAAACTTAATAATTATTTACCATTTTGACATCGGGTTTTTCGTGTAAAAACGCTGGTAAACAAGTAAACAGCCCACCCGATAGTTAGTGGCTGCGGCTAGCGATACCGTACAGTATCCCTCGCATGTTGCGATGCCTGACCATATCCCTAACTCAATGGTGCCGTAGAGCCGCGATAGAAACAACACCACAAAAGGCAGTGAGTGTTATTTTGTTTTGGACTTCGCCAGAGGCCGCTCCAAGTCGAGCTGTGGTCTAGCCGGAACCCGGTTATGCCCTACTTCTCTTAAAAGTCTGTACAGTAAGTTTTGCAGATAAACTAAATGCTGGAACACAAGAATATAATTTGTTTAGTAATTTGGCTGCAGTCTAAAAAACAACTACTGCATTTTTGTTTTTTTTTTCGTCATGTTGTTGTAAGTCCCTAGTTGAATTTTTCGTTTTGATATTACTGCCGTTCAGTGGATAACTCACGAGCCGCAAACCGCAGCGGATGGCGGGTACGCAGTTGTTAATTTATAAAGGCATACAGATACAGGTATGATTACTCACTGGCATCCGCGTAACTATGCGTGTGAGCTTTACAAATTAACATCCGCTTAACCGCCGCTCCTGCGTTGTAGCATTTACGGATATGTTTGACGCGATGTTCCCTGGTATAATAATACAACGAGTGCACATCTTTGTTGAGCACGTCGACCCAGTACATACAGTGTATTAGTGAGAGAATCCCACCAGTGGCGGGGCAAGACCTAAATTTGATGTGAGCATGACAGATTTCGCGAGGCCCTGTTCTGTGGCAACCTGAAGACGGATTTTATAAAATCGCTTTTAAGCAATGCATAAACATTTTTGAGGCGCGACGGCCCCTTGTACCGCGAGGCCGTAGGCGGTGGCCCACGTCGCCCACGCCTTACGCCGCCTCTGAATCCCACACGGCTAATACGTAGTAATCTTCAATGAAGAAGTCCATATAGGTAGGGGCATTGTATGGTTTTCAAAGCTTCTAGTTTAGTTCCTTCGGATATGTTTGACGCGATGTTACCTGGTGTAATAATGCAAAAGGTGCACGTCTTTCTTCAGCACGTCGACCCAGTAGATACAGTGTATTAGTGATAGAATCCCACACGGCTAATACGTAGTAATCCTCAATGAAGAAGTCTATATAGGTAGGGGCATTGTATGGTTTTCAAAGCTTCTATTTTAGTTCCTTCGGATATGTTTGACGCGATGTTACCTGGTGTAATAATGCAACGAGTGCATGTCTTTCTTCAGCATGTCGACCCAGTAGATACAGTGCATTAGTGAGAGAATCCCACACGGCTAATACGTAGTTATCTTCAATGAAAAAGTCTATTTAAGTAGGGGGAATGTATGATTTTCAAAGCTTCTATTTTAGTTCTTACGGATATGTTTGACGTGATGTTCCCTGGTGTAATAATGCAGCGAATGCACTTTTTGGTTGAGCACATCGACCCAGTACAGCGTGTTGGTTAGTGGGTCCCACACGGGGCTCTCTGCGTGTGCGTACGTCGTGTTGGTGAAGGAGAACGATCGGTAAATACGATCATCGGTTAATTTGCCCTGAGAAAACGAATGCTATACTTAGTATTCTACCCTTAGCACGAACCAAAATCGAAGTCGTAACGTTTGCGAGTCCGAAATGTCATTGTCAAATGTGTACTGATTTTTAGTTCCCGTTACGTCCAAAGTGGCGCTGCTGTTCAAGTTTTCATACAAAATTTGACATTGACATTTCGGTTTGCAAACTTTTCGAATTCAATAATGGTTCGTGCTAGGGGTACAGATTTTTGATTAAGCATCAAACTGCGAAATTTTAATTAGAAAAATACACTCGGTCCAGGCGTCTTAAACAAATCTTTCCATTCAAGCGAAGACTAAACTTTAGAATTACTTATATTTCGGAAACTTGTTCATTGCGTCCTTATTAAATCAAATGTCTAATAAACAAAAAGCTTATGACATGTGTAACCTTAGTACGAACCACTATCGAATTCGAATAGTTGAGTTCGATCTATTGTATACGTCAAATGTGTACTGATTTTTAGTTCTTGTTACGTCCGTTGTGACGCTGCTGTTCAAGTATCCACACAAAATTTTACAATGACATTTGGGACTTGCTAACTATTCGAATTCGATAATGGTTCGTGGTAAGGGTACACATTTCATTGTTTATTGCTTATTTTTATTATTTCTAGTTAGTGTTACCGTTCATAGAATAGAATGCCACTTGTCTTAGCTTCAAAGTACCAGGTTGGAATCGAACCAACATCCTTCGCGATCCATGTGCACTATGTGCCCAGATATAACGAATCGTTGTCGTTATCAGCCTATTAATGTCCCTACTGCTGGGGCACAGACCTTCCTACCTATGGATGTAAATTTAGATATTGGATTGGGCCCACCACGCGGGTTGGGTGCGGATTGGTGGGTGCCAACAACTGCAGATGTAGCCGGGACCAACGACTCAACATGCCTTCCGAAGAACGAACATTAACGAATATTTATAAAAAAATGATCTCAAATTAAATTGTTATTATAGAAATTAATTAAATTCACAACAAAAATAATAGAAAAGACTCCTACTTACAAACCGTCGGGCATAAATTAATTGTATGAACATAATAAAGACAAAAACATATCTTCTGCAACTCGAATAAAGCCATCTGCATTTAAACGAACGACGAAATGTATTAAACATTATTTGTTGTACATAATAATAACTGAAAATAATGCATTTGGAGCGTGTTTATTGCGTTTTATACACCACCTTAATGGTTATTAGCGCAAATCAACTGATAAAAAGTGTAAACAACAAAATTAGATATCACTAATTTGCTCTTGAAAATTTATTATTTTTTCTTCCATACTGCCGCCGGAGCGTCGAAATGCCTAAGTCAGTATTATATCGACTGACTAACCTGATTTTTGTTTTAGCGATTTTATTTCAAAGTCCATTATTACTGTTAGAGCATAGCATAGGCCTTCCCTATGAACAGAATAGGGAGATTGTGACATGAGTCACGGGGTACTTAACCCAGATACTCTTGAAACATTTTATTGTGTCTGATTTTGAATATTTTTCATATGAGGCTTTAAATCTGTCAAATAACATGGTAAAATTATGAAAAAAAAATCCTCATAAAATTCTGGAAAAGCGGTGTTGTTTATACACAACAGTAGTAGGATGCACTACTATCAGGTATACATGTAAACAGAAAACAGTTTCACTACAATTAAGTGAAAATATGCCAAATTTTTCCTTATTCACATGGGAGTACCTACAATACACTCCAAGCTGTTTTTAAGTGCTTGCTGTAAAGTAATTGCCTTTTTTAATCGATTGCCAAAAGCAGTGTATAAAGTTCATGGTATGTTTTAACAAAAATAAGTTTTATCGCCACATTAACGACTCATAACTTTAAATGTATTTAATAAAAAAAGTCTTATACAAAAGTTGTAAAGAATTTAATGACCAATAACTTTTATAAGACATTTTTATCAATTAATGGCATTTTTAAGGTTTTATAAAGGAAAAACTACAAACATGTTCAATGAAACAACAATATTTGAAAAAACGGTAAGAGATATAATAAAATGTTTTAGCGAAAAAAGTTAGGGAATTTAGTAATAAACAAAAAAGTACTCTACATTTTTTTCCGTAAGTCAATAATTTTGGAGATTTAAGAGTTAACACGTTTTCCAATATGGCGGCCAGTGTGACCATCATACATTCCCCGATTTTTAAAGTTAAGCTTCTTATGAACTAACTACCCTACTATATGTAAAAAAACTAGTGTGGTAATATTTTGCATTACGATCAAGTATAACCACGATCTCTATTTCTAGGGCTAATTGTTTTGTTTGTTGGGGATTCTTACGCAATTGATGCCACCGTAACTACACTGTTGTCTTGCCTTTTACACAAAATAATTTCTTCATCCCTCTTTGATCGATATCGGAATGAACCTCGTTCTGTCTTTGTCATTTCTTTATTGGCTGGCAATCGACATTTAGACACGCGATTTTGTTTATATGGTTCAAGTACTCTAAAGTTTCTTTGACCCAGTTCTTCAATATGTAGTATTGATGAAAAAGTTATCAAAAAATAGACGGAAGTATGCCATGTCGATTTTCCGCAAATCATCAGTGATTGATTGTTGTGCGCCAACCCAAGTGGGTTAATGCTGACTTGACTTGTGATAAAGTTTGACTTGATTTTGAATGATATTTGATTTTCAATTAAGTCAATAATTATTCTGTGACTAACGACAACTTTATCGTCGTTATGTGCACAAAATCATCTTTAAAAAGACCATTAAATTTTTGAAGTTATACTTCTTTAGGCGCGTTATGAAAAAATGATGAGAGTGAAATTTTAAGATGCGCGCGCATCACTGTAACACAAAAAATTAACAGCATGAAGTTGGTCGCTTTAGCGACCAACTTCATGCTGTTAACTTTTGTGTTTACCGCACATTAAGAAAATCTACCAACAAAATAGAAATAGAATCTCTATTTAGTGGGTGCTAACGACTGCATAGTGAAGGCCTATCAAAGGTATTTATTAATCTGGAACAACGGAACCAAAGCGCGATTCAGGAGACTACAGCGCCATCTCTTGACCATTGGTGTAGTAGAACCAAAAACCACATCTTTATTTTTTATAATAAAGTAACAGTTATAGGTATTCATATTTATAATATTTATCCACATGTTTCTAGTTTGTATATTCGGAATACGTGTTTGAGTTTCATACAAGTGCAAATCACATATGTTCTAATAAATTATATTCAGTAGCGATTTTAATTGAATATTTTGATTATTTATTTATTTTTTCAAATTAAAACTGAACTTTATTGACTGTGTCCTTTTCCAGACTTTTTATTAATTTATTGTAATTAATTATTTGCATGCAATTAAAAACTAATTTTAAACGATGCCAAAGAAGGATAACTTCTCACGCGCCTACATAAGTACACGCACCCATTTTTTTTCTTTTGCATTGGTAATAACAATATAAAAGAAAACGAGCGTGAGGTATTTGAATGGTCCCCGGTTTTGTCTTAAAACGCCCAGTGGTCCTGTTATTAAAGCGAGGCACCTCTCAAGAAAACTTTTTATAGACAGTCAATACGTCCCATCATCAGTAGTAGTCCTTACTTTGGGTACGGCCAAAGTGCACTCAGATTCAGATTCAGACTCAAAAAACAAGCGCGAGAAATAAACAGTGTAGTTAAAGCAGGGTGGCAGCCGGCAACCCTTTCACTGGTCAAGTCCTACCTATACTTTTTTATATGGCATTCCCTGTTGAAACTTAACAACTCCCAACAATACAATGTTGGCGCTCCAAGTTGTTGCAGCTTTGGCAATGGAAGTAAACACTGCCGCGCTTTATTTTTTCAAATTAAAACTGAACTTTATTGACTGTGTCCTTTTCCAGACTTTTTATTAATTTATTGTAATTAATTATTTGCATGCAATTAAAAACTAATTTTAAACGATGCCAAAGAAGGATAACTTCTCACGCGCCTACATAAGTACACGCACACATTTTTTTATTAACATATTGAGATAAATAAAAACAACACCTTTTAATTTTTGTTTATTATTATTACGTTCTCTTTTTACAGTTTTTATAATTAAAAAACAGTTAAATAATACAGGATTTTATAACATGAATTTTACGAAAATGAAGTAAAATTCTTGTGTTATAAAATATGCAATATAGCTAACGATAAAACTAAGTTAAGTATTTATATATTTATTGTGATAAAAATGACAGAAAATTATTACATTTATGTATCACACATTTACAGTTTTCAGTATAAATCCTTTTTTTTATATTAACAACTTATTACTTAATTAATACAATTGACGAAAAACTGCGTTTTTTGTTAAATTTGTTTTGGCTGATGAAATAAATAAGTGCACCTCTTCACAGTATAAAAAACTATCATATTTTTAGCTTCGATTTTTTACATTAGATTAATTAAGGTCAAGATTCAAAATCAGTTAAAGAATTTTGTCATTTTTTTCAACCTTGTTAAAATATTGGTTTACTTTGGTAATTACGCGCCTTTTGTAGTATGTATGGTCAACTCGCTCTCTCTACTCAGTGATTTTCACGTTAGATTGTTGTGCTCTACGTAATTAAAATACAAAATATCTTATAAGAAACCCATAGTTTCATTGCTAAGTGTCATAAACCAGTTCCAAAGCTACTATTTCCAACTGGTTATCAGTAAGAATCAGCATTATCGAACTTGAACACGTTAGTAAGCATTCCTCGGCTACCCGTATTCCTGATTGTGAACACCGCTCCAGCCAAAGGTTCCAGGTTCGTGTCCAGATTGTCCTTGGCGGTGGTGACGAACAATTCGTCCAAGTTCGGCCCTCCCCAACACAGCGATGTCACCCGGGACACGGGTATCTTGTACCCGTATATTACCCTTCTTGTGTCCGGGTCTACGTGTAACACCTGGTTAGAAAAATATTAAGTTAGTAGAATTTATATTAAGGCAACTCACCTGATATTTTCGCACTATTATTGACATCAATTTACATAGCCTTGCCTACAAATTGAAAGCTGAAATCTGAAGAAAATTATGCTTGCACGATCTAAGGATACGTTGAATTACTTCAAGTACATATTAAGCTGCAAAATACCGTCTTTTTCTTTCAAATCTAAATCCTAATATTAAAAATGTAATTAATGAAAAAGCTCATTTAAAATTTGTAATATTTCATGCACTATCTCCTGAAACTAATATCTCGAAAAAAAGAACTCAAATTTATACAGTATAATGTCAAATGTTTTAAAGTTTACTTCTTTTGAGGACACTCATGACGGACGTAAGATAGGTTTTATTGGAGTCAGGCAGAACACATGGATATGTAATGCAGTGGCGTAGCATGGGGGGGGCGGGGGGTGCGGTCCGCACCGGGCGGCACTTTGCCGGGGGCGGCGCTGCGGAGTGGCAGATAGAGAAAAAAAATTAAAATATAAAAAAAAGTTAATTTCTTTCAGTTTTTTTTCGTCATTTTTTTGTTGTTGTTACCAAATACCCAGGTACCTATGCAGGTTCTATGCATGGGTGATGCAAGTGCAAGGTTTTCTCTGTAATTTTTCTAAGTGATATTGTGATAGTCTACCTTCTACTCTATGTCAAAAAATGTTAATTTCACTCTTAGGTTAGTGTTATTCAATAAAAGTACTCTTTTTACCATGCCTCAATTTTTTTTATAATGGATTGCAAAAATAAGAGGGCGGCAAATTTGGAATCCGCACCGGGTGCTAGTGACCTATGCTACGCCACTGATGTAATGATTAAAAAAAACCCGACAAGAGCGAGCCGACTCACCCACCGAGGGTTCCGTATAAATTTCGACTGACACATAAACGTTCACATGCAATACCTTCACCACACCCAACCTAAAATTCGTCAATTTTCAATTAATCAATACATTTGTTGAATAATACCACAACAAAATATCAATGCATTCTATTGCAAGACTTGTGTAAGTCTAACATAGCCCGTATCTTTTTTGCATTAACTATTTGATTTTTCACAGTTTCAAGGGATCGTAGAATTGAGTATATTATGTATTAAATTTTTACTCGATACCTCCATGCGTTCTCGAAATAAAGTGTTTTGACATACTGACACATAACAGCCGCATCTTTTTCTCAAGTTAACTCAGAAGTTTTAATTTTTTACAGCTTTAAGAGACCGCAAATCTTAGTACCTATATGGTTTGAATTTCAACTCGGTACCTTTACGCGTTTCCGAGATAAAGGGTCTTGACAGACAGACAACAACCCTAATAATAGTAATATTTGATTACTTATTCAACAGGTAGGTACTTACCGTCCCTCCAAACATCAAAGCTACCCACAGATGTCCCTTGCTGTCAATCGTCATACCGTCTGGTATAGCGTCTTCGTACCCATAGTTTGATATATCGACAATGGTCCTTCGAGCACCTGTTACAATAGCTAGTTTTAAACAGTGGTAAGGGCAGTTCTTTATATTTATTTTCACACACATCAATCCTGTATTATTAATAATAATAAATATTATTCCTAACAAACACACCAATTAGCCTATCCCCAAAGTAAGCACTGAAAGGCTTGTGTTATGGGATACTAGGGTAACGGAAAGAATACATAAACTGATACATATATATACTTAAAAGTATATTTTTTTATATAAAGATTCATATAAATATCCATAACCAAGTTAAAAAGGCTAGTGTATATAATACTAACATTTGCCCCACCGAGATTCGAACCAGTAGGCGACACCTTGAAACCCGGCGTACATACCACTCAGCCACGGAGGTCGTCAATAAACCTGTATTGTATTTTAATCTTATATTTCTGGTGTGACGGTACAACTTTAACCCTGACCCCATCGAGCTGACTTGGAGCGATGACCCAAATGGGCTTCTCTTGGTTGCTATAATGATTCAGCCATCATATTTAGGCACTAATACTATCTCACAAAGAGTGTAATTATTAAAAGCATCATTTTATTTTAAGTCTTTGCACGCCACTAGCAAATCTAGAGAGCGATAAGGATCTTTAATTTGAATGTGAGTGACAGGTCAGGGAGGGCGCTGCTGTCTACGTAAATGACCGTAAATACCATGGAGGTTAGAGATAAGGAGACCAATCGCTGTAGAAAATAGTGGCCCAGAAATATGGACAAAATAAGTGTGGCTCTGCAATCGCTAAGTTGTCTCAATATAAGCGGGCTAATTTGCAATGACCAATGCCGCGAAGAAAATTTGTACAATAATCATCTAACTTCATCTACTTGTACTCTTAACAGCTAACTTCACAAATACTACTTACCGACGGCAGCACGGCTGGTGGCTGAGAAATGAACTATAAATTATACAAATTTTCAGGGTCAGGAATCAGGATTGTACTCAGCGATCGTTCTCCTTCTCTCTAACCTCCATGGTAAATACAAAATAAGATGTCTTCAAAGATGGCGGCGTTAGTTCCAATTTTCGTCACATTCATAAAGATCCTTGTCGCACTATACAAATTACTAACGGTGTAGGTTTTAGGTATACATACTCAAGTCTCCCTTAGCCGAGTCGTAGTCGAATGCATCGACTCTCTGCGTGTGCGAGTCGATGTAGTACATGACTGTGTTGTTTGGCGACCACGCGAGCCCGTTGGAGATGGAAACAGGCCGCAACTGTATCCGCGGATTGTCTAGAGACTGTTGATCTATTGTGTACAACGTGCCTTTATCCGGGAGAACGTCGTCGCCTGTTTGTGGGCCTTTAGTTCCTGTGAATGAATAAATAAGAATCCATAGTTTCTACACAAAAAAAGAAGAGAATCCCCCCAAAGAATTGGTATAATGATATAGGCCAATAACGAATGTGTTTCTGTGGCTTCTGCCGCCCCTCAAAGCTCGTTTTTTAGACAATGGTGTCGATTCTGGCACGATTCTCTAAATATAAACTTAAAGGAGATTGCTCAGCTTCCATACATGTTTGGCCTAAAGACCAATAATCATGAAAAACTGTTTCCTAGATTCGAAATTATATACAAATTACTGTAGAAACGAATATTATTGACGGACACCCCTAGGAACTTCTATAAACCATATACACTGAACATATTAAAATAATAAAAAACAAATAAGTTATAAAGTAAACTAGGGAAATCAAGCCAAGTACCGAAATTATGGATTAGATTCAGGTATATAGAGCATGTACATTAACAGATAGTTGCCTGTTTTTAAAGTTAATGCTTAAGAGTAACTTTTAAAATCAGGTGTCATTTCCGGTTATAATAAAGTACTCTGTGACAGAAACTGTGTGATGATTTGGTGATGATTGTGAATGAGCCACAGATTAGAGATAATTTTAAACTCTCGTTAAGCAAAGAAAGCTAAGAGATTTAGGTTCATAGCCATATATTCAGTAGCTTCATTATTTTTGTTATGTTTTTAAGATAACCATATTTTAGATTTTTAGTGTATCACACCTTATAATTTTATTAATTTATTAATTTATAGTCAGGGAACGTAGGCCCATAGATAGATAGATACCTTAAAGTCTAACATATATACAGATTATAATGTGTTTAATGGAGGTGTTTAGCGAAAGATGTATGGCAATAGACTTTATGATGTCGCCTACCATCTATAATAATTGTCTGAGCACATTTGCATCTAGTGAAAATGATAATATAGCTGTGGATATTAATACCACAGTGTAATAAAAAAAATGATTTATTTATCGATCTTTACAAAATAGATTTGTTTTTATGTTATATAAACAACTTCGATCAGTCTTTGGCTGAATGTTACTACACCCATAGCCATTAAAAATGATTCGTATGTTTTCCAAACCGGTAAAATTAAAAGTCCTTTTTAAAGTAAATATATTATATAAAGGTGTCCGTTGAAATCTAATGACTTTAAATTAAATTATAAATTACGCCAAGAATTACCGTGTATGTCAATATTTTTTGTGCATTTAGGCCAATTTGAGCAATCTCCTTTGACAACAGTGTATCCTTGTCATTCTCTATACAGAATGAAAAGGACAGACTGATGTTAAATTTAGTTTTAAGTTTAGAGAATCACGCCGTAATCGACACCAATAACATTTATTTTATAATAATTAACATTATTAATATCGGGAAATGCAACTTAACATGCAGTTTAAAAAAGAAAATCGTATTCTAAATAAATTTCAGAAAAACAGGAGATCTGTAAAATCGGGAGACCTGGCAACACTGCAGGTCTATGGTGTACAACGTGCCCCTATCGGAGATGACACCGTCGCGCGTTGGTGGACCTTTGACTACTGGGAATCAAGAACATTGAATAACTAAGGACCCATAATTTATCTAAGCGTGCGAACCGATGCAGTATATCACTGTATTATTGGATGCTCACTCGAGGATATGGAGATGGAAACGAGCCGTAACAATACCCTCGATTGTCAAGTGGCTGCTGGTCTACGGTGTACAGCGTGCCTCTATCCGAAAAATTACTAGAAATATTCAGATGTCAAGCTGGACTTCGAACCATCGCTCGCCACTATCCGTGCGGATGGACTAACCACCATGCTAGCGAGACCTTAGTGCCTGTGTCGAATTTATTCTAGTATTTCTTAAGGCGAGTACACCTGTGAGCAGCGGGCGAAAGCTAGTTCTCTCATAAGGAAAAGAGGAGGGGAGGGTACAAGTGGCTCTACTTACCAGTTTCCCAGAAACCTAATTCAGGCACCAGTCTCTCACAAATGGTTCTATAATAATGTAGGTACTCAAAAAAGTTGGAAACCACAAGTGGTGGCCTACTTCTTTGTTTGAATAAAATAAATATACGATTAATGTAGTTCCACCAACCTGCCCACAGTCGACCTTCACTATCCGGCTTTCCTTCGTTGATCACATTGTCCGGAAGTCCCAGGTCTACTGAGGTTAGTTTACGCAGAGCCTCGTCGCCGACTACGTCCCAGTCTAGCAAGTACAAGGACGACCTGACCCCCACCAGGAGTCGTCTCGAGCCGCCCACCAGGGAAACCATGTTCACTTGCCCGTAATCTATAAATGTAATTTTGTGAAATTCATCATCATCATCAACAGCCTACATTAACAACAGCTGGACATAGGCCTCTCCAATTGCACGCCACTGAGGTCGATCTTGGGCTACTCGCATCCAGCTCCTGCCAGCCACCTTGCGCAAATCGTCACTCTACCGTGCCTGAGGACGTCCTACACTACGTTTGACTAGACGCGGTCTCCACTACAGAACTCGTCTACCCCAACAGTTATCGGTTCTGCGGCAAATATGGCTAGCCCACTGCCACTTTAACTTGCTAATTCGATGGGCTATGTCGATAACTGTGGTTCTCTGTCGGATTACCTCATTTCTAATGAGATCCTCCAGAGAAACGCCGAGCATAGCCCTTTCCATAGCGCGCTGAGCGACTTTGAACTTGTGTACCAGCCGTACCGTCAGTGTCCACGTTTCGGCTCCGTATGTCATCATAGGTAGAACGCACTGACTTTCGTCTTTAGGCACTGTGGGATCGACGATGTGAAATTACTTCAAATGATTTTACCAATATCAATGGTACCGGGCCTGACTGCAACTTCAACTCAACTCAACTCAACCCATAATTTTTTGACAACACGTTAGCTATAGAATAGACAGTTGGTCAGTATTTGTAAAGGATACTTCCTAAAACGGGCACTTTACTTTCATCCATATAATTTTAAGTAGTGCTTGTCCAGGGGGTAGACAACGATAAGGTCTTTACCAATCGTATTTTAAGTGGCTGTAGTTTATGGTAGAGGGTAGGTCACTTACAATCAGGCGGTTTAGTTGACCATCCATTTTAATACATTTCGTATGTAGTATGTTCATGTATTATAAACCCCAGAAACATATACAGTGCAAATAAACTTGTACTTAGGGCCAGTTCACACTGAGATGCGACGCAGTACGTACTTTTCAAGAGACTTAGCGACTGATACAAAATAAAGCTTTTTTTAAGATAAGTAGGTACCTACTACAAATAATATCAACATGTCATTGAGTATGTCCGTGATGCTAGCGTACCCACGATCAATATACGGTCTTTCGTTAAGCCATTAAATACTGCGTAAATAGTGCCAAATTAGTGTAAAAATAAAAAAAAGTGCATCTTTAATTTAAGAAATAAAGACCATTTTTACTGTGTACGCTACCATGACATCAAGCTAGCGTACCCATGGCCGACCTCAAGAACGGCATATATTTAAGCAACGAAATTGACACACAAAAATAGTTCGCAAATAGTGCTCTGGCTTTACAAAATTTCATAATCAATACTCTTATAGGACCAAAGATATTGAACTAAACATTCTTAGCTGGCGTCAACCTGGCGTACCCATAATAGTTCTCATAGAAAATGAACTTATCTCGTTATCTATTCTATATGAATAAATAGTGTGTCAAATAGTGCCTCTAACAGTAAAAGTATTTTATGTGAATTCGCATTATAGTTATATATGAAGTACAGTCATGTACAGAAGAGATAATATTTTCGCAGTATAGTAGGTAAGTAAGGTACTTAGTAGGTAGGTTGAAATTCTTATATGAATTTATGATTGGTGAATTCGAATTGAAATAAAATATCTTTTTATAAACAGTATCTATTTATTTTAGTAAAAATACATATATAGATAATCTCTTAGTGCATAAATTAATTTTGTGTGCAACTGTACTACAATACATTTTTCCTAGAATTTAACATCCTCTTTATGTATTGTTGTGATGCGGATGCAGATAAAATACTTTGACTGTTAGAGGCACTATTTGACACACTATTTATACATATAGAATTGATAACGAGAAAAGTTCATTTTCTATGAGAACTATTATGGGTACGCCAGGTTGACGCCAGCTAAGAATGTTTAGTCCAATATCTTTGGTCCTTTATGAGTATAGATTATGAATTTTTGTAAAGCCAGGGTACTATTTGCGAACTATTTTTGTGTGTCAATTTCGTTGCTTAAATATATGCCATTCTTGGGGTCGGCCATGGGTACGCTAGCTTGACGTCATGGTAGCGTACACAGTAAAAATGGTCTTTATTTCTTAAATTAAAGAGGCACTATTTTTTTTATTTTTACACTAATTTGGCACTATTTACGCAGTATTTAATGGCATAACGAAAAACTGTATATTGATCATGGGTACGCTAGCATCACGGACACTCATTGAGTGCATTAAAAATACTATTATGCAGTGTCGCACTACGTCGCGCAATGAAACTTGTACCTTTTGTGTTATAATAAAGTTTTATTTTGCATTGCTTTCTTAGAAAATGCACGCCACATCACATCTCGATGTGAACCAATAGATCCTTCAATAAGAACAGTACCTTTAGGACGAACCATTATCAAATTCTAATAGTTTGCGAGTGCGAGATATCATTGTCAAATGTGTACTGATTTTTAGTTCTTGCTACGTCCGTTTTGGTGCTGCTGTTTCAAGTTTCCATTCAAAATTTGACAATGACATTTTGGACTCGCAAACTATTCTTATTCGATATTGGTTCGTGCTAGGGTTACTGTACCCTTAGCACGAACCAATATCGAATTCCTATCGAATGCGAAGTACGAAATGTCATAGTCTGAATGTGAATATGTACTGATTTTTAGTTCTAGTTACGCACTTTGTGGCGCTGCTGTTCAAGTTTCCATACAAAATTTGACATTGACATTTCGGACTCGCAAACGATTCGAATTCGATATCGTGAGTACTGAACACAAAAGCAGCGTGTATTCTGACCGATATGTTTGGTGTCTATTTTGCCCGTGGTGTACTCCAGCCGGTGTACGTTCTGCTGTGATACATCGACGAACGTCAGGGACTGCGTGTGCGCATCCCACACTGGGCTCTCTGCGTGCGCGAACATCACTGGACGAGCGGGGTTCTTTTCTGATGACACCTATTGTAAATTTGTAATTCATGTTGCTTACTTTAATCATAAAAGCATCAGTATTCTGTTGCCAATGAGCTGGCAAACTATTGTTGGTCATATTAGGTATTGTTTATTTATTGCAAGATTAACAGCAAGTAAGAGTGTGAAAAAACTGATATTTTACGGGGGTGTCATATAGACAGCTGTATGTTAAACCATACAATACAAAAATATTTTATTAACAGATATATATACACAGTCAGTTCATAAGTATTGTCACACTGTAAAAACTTTCCTTTTAGAATGCTGACCACAAAAAAGTTTATTGAATTCGAATTTCGAATTGTTCATGAAAATAAAAATGAATACTTTTTAGAATTTTACTCATTTTTAAATATGGAGTGGACGCTTAAAGAAGACCGTGTTGCAGTTATTGCGTTGCATCGTTGCGGTTATGCGCCAATTAAAATTTTTGACATACTGAAAAATTTGAATTGGCACAGAGGTACATTTTTGTCAGAAAGGTGTAAAAGCGAATGCAGTTCTGTATCAAAATACAGTCCTGACGAACCTTGTGGAACCTGTTTCTCATACCATGTTCAATAACAGGCACTGGGTATTCCAACAAGATTCGACGCCTGCTCATAGAGCGAAGAGCACACAAGACTGAAATCGCGCGTGAACTCGACTTCATCCGGCAAATGCAAAATCGAGATCTCATTCTATTTTTTTACGACTGTGGACGTGTTGGGTCTTCTCCGGCACATCGTGGGTTCCGCCAAGTTAGAAGTGGCGCTGCCTTGCAGGAGCCCAGGAACAGGAGGGTTGACACGTCTCTAAGATTTCGATTCCATGGGGGATAGTGCATTCGCCAAGATAGCGAAAGGCGCAGGTTTGAATCCCGCCTAACACGTAGGATGAGTGATCAAACAATTTACACCGACTATATTTTATATTAGTGCATGTCCGCCACTTTGTCTGCGTGATTTAATTGGTTTCCCTTAAGAATGTCCATCCCTTTAAAGGATGATTTCTGCAATAGAAACTTTGCTATATCCTTTCTCGAGACTCAAACTATATCTATATCAAATTTCATCTCAATCGATTGAGTTGTTTAAGCATAAAGAGTTAACAGACAGAAAGACAAACAGACACACTTTCGCATTATACTATTATGGCATAGATAAGGTGTAAAAACTTATCAACAAGAGCCAGACTATTATTTTAATAATATTGAAATCACGTTATCCTAAATAGTATTGCTATAACTTCCGTTACCACACACAAGATGAAATAACTTAGTATAGGTATGAAACAGTTTATAATTCCTATACTATAGCAACATTTTTCTTCATCAAAATAAACTTTTAAAAATATTTAATACTTATGTTACACTACAAAATCAGTAAAATTAACACTCACCATAGATATTTTATAATATTGCGTCTGTTGTTCAGACGCCAGCGACATTCCTAAGTAGTTGATAGCTAAATAAATAAAAAATCTACTCATTTTAAATTCAATAAAATTCTTTATCACTTTAAAAATTACAGAACAATCATAGATGCCAACAAGCTCATATCAAATGGCACTGTCGGTTTCTCTAGAATCGTTATTTTGCACTAGACGAAGAATACAATTGGTTATCGTTTCATTTTAACTATTTGCACTATTTGCTGAACTTACAAAGGAAAAGTTTGGAACACCTGTACAGAGTGCCTCAAACAAAGATAACGCGTCAGTATGCACAATAACTGTTTCCATTCAATGCATTTAAGATACCTTAATAATAAGCAGTTAAAATTCTCATAATGGGAAATTGGTAATGTGAAATGAAACAAGTTTACGTGTATAATACGAATTTTTATTCCATAACGTATTGTTACTGCACATAACATTATGGTTACTAATGTACCTTATTAATTATAAAACTTATTATATAATTACAGCTAAACACTTATTAGGTGTGCCTCACATCACCTAGAACGCAAACGACCATTTATATTTTTTTCATTCTACACATTTCCAGTTACAATAAATTAAATAATTTTATTACCTGATCAATCGAATTTCTTAACGAAATACAATATTAGCAGATCTTCAATTTTGTAATGAAATTGTACTAAACTCACATTCTGATATGTTAAAAAAATAAAGTGCTTAAAAAGAAATGTCTATTAAAGTCTTTTTATACTTATTTTATGGAATATAAAGAGCATTAATGACTCGCTTCAGACGGAAGAGCACTAATGACTCGCTTCAGACGGAAGAGCACTAATGACTCGCTTCAGACGGATAGAAGCTAATATCAACTGTGTTGCTTCCACTTTAATCTGGGTGAGAGAAATCAAAATAATAATAATGTTCCAGCTCATTATTCTTTTTATCAAACAATAAAACAAAAAAGTTAAAAATGTATAGATATGTTATTTGTTTTCCATATTACCCATTTTCAACAGACTTCACATTTCCTTCACTTTGAGATAGAGTTAAAACTAAAATAAAGAGTTCGCAACAAAGCAACATTTTTTGTTGCTGTCTAAAATCACAAATAAAATACTTCGACGTTATAAAACCAAAATATTTAGGAAACTACAGAGATTACTCTAAATACGCCTGAAACGCCATATTTCCGCGGATATAGAAATGGGTACAGTCAATATTTCACTGTGACAAAGTCACATTTTAAATAGAATAGAATTAATTTATTCATAAACATAGGTACACTAAAAGTATTAGTCCTGTCTATGTTTCACCATTTTGGTATGTGAATTTCTGTAGGCATTTATATATTATTAAATTATTTACAATTCCTGGTATTATAAATATTAAAAAACAAATATCAAATTCTGGTTTTCCAAATGTTATTAATTACTGAATTCCTAAGTTCGTTTTAATTGAATCGACTATGATTCAAAGATTGTTCCATTCTTATTATATTCTTGTTGTTCTCTTTAGGAACAAAATGTTCAGTGTACATATTATTTTAAAGCGTTGGAAATTTATGGCTATAGAGTTTTTTTCTATTAATTACACGGTATAATATTTTTTTGTATTCTTTCATGTTAGAAAATGTCCGGACTTTCCTTATAATTATATTATAATGAGTGGTGTGGTGTGGTAGTAGTTTAGGTGTGGTGTTGTGGTTGCGCAGGCGGTTCCGGCGGCGGTTGTTCCGGTGCTGGTGTAGCCGTCGCTCCACCGCTCTCCGTTTGCATTCTGATGTATACCAATGTATGTTTATAACTTAATTTTCTACTAGCGGACGCCCGCGACTTCGTACGCGTGGAGTTAGTTAGAAATAATTGTCCACTGCTCTTTCCCCGTAGGTGATAGCTTGATAATATGTAGCCTATATGTTGACCCGACTTCTTAATATTCGTGCCAAATTTGAAGTAAATCAATGCAGTACTTTTTGAGTTTATCCCGGACATACATACAGACAAACAGACAACAAATCTAAAAACTATATTTATGGCTTCGATATCGATTGCAGATCACAACCCAAATATTCTTTTAAAAAAATATTTTTGACTTTCCTACCATTTTATTATATGCATAGATCAATTTCTTTGAAAACATACTCGAGATCATTATTTTTGTTAATTTCCTTAAAATTGCTAGAACTTCTCTTCAAAATGGATTAGAATCAGCGACATACGTTAAGTCAATTTTTATATTTTAAAAACCAATACAGCATTGTGAATAACAAAATTTATATCAAAATTAATTTTGATTCTGCATGCATCTATAGGTGAAAAAAAACCGGCTAAGTGCGAGTCGGACTCGCGCACCGAGGGTTCCGTACAAACTCAATTTAATACCTCTATGTGTTCACGAGAAAAGTGGTAGTAACTTTTAAATTTACAAAAAAATTTTATTATATGATGTAGCTAAAAATTTACGGTTTTCGAAAATTTTCCTTAATCTGTACTATAAGCCGTTACTTCATACCGAATTTCAAGATTCTAAGTTCACGGGAAGTACCCTGTAGGTTTTTATTCCCGTGCGAGTTTCGAAAATTTGCGGAAATTAGCGGCATAAACGGGTGTATCTTTTGATTGCTTTGGCTTAGAAGTTTGATTTTTTCACAGCTCCAAGGAACAGTAGACATGAGTATTACATATGAATTTCAGTTTGATACCTCCACGCGTTCCTGAGAAAAACGATCTGACAGACGGACGGACATCAGTGATCCTATAAGGGTTCCGTTTTTTCCTTTTGAGGTACGGAACCCTAAAAATGTAACGTTAAAAGTAAGCAAAGATTTATATGCCTCATAGCCGGCTAATGTATGATTCTCGCTTACTGGCGCGCGTCGGAACGCAGCGCAGCGCATTTTACTATTTATTGTAGGAAATTGTCCCACAAAGTAGTTTAGTTCCTTATTTGCATGTAATCAATGACGTATAATATATATAGACAGGTCATACACCAACATTATTGCATTTTAAAATGGCACAAGTAGCCCCCGCTCCAATTTCCCTTGGCAACAGCCGCCAATAGAGAGCATGAAAGTAGTCTCTTTCACTCCCATTAATAAAGCAATTACATCGCGCTCTTTAGCCTCCACGTGTCAACGGTGACAGCAACTGTCAAAATAAGTAATCATCAAATAATTTTACATTAATTTCTTTAAAACTGCGCTTACGAATGAAACGACACGTTTTTCTTGACTCTAATAGTTCCCGTGTACTTGTTGTACTATCTTAAAACACACATAGGGCTTTTTGTCTGGAAAAACGTAGAATATTTACAGGTTGTAGCAAAGATTAGCCGCGGCGAGACAATGCCCGACTGAATGCAAGTCAGGCAATTACCTGACTTTCGTTTTGCCAAACTAGAAGCGTGGATAACGTATGTATATCTTTAAAACATCATAGCTCGTACTCTACCACAGCCGCTCGATTCTGTATGCAAATAAGGACCTTAACTACTTTGTGAATGTTTCTATTTCCTTCAGCAAATTGTAAGTGAGAATCGTACATAATATCATCATGATTATTGAAAAATAATGACTCATAGCTCTCAGTTTGGACAGCATGATATCTCCAATTCTCACATAGTATTCGTATCACCCACAGGTCAGAAGCAATTCATAAAAGCCACCATGTTATTTGCAAATACAGATGTTTATAGCATGCAATGCGCAAATAAAATTTCTATCGTTCAACTAGTACTAGCGTTATTATTATGAACAAATAGGTTTACTACTAAATAGTATTAGATAGCGTTTAGAAACCAAAATATAATGTACAAATACTAAACATCGAAAACTCCTTTTATCACAATAATTTTAAAGGATGATGCCTTTAGACAGCGCAGCATAGTTTTCTATAAAATACTAACTGAAAAGTACACACGCGAGTTTTATGTTAAAATAATTTCCATGCAAGCCTTTTCGAAATGTTTCTACGGCAGTTAATGGATTTGTCAAACTAACACCACGTTATAATTTTGAAGCAATTATTATAATACTAATTAAATAACCTACTGAAAACTTAGTATGAAAAGTAAACATTAATATTCAAAATTTACTTAGCCCTCAATTTTGAACATTAAAATTATATACATAAAGGTTAAAATGTAATAACAAATTAACTATAATTATCCAGTTTGTGGAGTAAGAAGGTACTTAGTAAGCTGATAAGAGTAGGAATTTGCTGCTTGTATAAAGGTGTTAACTGCGTTTCCTTTTAATGTATTGCGCGTGTTAACAACTGCCTTCTGAAGCCAAAGGAACGGGTTATAGTAAATCCCATAATCTATCCCAACCAAGACAAAAGCATTGCTGCAATAGTTATATTAGCCAACGATATTAAATACCCTGGATACAACAACACGATTAAAATCGTGGCCGAAACCAAAAGGTACATTGGACGATCCGCGGAGCACACAAGGGCATAACGCATTATTTAAACATTGAAAGTTACCTTTAATACATACTGTATAAAGTCTTAATTAAAACGCATGCGTCAAAGAGTTACGACAGTTCGATGTGCAATTTTACGACTTATTGCTATATACGGAAGAATATAGACTTTATTTCTTTGACTCTACGCCCAATTGCGAATGCGCTGTTAGCAATTATAGCAGGTACGGACCGAGAGGAAAAGAGACGGTTATATAACCGCTCGAAGCATTTGAATAACACAAATATTTTGTATTAAATCAGTTAATAGTAAATATTAAAACAAAATTTGCTTCAAATTCGTTAAATTAACAAACATTGATTATATATCTGTCGAAAAAAAGACAATTTACGTACTATAGGTATTTTTAACACTGAGCTCTGCGAAATCTTGACATTTCAACGGTCCACGCGTGACTGTGAACCAAGAAGTGCTTGAATGGAGTTCAAGCACTTCTTGATTGGGACACATTTTGAGCGCACGTGGTGTATCTAGGGTATTTAATATCGTTGATATAAACATTAAAAAAACGAAAGTATATTTGAATATTAACAAATACAAACACACATTTATAAAACAAGTTAGCAAAACATACTGTAAAGACTATAAAGCAAGCATCAATAGTTCGCTTACGCACGTCTATAGTCAATCACGTCATTAGTTAGGACTAATGACGTGATTGACTATAGACGTGCGTCCACATTGGCAAAATGTTCAGTAAGGCTAGGGCCTTAGATTAAATCAAAAAGGGAACATACGGTTCGCTCTTATTAGCTTCAAAAAAAATTGCTCCGACTCAATTACATAAGCAACTCTCACACACTCCCACCAATACACACAATCGAGCGAGCAAGACAAAATGGTACCCTTCAAACGCAACGCGAGCGAGTCGGCAAGTCCGCCCGACCAACTGAGCTGTATTGTTATCCCTTTCTTGGTGACAAATAGCGAATATAAGGAAAATAACATTCGAAAAAAACCGTGTTTTTGAGAAAACAATAATTTATTGTTACAAAAGAAATGTGATGCCGCGGAATTCGTTTTTTGTTTCCTAAACTATCTGCGCATTTCTTAAAAGCATCGAAGGCATTGTTTTATCCATATAACACAATATGAAGAAAATGAAGATTTTGGGACTTTGCAGTCCTTAATGGCACTGTAGTTACTGCAGCTTAAAAGATCTATTTTGTGCCTCGCCATCACGTTAAAGTACTTATCTGTTTTAGCCAGACACTTTCGACGAGCTCCAAGTTTCTAGATATTTAATTTCCTCTAGTCGTATTATTTGTCGGCCCAGATGAATAGGTACTACGTTTGTGGATTACAATAGAATACGGTTCTACATATAAAAGAAACTGTTTTTTAAAAAGTTTAAGAAGGTAAAATAATAAGTTAGGGCGAAAATATTTTTTTTTTCTAAGAAACCTAAAATTTCTTTTAATACGAAATCTAAATAATATATTTTTTTATCTCCTGGACTATAAAGAAATCCGAATTGTATCACTCATGAGCAAACGTTCGTGAGTTTGTTGTAATCGTTAATTTTTCTCACGACAAGATATTAATCAAGATGCAGCTAATAAAATCTAGGGCCTCGTGTGACGGTATTTACTTCTGAATTTGGTATTTGGGAGCTATTTAAAAAAAGTTATACTTCAAGTATAGCAATTACCAAGGTTATAAAAGTCGCTCGATATGGGCAGCTGACCTACAAGCTGTTTATATCAATGTATTGCTAATAAACAAACAAACCGATAGGCAAACAAACAAAATAAAAATTAGTAAGTTCATTATGGTATCGATTCTGGCATAATTCTCTAAAGTTTAATTTTTTTTAACTTTTTTACTTACTATGGGCACTGCCTGATATAAATATATAATAGTCATATTTTTTTTTAAGTTAAACTTCATCTATACCAATTATCAAGGTTATAAAAGCCGCTTGATGTGTAAGTTTGTATGATTGTTACTCAATCACGCAAAAACTACTATTATGACTTAAATTGAGACATTGGATACATTTTATCTCGGAAAAACGTAAGGTCCATGAGGGGCTCTCCAAAAACTAAATGTAACGCGGACGAAATCATGGGCGGCCGCTAGTGAATAATAAAACAGACACACTTAAAGACAGCCATAGTACAATGGAGAGGTATACAATCAAAGTTGGTAAAGTCCACATTGCCAAAATGTTCAGTAAACGATAAAAACGATTATTTTAATAATTACAGGTAACTATTCTAATGTTAAACATTATTTATATGCAGAATGCAATACATTATGGAAATACAAGTGTTCATCACATTCAGTTCAATACTTTTGAGTAAAACCTTAAGTATAAGATGGACTTTCCCAGTTTTGTTAGCAAGTTTTGGACTTTACGTGGACTTTACTAAGTTTCTAACTGTAACACAACAAAAGAGCATTACAACATCAAAGGCGACCATGTCAGCTGTCAGTGAAATGGAGGCAATGGAGCCTTCCTATTGGTCGAAAAGGACTTTACGCAAATCGAAACTCAACTCACTTGGACTTTGCTATGTTTGATTGTAAAGTCAATTTTCAATTTGAAATAACAGTCAAAATTTGTAGAATTTGTATAAATTTATTCTACAGGTTAAATATAGATACTGAAATGAATGTATTGTAATTTAAATCTCACTTTTAAAATTTTGTGGACTTTACCAACTTTGATTGTATATCCCTGAATTATGTATGAAGAATAAAATAAATAAATAGACGTGCATAAGCAGTGTTACCCGTATCCCCCGCACATTACATCCATGGTAGTATTGCATCGGGCAAAGAAGGAAGGAGAGTATTTACTTTAAAGCTGTGTACCTCTGATGGGCTTGATGACGAGCTCGGAATTCTGCCGCCTTCAACTGTTCCAGGTGGAACTGTTGCCTCTCCTGGATAAGTTGCTGCCGTTGGTATTCTAATCCTGGTGGGGTATATTACCGAGTTAAGAAGATGATAAGGACAAAGGCGATGTATAATAAAATATACCATCCGACATGAGAATGCTAAATATGAACATGTTTAAAAATAAACTATATAAATGTCAATATGGAAATAATTTTTATGATCTAAAGTTTTTTTTTTCAAAAATAATGACATGTTTTAACTTATCCTATAATAAGTATGATAATTAATGTATCTTTTTTTTTTATCTGACTTTTAGAAATCTTTTAATAATAATATGTTAACATTGCATATTTTATTGACATAATATTAGGTAACTCTGACATTCATAAGTAATTAATCTCTTTTTTTTAATTTGTTCCATATGTATTTGCATGCTATTTTTAAAATGGCAAAACACGTCCTCAATCCTCTTTATGTAATACCTGTATACCATGTTTTTAGCAAATAAAGATTATGATTATGATTTTTATAATAGTAGAAAGCTTATGAAAGATAATTCAGAACTCAATTTATAAGAAACAAATGCGAATGTCACAATTGAATATTAAAAAAAAAAAAATGATTAACAAATTGTTGTCATGTAACTTTCAGGGCCTGCGCTGCGTTAAGCGGAGCGGACGTCCAGATTCACTGTTTTTGTTGTTAATTGTTTATAAATAAATCAACTTGATTAAGTGAATGAAAATCATAAAAAACTTCTATTGTAATTTTTATCTACTTAAAACAGAAAGTTTGACCTTCAACCTTGGAAACAGAAAAATTGTGTTATTTGATTGTACAGCGTACATTAGCTACGTTCGGTATTTGCATCGCAGAGGCGACGGATATTTGGTCACGTGATCACAAATTAATCTGAGCAACTTGCTATTACCGAACGGCCCGACCAACCGTTAATTAATTTCTAACCTCAAACAGAAACTAACCTCACAACATGGCAGATAATTTTTCTAGTCAGTCAAAATACTCCGAGCAAACAGATTAACAACGGACTGATCTGAGCGGAATTACCGAACGTTTCAGATTTACTCTAGATGTAATAAACGAACGATACAGTAGTCTGTATCAAAACAAAATTAATAAGACGTAAATAACGAATGGAGCAAGAAAAGTATTAGTTGTTTCCGCAGAGCAGCGCTCGAATAGAATAATAATAAGCCTAAGTTTAAAATTACATCGAATTTTTTTATCACCTGAAAGTATAAGTATAGAAATTATCTTTATCTGAAAACAGACATATTGATAATAAAACATAATTTATTATTTCAAGTGTAACTACGAGATACGAGTGTGGTGAATACAGCTTGCTATCGTAAGGGGATTACGTTATGGCCCTTTACCTGTCTTTTAAATAAGAACCTCATAGTCAACTTACCCTCTCGTTCCCTCTCCATAGTAGCCTCCAGTTCCTCGAAGTGTCTTAGTTTAATCTCCAGTTTCTTCATCTGTGTTTCCACCAGCAGTGCTACCAAGGATTTTATCTTTCGTTCTTCCACTCCCGCTAAATGTTTCGCCTTAACTGCGGCGGCGGCTAAAGCGGCCGCAGCGGCAGATTGTAGTTTAGCGTCTACTGCCGCTGGTGCATCTGTATTAAAAAATAAATCACAGATTTCTCTAATAGATTGTTATAACGATTTTTGACGACCTCCGTGGTCGAGTGGTTTGTACGCCGGGTTTCATGGTGTCGCCGACTCGAGAGGTCCCGGGTTCGAATCCCGGTGGGGGCAGATGTTTGTGTGATGAATACGAGCATTTGTACTCCAGTCATAGATGTTTAATATGTATTTCTACATAACAATATACTTATATATGTACAGTATTTGTATTCTATCCGTTACCCTAGTATCCCATAACACAGCCTTACAGTGCTTACTTTAGGTGCTAATTGGTGTGAGTGTTGGAAATATTTATATTTATTTATTTTATTTATAAACACAAATCATTTATAAAAATCTTCACAAGTGCTTGTAACAGCCTAGACTGTTGCACTTGTGAAGGTTGGGAAGCTACGCCATCGGTTACAATAAGTTTTTAGTGAACTTTATATTTTTAGTATATAGGAAGAAATTTCAATATAATACATGTTGGTATTTGGAAATATCACATAGATTTCTTAGATAAAATAGTATAAATATAATGTTGGACTCAATTTCCATCTAGCCCCAAACTCGTGGCACTTAAGACGTTTACATCAAATTTACTGCAGTGCCCTCATGTGTTATTTGAGGTTTCTGATAACCAGCAGATTTATGATCACTTTTATTTCCATTTCATTTTAGAATGTGAACCATTGCGATGATAACAATATAATGGCATATTATGGTATACTACGGGGTATAAATAGAGTTCATTTTACCAGGTTGCGGTGATGCAGCTTCCTTGCTGTCCTTGTCTTCAGTGGCGGGTGTCTCTGGAGCTTCCTCTTTGACCTTCGCCTCGCTATCTTCAACGTCCATTGGTTCAGTTTTCATCTCTTCCTTCTTATCACCTATAGAAAAAGTGAGCATTATAGAACTACTAGCTGTCCCAGCGAACTTCATACCGGCATAAAAAAATAGGGGTTGGTGGTAGAAGGGTGAAAATTTGGGGTTGTATGTATTTTTGTATGATGTATCACAAAAAAATAAAAATTTGTCAAGAAAAAATTTAATGGTGGACCACCCTTAACATTTAGGTGCGTGAAAAATAGATGTTGTCCGATTCTCAGACCTATTGAATATGCATATAAAATTTCACGAAAATCGGTCTAGCCGTTTCGGAGTAGTTCAATTACGCACACCGTGACACGAGCATTTTATATATTAGATTTAATTTGATAGCATGTTATTTCTTGGACAACTTAGTATGTATGTATTAGAAATTTTTAATGCCATGGATTTAACGTGCTCTATACCACAAGGGACCGTTTTAGGATGTATGCTATTCTTAGCCTACATAAACGACTTACCTAAATTTTTGATTAGCGAATCTGTACAACCTGTACTTTTTGCCGACGATATATCAATTTTAATAAAAAGTAATAGTGTTGGTAATATGAGTCAAATAACAAACGAAACCCTGGAATTAGTAACGCTTTGGTTACAAAATCATAATTTAGAAATTAATAACGAAAAAACTAAAGTTATGGAGTTTAGGTCATACGGGAAGCCTCCTTTAAATTTAAAAATTAATTATCGAAACGCAGATCTCGAAACTGTAGAATCGTTTAATTTGCTCGGTATGACCATTGACACGCACTTAAATTGGAAGTCCCACGTAGAAACCACTAAATGTAAGCTTGCTAAGTTCACATATGCTCTTTATCAATTAAAACAATGTACAAATATAGACACGGCGTTATCTGCGTATTATGCATATGCGTATTCATGGCTAAGGTACGGAATAATGCTATGGGGAAACGGCACAACTGCTAACGAGCTCTTTATAATGCAAAAGAACGTGAAACGTATCATAGCCCACATAGACAATACGGAAAGCTGCAGACCATATTTTATAAAATACAAAGTCCTGACTTTACCATCCATATATATCCTAGACGTATCACTATTCGTACATCAAAATTTAGACGTATTTAAAAAAGTTGACGAAACACATAATATAAATACACGGCACAAAAATCGATTATATTTACCACCATCTCGATTGAGAAAACTTAGTAGCAGTCCATATTATATGTGTATAAAAATTTATAATAAATTACCCGCTCACATAAAAAACGAAAAACATTTTAACCAATTTAGGATAAAATTGAAAATATATTTATTAGATAAATGTTTTTACACCATAGATGAATACTTTGCAACAAAATAACATTAATGAGGCGATCTTTAAAATACAAACCTAGATTATATAATCATGTTTATTGACATATTATTTTATTTTTATTGACATATTTTTTTAATTTTAATTATTGACAAATTTAATTTTATAAAAGAATTTCCATAATAATAATTACAAAATTAAACTACTACTGTAAATAAGATCAATTGAGTAAGTTATAAAATTAATGAAATCAGATGACATTTATGCATGCTTTGAGAAAAAAAAAAGTTGTTTAATAAATATTAGGTTCTTCATGTATAGATAATTGTTTATTTGTTAAATTCTCTTTTGTAATTTTTATCTGTATTGCAATACCCTGACAGGGTTCATGTTAGGTACTTTATGCATTTGTAACTTGTAACCATCCATGTAACCACATGACTGCAATAAATTAAATTGAAATTAAATTGAAATTGCCATAACAGTATACTTTATTTCTGTTCAAACCCATGGATACGGCAGCAGTATCAGTGCCTTTATAATGATGATAGTGTTTATGAATTTGTTTTGCCCACATTAAAAGTACCTTAGTGAGAAAGGGCTTCTATACAGTTGAAGATTATTTAGAAGATAAAAATGTTTAGAATGTTATGACTGCCTAGCTCGCATCAATTAGAGTATTGTAAATCCTTTGTAAAAAAGAGGATGACAAAGGTGACTGAGTTTCTTGCGCTACTTTGTCTCAGCATTGGCCTATTTATTGTAGGCCCGAAGCAGTAGTTGCGATAAAGTAATATTGGGCCACACTCACTGGTAGTAGAAACGGCCGCAGCCGCTTCATCTGCGATCTTAAAAGTCAAGCAACCTCCACAATGTTCAGGCATAACATGGGTGACCGGGTGAACGCACTCACTGGTAGTAAGTAGAAACAGCCGCAGCCGCTTTATCTGCGATCTTAAAAGTCAAGCAACCTCCGTAATGGTCAATCATAAGATGGGTGACCGCACTCCCTGGTGGTGGCCATGGCCGTAGCCGCTTTACCTCCGATCTTAAAAGTCCAGCAACCTCCGCAATGGTCAGTCATAAGATGGGTGACCACACTCACTGGTAGTAAACACGGCCGCAGCCGCTTTATCTGCGATCTTAAAAATCAAGCAACCTCCACAATGGTCAGTCATAAGTTGGGTGACCACACTCACTGGTGGTGGACACGGGCGCAGCCACTTTATCTGCGATCTTAAATGTCAAGCCACCTCCGCAATGGTCAGTCATAAGATGGGTGACCGCACTCACTGGTAGTAGACACGGCCGCAGGGGGCGCATCGTGATCAGGCGCGGTGCCGGCGATGCCGGTGGCAGCCAGCGCGGCGCCGGCGCCCTGGGCCCCGGCCGCTTTCACGTGGGCCTCCATCATGGCGGCGGGTACTTCGTCCTGATAATGGAAAACATTATGAGGGGAGGCGGGCAATGTTTTTTCCATACAAACGCACTCGACTGATTCCTCCTTAATTTATCACTAAATAAATGTTTTTCATACATCTATACTAATACTAGCAAACCCGGCGAACTCCGTTTCGCCACCAGATGGCTTCTTTTTATGTAACATTTCGTTTGGTGATTAAAAGAAGATTTTTTTTTATAATTTTTCCTGAATTTTCTTTGCTATAAACCCCACGGAGCCCGAGACCTTTCCAACGAATGCAAAACCGTGGAAATCGGTTCGTGCGTTCTGAAGTTATAGCGTCAGGAAGGAAAACCCGACTTATTTTTATATAGTACACTAGCAAACCCGGCGAACTCCGTTTCGCCACCAGATGGCTTCTTTTTATGTAACATTTCGTTTGGTGATTAAAAGAAGTTTTTTTTTTTATAACTTTTCCTGAATTTTCTTTGCTATAAACCCCACGGAGCCCGAGACCTTTCCAACGAATGCAAAACCGTGGAAATCGGTTCGTGCGTTCTGGAGTTATAGCGTCAGGAAGGAAAACCCGACTTATTTTTATATAGTAGATTAGAAAGAGGAAAGATTTGTATGTAAGTATGTTTGCAAGGAATTGACTCAAAAAGTACTGGACCGATTTTAAAAATTCTTTCACCATTTGAATGCTACATTATCACTGATTAATTAATATGGAGTATAGGGTATTTTCAAAAAAGTTTGGGTTCCGTATGAAAACTTCGATAATGTAACCCAACGTGTGCTAAAAATACCAAAAAAAAAACCCTAAATCGCGTACGCTGAGGAAGTCATTGACAATAGAGCAAATTGATGTACTAAAGTTTTAAAGAGGATACCAATATCTACAAAAAAGTCCGCGATACCATATGTCTATTACAGTTATATCACAACTACAGGTTGCACCCGCGTTTATTTGAAAAAAGAGGTTTATAGTGAGTCAAACTTAAAATATAGGCATCAGCCTATGCCTATATTTTAAGTTTGACTCACGTGGACTTTTTACAGAACTTTTAAAGGGGAAGAATTTCGTCATACATTATTTTTGTGTAACTTTAATCGTTTACGCAGCGCACGCAACGAAGTGGAACATTTTTACCCGTTTTTGCAACATTTTTCATCGATGCTCCGCTGCTACTGGTCGTAGCCTGGTACTATAGAGTCTATAGCCTTCCTCAATAAATGCACTGTCCAATACAAAAAGAATTTTTCAAATCGGAACAGTAGAGCAATGTCGCATGCGGTACAACGGGTCCTAAAGTACGCAACGAATTTTTTACATGAAATGGAAGGTTTTTAATTATTATGAAGTCATTGTGTATATAAATGCAAGACTTTGAAAAAAAAAAACTATAATCTACACTACAGCTCTACACCGAAGCAAAGCGAGGGCGGGCACTAGTAAAATACAATTTTACTCATTCTATGCTCCTATGTCTTCCTTTTTTAGATAACTTATGATTTAAAGACTCTAGAAGCCTTCAAAAATGCCAAAAATAAACTTTTTTTATTACTAATAAAGTAACACTATGCGTTATTAGTAAGTATTACTAATAACACATAGTGTAGAGATTCAATAAGAATTTACAAAAAAAGCAAAACATAAGAGGCCTAGTATAAACATGTGCCTATTATTCTATGGGTAAAATTAATGTTACATATCTAATTTTGGAGGAGGGAAACGTCGAGCTAAACCTTGAATTTTGAAATTTTTATACGCAACATTCAGCGTTAGCTACTTTTGTCCCTATGGCACGGTTTTGCCAATGCGCGACAGCAATAGTTTTTTCAAAAACCTATTTATCAAATGTCTCTCATCTCGCGTCCGCTCTTAACCTAACTGGGCTGTTACATCTTCACACTTGAACCACACACGAATACGAGCCAATGGAATTCGGGTAAACGACGTAATGTAAATGAACGGAGTCGAGTACGCTCGTATTCGGGTAGTTTTCGTTTTGTTTACCCGACACCGTCTTCCAGCACGTATTCTAGTGTAAATATTGCTTCGGGTGTCCGAATTCGAGTAATGTCTTTCGTGCGCCCGAATTGGGTCTAACGACCAAATGTAATTGAGCCATAAGCTTTTGATTCAGAATAGACTGAATTTCCTTGTTCCACAAGCTATTTGACAGTACAAAAAATAAAGTACCAATTTTTGGCCAATTTGTATTTAACACTTGGTATTTAGTACGAATATTAGCAACGATTTTACTATTATGAAAGAACAGATAATTAAATACTTTTCTTAAAAAATCATTAAATAGAAATGATTTTTTGTTCTATGGTCGCGTGACCAAAAAAGCCTTAAATTGGCGAAAAATTAAATGACGACACACGCTAGTTACCTTCCGGTCAAAGTAACATTATACTGTATCGTTTGACGTTTTGAATGACAGTCATGTAACATCGCATACCAGTGAAAAGCCATAATGTCTAGAGAAACGGAATTTTTGATTGTTTTTTACTGAAATACACAACAGAATTATGAAAATTCATAGACTCCACAAACATTAGTTAATAGCGTGAGATCTTTTTCTAAGACTTGTCAAGTAAAGACAAAAGCGATGGAGGTCCAATAGTTTATATCATACATATATTCATAATCACACTCAGAAATAATGTAGCACTATACTCTGATTAAAGAATTTTCAAAATCGATTTCGGTAGTTCCAGTTACAACTTCCTATAAAGAATTCGTCTCTACCTTTTTACAATTTACTAGTACAAATTTAATTATATAACGATTTAATGATTACATAACCTGGATGATTTCAATTCAGAGAGATTTATCTAAAATTTAACCTAAATTCGCCCTAAACGGCTAAACAAATTCGGAAGAAATTCTATGTATGAATACGAATGGATCTCTGGGTGGCTTAGATTAATAATTGGACCCGGTAGGTGGCACTGCATTAGTTGATTTTTTTCTAGATTTTTTTAAGCATTTAAATCGGACAGCGCGCCATCTATAACTTCCGCTCATATATCTACTAAATGTTACCTTGATAGCTGCAAATTCATCCATAGCGGCTCTCGTGGCCTTTGAGGCGATGCGAGGATCGACAACCGAGGCCAAGAAGGCCACGGTGCTCATCACAGGGTTGCCGGTCTTGCTGAAGGGAATGGGTTGGTAGGCTAGAGGCCCTAAGACGCCACCTGATAAAAATAATAGTTAGGTTAGTGATATTTCCTATTTAAATAAAACAAATTTCAACAGGTTACATGTACTGAATTTATATATTTATTGACGTTTCGCAGCCTTTTGCAGGAATGCGTCGTCAGAATAATGTTTTTTTATTTACTTTGGTACGAAGTAACGTCTTAAAGTACAGATAAAGGGAAAATTGCGAAACTCGTAAATTTTTTGTAACATCCTAAAATAAAAAATATTTTGAAAATTTTAAAGTTACTACCTCATTTCTAATGAACGCGTAGAGGTATTAAATTGAGTTTGTACGGAACCCTCGGTGCGCGTGTCCGATTCGCACTTGGCCGGTTTTTTCTTACCTGAGGCGGGGTCGTGAAGGTAAGGCTCTTCTATGGGCAGCCTTAGGAAGTGCAGAATGCATTCATCTTGTGTCCTAGTTCCCACGTGCGCCGCCACTCGGTTCCAATCGTCGCGGTGAAGTTCTAAAGCTTCGAGTAGAAGTAATGTTTCTTGTTCTGTCCATTCTCGGCCGCGTGCTCCGCCACGGTACTGTGATAAACATAAAATAAAGACATAACTTACTTGAAACGCAAGAAAATTAATTTTAACACCATTGCTCGTAACTTGTATGCTATTAAACAGACTTTAGGAGGAGCTGGCGAACAAAACAGCATAATTACGCATCTGGTCAAACTACTTTTTTTTTACCGTTTTTTTGTCCGTAGGTATCAGGCCCGTTGAATTCGAATTTCAAATAATTTTCGATAAAAACCGTCTAAAAGTGTTAAAATAACTAAATTTATAAATTAAAAACCATGCCAAAAGCTCACTGGAGGTATGTCATTCAGTTTTAAACAACTCCTATAAAATTTAATTTTTATGTAATTACACCGTTTTGTTCGCCAGCTCCTCAGTTTATAATGAGGCTTTTACCAACGAATAACAACTAGTTCCGAATTTTTAAATGGCGGATTCGGTATTCAAAAGTAACGATTGAATTGATACTTTGAATATTGACAGCGATTTATTATTCTGAGAAAAAAAATATCAAGAAAATCATGAAAAAGTAGTGCTTTGATTATTATATTCACGCCTAGAAAGGGCAATCCAAATAAAACGGCTCATGTTACTCGTATTAGTGTAAAATTGTTTGAAATTGTTGTGGAGCGACAAGTGTATCTACTATATGTAATAGGAATTGTTTGGGACACCTCCGTGCAGTTAATACGGTATCTATTGGTAAACTGCTTAAATGATTCCTCGCCTGCGGGGTAAAGTGGTACACCACTTTCTTGGCCGACCGTACGATTGTCGCAAAGACATGATATCTCTATTCCTCAACCTATCAGTCTTTAAATACTACGTCTATGGTTTCCATACAAAATTTGACAATGACATTTCGCACTTGTACGACTGTTCGAATTCGACATTGGATCGTGCTAAGGGTACTGCTGCGTTCTCGGCCAAATAGTTGTTTAATTTAACAATATCTAGCAAAATATGTGACGTCACACTAGGGAGGTGGGCTCACAAATGTGACCAATTGTGACAAGGATTGAAGTGAAGTGATGTGAAAGAAGGGGTAAAAAAATCACGAAATTATCGTGAAGAACTATATGGAGGACTCTAAATAGGGCAATATTAATATAGTGACCTGGTCTAGTTTGAGTGCGGGTGAAGTCCCCAGTTCGAGTCCCGGCTCCAGTTTAGGCACGACAGGGGCTGGGGCAGGCGTAGGCGCAGCTGCAGGCGGGGCCGCAGTGCCGGCGGGAGCGCCCGCTTCCGTGCCGTTGGGGAGGCCTGCTTCCACTTTGGGGACTGCTGCGTTCTCCGCTAAATACAATGAAAGATTATTTTAAGACCTACCCCTTTAGCATGAGCACTGCGATTTATTTATAGGCTTTGGGGCCATCCATAAATTACGTCACACGTTAAGGGGGAGGGAGGAGGTTGACAAAGTGTGACATCGTGTGACAAGGTGGGAGGGGTCCTAAATTTCGTGACGTCACATTACAAAATCTATTATAATCTAAGTGTTTAAACTATTACTTTACGAAGTCATTAACAACCCAAACTAGAACAAACTGGTGCTATGCCAGTTATAAATAATTTAAAGGAGTGGGTGCAACGTCCATCGACTCAAGATTATTAAGTTTGTACAGTAGAATCCGTTTATTATGACTTCGAAGGGAATCGACAAACACGTCATACTAAGCGGACGTCATACAAAGCATTTTTGTGAAAAAAGATTGTGAGATGAATTTCATTCTCCATTTTCTAATCAGTACATTAATGCACCTTTTTCCTCAGTCGTAAATGCTTTACGACGTTGAAAGTCATTTTTTTTACATAGGATATCACTAAAATAATGCGTAATATTCAAATGTAAATTACTCTTGAGATTCAAAATATAAACGAGCCACGTGCCGAACGTTGTCGGGAATCAACGAACATTACCGTAGGTGTAAAGAACAATGTCGGTCACTATAAACGGACAAAATTTATTAAAAATGGGTCATATTATACGACATGTCACTGTAAGCGAAGTCATTATATCCGACATTGTTACAATGAAATTTATATGAAAACCAAACTTCGTTGTGTAATTACGTCATAATAGGCGGTTGGTCAATATAGGCGGAGTCATAATGAACAGATTCTACTGTATCTTCAATGTAATTATAATGAAAAGTATTCATATTTTTTGTTTTGTTAATTTCTTCAATATATTATAAAGTCAATCGTTTTTTGTTTGGTAATTTCTTTAATTTTTTGTTTTGTTCATTGTTTGATTTGATGTTAATATTATTAACAAACAATTTGAATGGAAATAAAATTGATTTCAGAACCGCTATTTTCATTCAATAATTTCTAAATTTTGCAAAATATGTGACGTCTAGGGAGGGGGGGGGGGGAGTCTCACAAATATGACCATCTGTTTCAAGGATGGGGGAGGGGCAAAAAATCATGAAATTCGTGTGACGTAATTTATGGATGACCCCTTTCAAATGACACCAGTATTGGTGAGGTATATGTTCGTGTTAAGGGTTAATAACGAAAGTTATTTTCGCAGAGGTGCGATTTTTTTGACGCCGAGTGTACCTATTAGTAAGCTCTAGTATATTAATATAGATATATTTTATGTATTTATGAGCCTGCTTATTTTGTTATTGTATTTTTTTTATTAAAGCATAGCCACAGCATGCTCCTTAATTGTTAGTGCAGTTAACTATAAGCAATTTTAGCTTTAATTGTACCAAAAATTTTGATGTTAAAATTGTGTTTTGCAATGCTCCTTATGTTTATAGTAAATTACCTGAAAGTATGCGAGAAATTACCGTGACCAATATATTCAAAAACAAATTGCAATAATTTTTAATAGAAAAATGTTACTATACGGTCCATGAATTTTTGGAAGACAAAAGTTTTTAGACTAAGTATAGAAAAAATGACATGCTATAAAATAATTGCAATCTTAAATTTATTGTGTATTGACATTTTGAATAAACTATATTAAATTTATTAATTTGACATTGAAATAATTACTATTTATAGAAATATTATATTTCATGCCGATAAGGCTGAATATGGCTGTACTGTACTATAACGTTTCTGTGTAACAACGTTGTAACCTATACTCGCAATAAAGATGATTTGATTTGTAACTTATGTTGGTGACCCTTATAAATAAATATTTACCTGGTCGAGTCTGCGGCGGTCGGGCTACTAATGGCTGCAATCCTGATGGAGTATCAGAAAGCACATGGAAGTGGGAAGTGGGCGGCGGACCCATCGCCGTGGGTCGGCATTCTGCTTCGATCTATGACAATAAACAATAAATAAATAATATATTTTTGTTTTATTAAGCATTTAATTTGCTAAATGTTTAAATCTAAAGCAATTTTTGTAGAAAACATCCACGAGAACTAGCCAGCGGACGGGATTCGAACCCGCACCCTTCGCTATCCGGCACTGACCATTATGCTAAATTTTCTATAGCCTTAGGCTGCTAGGCAGCGCCATCTCTTCTTTTTTTTTCTAGTAAACTTTTCTTTAGAGTTAAACGTCTAGCAGTTAAATGCTTAAAAAAAACAAAAAGGTCAGTGCATTCGCCCGGAAAGCGAGCGAGGCGAGCGTCTGCTGCCTTGCACTTTTCTTCCCAATTAATTAATTTCCTGGTCTAGTATACAATACCTGGTAGTTGATCAGCCCCCACTGCTCCAGGAACCCGTGGACCCTCATGATGGCGCAGACGTCTCCGGCCAGGTTTCTTCTACACGCTGTACTTGTTAAATATTCAGTGGGATTCAACCGGTATGTGTCGATCATGAAGTTTCTGACGGACAAAAGGAAATTATTCAGTAAGTATTGAATAATGGTCAGGTAAAATCAAATGAAGTAGAAAGATCATAAAATTAATATATTGTCATCATCACTATGAATCACACAATCACAACACATCAAGACTATGAATAATAAATAAAATTAACAAACTCTCTTCATGACTAGGCGACTAGTCATGAATGGTGACATTGGATGTTATATCTTCTTTTATTGATAAAAATAAAGATATTATGAACACAATCTCGCTTATTTAGATCTGCAAAGCTTTTATTGGTAATTTAATAAGGTTTAAAACAAACAGTCCTCATCTAAATAATATGCATTGGTAAGAGAGGTGCTAGACAGAAACCGGTGGAAGCAGATCGTCCGCTACAGATGTCAAACTGAGAGAGACAACAAACAATAATTCTCACATCTAAAGAAATTTATCACTAGAAAAAATTCAATCATGCCAAGGTATCGTTTACCTGTAAGCTAGATATATTTCTGGCGTTTTAGACTTGTTCTTGCCGTTGAAGAACTCTGGCAGCGCTCTCTTCTCTATGGTATGGATGGAGTTGTAGTCGAACCAGGCGGAGTATGACGGAACCACTATATGATGAGTCTGGTCGGTGACGTTGTCTTCCAACTCTTCTTTGGTTATCATTTCCTGTGTTTAATATATTATATTAGGTATGTTAGTAAATGTTCAAACAGTTCATACAATATAAGATAAGATAGTCTTCGTTGCATTCAACTTAGAAAGAATAGTATGTTGGCTTACATTTTTTATTTAACAGAAAGTGATGTTTGAATCAATAAGAAAGTATTCAAAAAATCTAATTGGTAAATTCACATTGTGCACATGATATACTGTTAAACTATTGATAACTAGACATACTTTTATATGTGAAAACTTTTATTGGCTCGTGGTTCAACAAAGTGGCATTTATGTAAAATACCCATGGTTTTTTTTGTCTGTTGTTTTTTTAAATGATTTTGCGATAGATGGAAAAGGCGAGGTATTTCAAAGTTATTGCATGCATTGTAATTTCAGCAAGTGTTGCTTCAAATTAATCTTCAGCGTGTGTTTTGATTTTAGATCTCACATCGGAGGAGGAAGGTCATTCCAACACTTGGAGGCAGCAAATCGGAAAGACCCACGAAAGGCTGCGGTTTGGTGTGTCGGAGTGCAGAAGATGCGAGTGCAAGACCTCTGCTGATATTTGCTACGTTGTTGTGCCCATACTAATTTTGCTTCTAGGTATTGCGACTTGCCCGTACGGATGATACCAAACATCAAGGTGGTAAGATGCAAGCAGCCTCCATCTTTAGCTTGTTTGCTGAGTTTAAAAATGGGGTGACATGAGTTCGCGGTGGTCTGTGAAAGCAAAAGCGGGCGCACGCATTCTGCACTCGCTGGACAAGCCGCGACGATCTAGCTAGCATGCATGAATCGTAGACAGTATCGCAGTAATTAAATTTGGACCATAAATGCGAAAGTTTGTCTGTCTATCTGACTGTTTCCTCTTCACGTTCAAAGTACTAAATCGTTTTAGACGAAAGGAAAGTTTTTAATCATGAAACTAACCAATTTTTTCACGCAGCCGATTTCGAGGGGAGCTACTATAATAATATTAAAGACATGTAGACTTATAGAAATATCAGTCACATACCACAGTCGCGAAAATTTATTCAAAAACAGTGATTATTAGTACATAAATAAAATTTAAGTATTTAACAAAGTTTAATAACTTACGTTATATATAAATGAAATGGAGTGAAATTATACTTTATTCAAATTGACGTATTGAAAGCTCTATTGAATCATCCAATATTTTTTCTTACCACCTATTCAGAACATTTTTAGCTTATGATTTATGAGAAGCATGAGTGCAAGAAACTAATAGACGTTTAAACAAAAGTAGCAACATTTACAAAAAAAACATGTCCCTACCAATACAACGTCCACTCACATTTTGATTGCCGTGTCATACAGTATAAATATAAACAATGTTCTATTAGGTATTAATCATTCAACAACGAAGTTACCTGTGATGACATACGGAGCCGAAGCGGTACCAGCCGTTCTAAGTTCAAAGTCGCTCAGCGCGCTATGGAAAGGGCCATGCTCGGCATTTCTCTGAAGGATCGCATCAGAAACGAGGTAATCCGACAGAGAACCAGAGTTATCGACATAGCCCACCGGATCAGCAAGTTGAAGTGGCAGTGACCTGACCATATTTGCCGCAGAACCAAAAGGTATTAATCATTCAACAATGAAATTTCCTGTAATGTCATACGGAGCCGAAACGTGGGCACTGACGGTGCGGCTGGTCCACAAGTTCAAAGTCGCTCAGCGCACTATGGAAAGAGCTATGCTCGATCGCATCAGAAATGAGCTGATCCGACAAGAGAACCAGAGTTATAGACATAGCCCACCGGATTAGCAAGTTGATGTGGCAGTGGGCTGGCCATATATAAATAAGTCTCTTCGGCGGTGTCGTGTGAGGCGGGTCGTTACGTTTCCTAAAATATGGTTGAGCGAAGCGATGGCTGGTTCATACGTCATGCTCGTGAACAGGTGATGCCAGCGGAGATGAGTCTGCCCTAACTACTTTGATATTAAGAAGTAAATGTTTAGTTACACCTATTATAAATAATTATTTGTATTTATACTGTATCACATAGCAATCAAAATGCAGGTGAACAATTTAATGTATAATTTCACATTATGTAATGAAAGGTGACTACGTGAATCATCTCTGAAGTCATTTTTTAACTTGACGACTCTGTAAATAATAAAACAGGGAGAAGAGAACAGCCTTTGCTGAGTTTCTTGCCGGTTCTTCTCAGTACAAGGTCTCCCGCTGTAGATTTACGAACCCATGGCGTAGATTCTAGACATTCATATGTGCTTGTAACAGCCTAAACTGAATAAATGATTTTGATTATGATTATTATATTCGCCGCAGAACCGATAACCGTTGGGGTAGACGAGTTCTGGAGTGGAGACCACGTCTAGGCAAACGTAGTGTAGGGCGTCCTCAGGCACGATGGCGTGACGATTTGCGCAAGGTGGTAGAAAGACAGATAGCTAATTTTATCAGAACATCTTTTGTCTCTATATCTATAGCTTATTTGCATGTTTTCAATTTTAGCTTCAAGTGTGATAATGTATTTAGCATCTTCTTTTTTCTGTAGTTCTATATTCTCAATTTTCTTTTTTAATTCGGCATTCTCTTTATGCAAGTATTCTATAGAAGTTTCAATGTTTGCATTGGTTTCCAGATTTTTTTTCAAGCGCTTTATGTTAATAAATTCATGTCGCTGGACAGCAAGTTAAGAGGTAAACATCCCCCGCATTTCTTTCTTTAAAATGTGTAGACGATTTGCGCAAGGTGGCTGGCAGGAGCTGGATGCGAGTAGCCCAAGATCGATCTCAGTGGAGTGCAATAGGGTATTTGACAGTATTAAAAATAAAGTACCAATTGTTAGCATCTGTGTTTAGAATGAATATTGGCAGGGGTTTTTCCTATTTTTACAATAAAAATATTCATAATTTTACTAAAAACCCAAGAAAAAGTTAATAGTTTTCTTATCTATTGTCACGTGACCCAAAACGCTTGGGATTGGCGGGTCCTAGAATGACATCACACGCAAGTAAACTTCCGGTTAAAGTGACATTACATTGTATCGTTTGACGTTTTAATAAGTCGTGTGACGTCACACACTAGTAAGAAGCCATATTGTCCAGAAAAACGTTTTCCCGGCAACTTGAAAATGGAGTTCTTGATTTGGTTATTTTTACTGAAATACACAACAGAATGATGAATATCCACTTTTTCCGAACTCCATAAACATTAGTCAATAACGTGAGATCGTGTTCTAAAACTTGTCAAATACCCTAATGGAGAGGCCTATGTTCAGCAGTGCACTAAGATAGGCTGTTGATGATGATGGAGATGATGAATGAAATTAAATGATTTATACCTGCGTGTTTGAGTCCGAGTGTTTCCCTTGGGAGTCGTCGTGCGTGTCGATGGGAGGCGCCGGGGTCGCGGGCGCTTCCGGAACTGGGGGCGGCGGGGGCTCCGCAACCGCGGCAGGAGCTGCATTACGGCAAGTTCAAATTCTTTATAGCATAGAAAATTTTACTGAAAAAAATCCACCCGAACCCGCACCCTTCGCTATCCGGGCAAATGCACCGACCACCAATAGCATAAGGCTACCGCAGCTCTAACAGCCGTGTAGAATTTTCTCTAGCCCTTCTTAAGAGCCCTTTCACATTTTTAGAAAAAGTCGTAATTTAAGCGCCTCGTTTACCCCCTTAGATAAGATTTTGACTATTGCCAATAGAAGTAAACAGTAGATTTATTCTTCCTTTTGTAAGTTAATGTAGAATATTTGCAAGTACTATTTTCCTTTTTTTGTACTGATCGTTCTACCGCAGCTAGTTTACGGAAAAAACGATAATATGCACAACTTCAAACGCCTCAATCTCTCAATAATGTTCAATAAATTAGATCAAATTAATTACTACGACATCAGAAATATGTTTTTATTGTAACATAATGTATTAGAATTTTCATTTTCCATCTCATTAATTTATCAAAAAAAATCTAACCTCCGTGAGTTTTCCCAAAAAATAATGCAGGTTTACCTCGTATTTTGATATTGAATGATTTAATTCACATTCACAGAATTACTATCAAAAACTTTCATAAAACTAATCTACCATCATTTAGCTTAAGAACCAATTACGACAAATTATAGTAGGTACGGAAACAAATTGAACTTTCCCTGCCCCTATCATTTAAAACAGCACATTAATGAATGAATCGTAAACTCAGCTGTCGTCTATTTCATTTTACCATGAATATTAGAAGTGTGTATCTAATAGGTAATTTTAAGTACCATAATGGTGTCGATTCTGGCGTGATTCTCTAAACTTAAAACTAATTTTAACATCAGTCTTTCCTTTTCATTCTGTATAGAGAATGACAAGGATACACTGTTGTCAAATTTAAGTTTAGATCTAGAGAATCGTGCCAGAATTGGCACCATTGTAGTAACATTGATATTATACTGACTGTCTGAGGATCGTTCATTCTCCGGCGTGGGCGCAGCATCTGTGTTATCTCGCGAGGCGTTGTCTTCCTCATCCTCCGCATCGTTCTCGCGACGCTTCGAGATCCGGCTAAACAAATAAATCATCACCATCATCAGCTTATGGATGTACCCACAGCTGGAGCATTAAAAGGTGATTCTTGAAACCCTGCTTATCCAGTTTCATTTGGCGCAACTCATTAATTTACAAGTAATAAGAAAATATAAAATTTTATGTAATTCTTAGCATAGTTATCGAATATAATTTTTTGACCGAATGCTTCAGAAAAATAAATAATCTGAATAAGCCAAGTCTCAGGCTTCACCCAATAAGGGAATATGAATAATAAAAGTACATATTGATTTAAATACCATACCATTGTAACTAAGTGAGTAATGGTACTATTTTGACGACCTCCGTGGTCGAGTGGTTTGTACGCCGGGTTTCATGGTGTCGCCGACTCGAGAGGTCCCGGTTTCTAATCCCGGTGGGGGCAGATGTTTGTGTGATGAATACGAGCATTTGTACTCCAGTCATGGATGTTCAATATGTATTTCTATATAAATATACTTATATATGTATTCTATCCGTTACCCTAGTATCCCATAACACAAGCCTTACAGTGCTTACTTTGGCGCTAGGCTAATTGTTGTGAGTGTTGTGAAAAATAAATAATAAAATAATTACCTACATATACCTCATAAAAATGTCGTTCAAACATTTACATTTAAAATTTAATTTATTTTGTGACCAAAAGGTCCGGAGTTTTTTCGAAATGTCGGGATTTTTGTCAGGACTTTTGAAATTCCTAACTGGTTATCCTAATCCCGACACAAAACAATATAATTAATGGTCAAATTGGTGTTAGTATGAGTTCACTGACCTCTTCCTCTTGCCATGCTTCTGCGGGGGCGGGGAGGGGGAGCGCTTCCTCTTGCCTTTCTTGCCTTTACCGGAAGGTTCCGCGCCAGGGAGCAAGTCGTCCACAGACAAACGCAGTTTATGTACCTTAGGATAAAGTATTTGAACATAAAACTATGGTTTAAGAATGTGTTAACCTCACAAGAATTTACATAAAATTCACTTACGTGAGACTATCATAATAGTTTTCCAACAAACAATTTTCAGAGAACAAATCATACACAATAACACTAAAAACAGCACAGGAAAGCGAGAGTTACACATCTGTGTAACATCTTTCCTCTCGCTTTCCTGCAATTAGTGGGAGTGATTTCGTGAAACGGGACGGAAGTCTGTAACAGGAAGTCGCGAAAGCACGCGCTATTTGATTTGATTTTAGAACATAATGTTCAAATGGATTATTCTTTTGTAGTAGGTTTAATTTCTTCTTTTTACTAATATAAGGTGAGGTTTCAAATGTTACAACACATCATACCGCATACGCGACTACTGTAAGGCTCGCACATTTTTTTTTTACTTTATTCAGCTGCATTATGCTAGTAGGTGAGAATGGTACTAGGGTTCAAAAGGGTTAAAGGTAGCATAACGCGCAAGTCATACTCTGGTATCGCAAGTTATTTACTTTTTACTTATAAAGTGAAGCAAAATATTAAAGAGACATTAATGGTATAAAAAATCTACCTTCTTCTTCCCATTGACGTCTAGCTCATAGTCTTCTTCGTTCATCCATTCGTTGTATTGTGGTAGGTCGAGAACCCAAGAAGCAGATACGCGCCATGGTTCCGCCCTGTTGCAATCCCAGCTAACAGTTTCTGGCACATCCACCTTAACAACATAATTTTAATTCTCTTTACATAAGCATAAAGTCACTCTCGTTGTTTGTACGCTTAGATTTTTTGAATGATGCAACGAATTTTTATAGCAGTTAACAGAAATAGATAGTGATTTAAGAGAACAGATTTATTACATTTAATTCAACCTCGAAAGACCAAGTCATAATATGGAGAGAGCAAAACTGTTGGCCAAATGTACTCTGAAAAGCAACAGTTGTTTAGTCATAAAATCTGAGTACTTCTGAGCTGAGCGATGAAGGTCTATTTAGGTTTGGATCTTAGACTATACAGAATAGGGTATTTGACAAGTTTTAGAAAACGATCTCATGTTATTGACTAATGTTTACGGAGTCCGTCATTCTGTTGTGTATTTCAGTAAAAATAACCAAATCAAAAACTCCAATTTCAAGTTGCCGCGAAAACGTTTTTCTGGACAATATGGCGTCTTACTAGTGTGTGACGTCACACGACTGTTATTAAAACGTCAAACAATACAATGTAATGTACATACAGTGTCTTTAACCGGAAGTTTACTTGCGTGTGATGTCATTTTAGGCTCCGCCAATCCCAAGCGTTTTGGGTCAAGTGACAATAGATAAGAAAACTATTAATCTTTTTCGTGGGATTTTAGTAAAATTATGAATATCTTGTTTGTAAAAATAGTAAAAACCCCTGCCAATATTCATTCTAAACACAGATGCTAACAATAGGCACTTTATTTTTAATACTGTCAAATACCCTATTGTGCAGTGTATGAGTATAGAGTCGTTCGTACACAATTTTATAAAGCCATTTAGTGTTCTCACTCGCATTCATGCACACGAATAATGCCCTCACGCTCGCACTCACAGGGGAAGCTTTAGGCGTCTGGGAGAATAATTGACCCATCGGATTGGTCTGGCTGCGTACAAAGGGTTTTGAAATAGTACCATGAATAATATATGTAAAATGTAGGCTTGCTAGTATAACGTAGTTTACCTATCTTTAAATAATCTTTATAACGTTTGGCGGAAGTAATGGACCACAGAAATGGTCTGGCAATAACAAAATTAATCTTTGATTAATAAATAATAATAAATAAATATTTCCAACACACACACACCAATTAGCCTAGCCCCAAAGTAAGCACTATAAGGCTTGTGTTATGGGATACTAGGGTAAAGGATAGAATACATATACTGTACATACATAAGTATATTTATATAGAAATACACATTAAACATCCATGACTGGAGTACAAATGCACGTATTCATCACACAAACATCTGCCCCCACCGGGATTCGAACCCGGGACCTCTCGAGTCGGCGACACCATGAAACCCGGCGTACAAACCACTCGGCCACGGAGGTCGTGATAATATTCTTAAAAACATTTAAATAGGAGCGTTCCTACTTTAACGTAGGTAAGTAGGGCTTTTATACACCTTTAGTTCGCGCTACTTGTGAAAGGGCCCCGCTTTCGAGTTAGAATAGAAATCCTCAAAATTTCAGCTTTGCTAAAATGACGTAGGTCTGGGGGTTCTGGGATCTTACTCTATTAGAGATATCGCACCCGTCTTTATTGAGATAGAGCTGCATTTGTATAAATGGGAAAGTAATCTTAGAAAACAGCTGTATGGAAGACCAGCATGTGCTCCAACAGAGGCGACATTAATAGAGTGATAATAACCATGACGACGAATTAAACCTTTTTTTATTGCCTTCGAGAGCAGACAAGCGGAGGGCCACCTGATGTCAAGTGGTCAGCTCCGCCCATGCCATTATTGTCGCCGCACACGGGCCACCGACCACAACCACAAAACGCCGCCACCGGCATATTTCTTGTAGTTTTCATACATTTTATATGGACTCGCCACACGGTACGCCGGTGGCCGCCACACGTCACTCGCCCGATTCCCCACCCCCTCTCCCTTACCTTAGTCGGCCGCTGTCGCGCGCTTCAGCCACTTTAGTAGCCGCTTCTAGCTTCTCGTGGCGGTTTTTGTGGCTGTGGCGTGTGGCCCGTGCCGCTGCCTTTCGTGAAACACTGTATTTAAGCCAATATTGAAGCGGACCAATTTATAGTACTGAGGGAACACCGTAGAGGGGAGCTCAATTTTATTGTCAGCGGAATCAATCAATTTTATTATGTATGTATGTATGTATTTAAATGTATTCTATGCATGTATAGGTTTTTTTAAAGAAATATTTATGTAGTTACTTTTATTGGTGTATGTTTATAATAAATCACTTTTCTTTTATTATAGCCACATTCGAGAATTACTTTATGCATAAAGGTTGACTGGCAGATAATGCTTTTAGCGTTAAGGCGGCCTTTTGTCCATTTTTGTAACTGTGGCAATAAACTTTAAATAAATAATCAAAGAGCTCTGGAAACTAACAATGTGGGTAAACTCGACCCGGTGACGGGTGGAGTGGTACATACCGGCAAATCGGCCTGCGCCCAAGTGTCATGGCTGTCGGGCAAATAGTACCAGTGAACTAGCACGTTGTTGCCACGACGGAATACAGGCCTGGCGTACTCTTCTTCTAACGGGTCAACCGTCGGGTAGATTATGTGAGTCGCGTCCTCTTCGTCTTCTGAACAAATGATAAACGTAGACAGGTTGGAACAAGGTTGTTATCGACTGTAGACTCGCTGTTTGTGAACTTGAGATATCTTAGTCCAGTCGTACTGTCTTTCTTGCCACTGTTTGAAGTCAAATTTTTGAACCAGTATTTTATGACTGATATTTGTTTATGTTTTCGAGGGTGCTGAATCCGAATACAAGGTCAGAATTTAATTTCAACCATAGAGCTTTAAGTAATTAGGCAATATATGGTGTCCAAAAGTACCCGATTGCAGATGTTAATTTATATTAGTTTTTTTTTCGTATGAATTGCTATTGTTATATTCTCTTTATATTTTAAAGGAGCGCGAAGCAACAAAGGTTGCCAGTGCGATTAGAAATACATGTTACGATTCTAAGTTTTTCTGATAATTCGGAAAATCAGACCCCATAGGAGTTAGGAAGGTAAAAACCGGTTTTCTCGCGTTTAAGTCAACCAATTGAGACGTACTTTGGCTAAAAATATCGTGAGGTATTTCTCTAACTATCCCTGAAGTTTATTCTAAGAACCAAATTTGTAAACCTAATTTTTTTTACTTTGCTCCTGATGTCAATTATGGCGAGCAGTGTTTCCAGAAATAGGAAGGGCTTAATGCCCTCTTTCTATTTCTGGAAAATTTTTCTTCAATTTGCACATTGGTTTTTCTCCATAAACCCATTTTTGGCCAGCAATCGAAAATTTAAGATTTATTTAAATTATGAGAATGCAGCAAATATCAAAAAATTTAAAATTTAATTTAAAAGAGAAAAAATTATACTGTCGATTTATATGAAAAAAATATCAGTCATAAAATACTGGTTCAAAAATGTATTCCCAAAAAAAGACAGGACCTCTGGGACTATCTAACAATGTTATTTTGCCTTAAGGGGTAAAAGTTGGTAAAACTTAATTCTAAAATAAAACTATAATTAAAGTCCCATCTTTCGACGAATACATGCGTGAATTTTAAATTACTAAATTATAGACATTTTATGTGACCATTGTTATTTTGTTTAGATTAAAATACGTAGCACTAGTAATTTTAGAAGATTGAAGAAATACTATTGACATTTGCGTGGGGCAGATTTTGAGACTGTTGAAAGAAATTAAAAGCAATGTATTTCTGAATCAAAGAGTAATTTTGCATGCATGTACTTTAATTGTTGTGTACATATTTTCTATAAACCACAAAACTTGTTTCATTATGTGTCAGTCACATATTACTGTACTATTCCAAACTAGTTCAGCTAGGGCTACCTAAATTCAACTGTTTAGATATCAAATTCATATAAACAAATTTAGAACTCACCACAAATATCTCCTTGATGATGGCCAACAATATCCTTCACTTTGTTAGCCGTGGCTTTATCAACATCTGGGCGTATGTACACGCACGGGGTCCTGATGAACTCAGAGGAGACCAGTGCGGATTCAATCTCCATCATCATTTGCACATTCAAGTCCTTGCGAGAGGGATTCTGTACAGGGGGAGGGGCGTGTGGTGGGAAGAGAAATTTAGTGTTAGTACGTATGAATTAGCTGTAGCTATAGAAATTTTATTTGAGAAAATATTTTTAAGATTTGCCAAAATCAACACCGAAATTTTGGGTACATTTATGAGAAGATATCTTTGTGTTGAATTATGTTCGACATAACAGAAACCTATACAATATCTGCTTAAAGAAGATTACTGCAGAACGCAGATCAGAAACAACAAAAATATTTCAATATTACGACTTATAAAACTACTCAGTGAGACTGGGAAATAATTTTAATAACACACATTTTGAGTTGATATATAACTGAAATAACTAGTGGAATATCAACTTAGTTTTTGAGTTAATTAAACGAAAATAGTATGAAAATATAAATTGTGTAGCAGAAAGACATGATAACTAATCTTTTATTGGTTCTGCTAGAAATTATGGTCATGCAGATTTCCAAAATTCTAATAACCATGCAGGTAATTGAAAAACCTAGGGTTATTTGGTTGTATTAGTTACAAAGAAAACCACACAGACGTTATTTAAATGAACAACATATAGTCACACAATAGTGTCGATTCCGGCAGGATTCTTTTAACTTAAAACTAAATTTGACATCAGTCTGTCCTTTTCAGTCTGTATAGAGAATGACAGAGATACACTGTTGTCAAATTTAAGTTTAGCTTTAGAGAATCATGCCAGAATCGACACCAATATGATATTATTTTTAATTTAATTAAAGACCTTATAATGCTGACCATACATGCTGCAGTATTTCGGACAGTTACTTTCGAAATCTTGTTGCCATTAGATTAACTGTAGTTTTGGAAAATAAGATATATAAAATGTCGACCATGACAGTAATACTATTATGTTAATTAAAATAAAATACTTTGTATGGGCTTTTATGCATTCATGATTCCAATTAAATGCAAACCTAGTAAACCATAAACCCTTTAATAAAAATTCTTATCAAGTAAAATATTCACAAGTATTTTTCACTTTTAGAACTGAATGAGTTTTCTTTTAACTTAATTTTTAAATATGCAATTTTTTCTTAAGGTTCTGAAAATTTCATCACTTCAAATAACAGCAGGAAATAGTCTTTATCATAATAGGTCTCATCGTTACCCAAAATGAACACTGACAAAATGGCTTTAGCATGAATGAAATGGATGTTTTGATTTAAGCAAAAGGAACCCATTTCCAACATCAGTCTATGATTTTTTTAATAAGATTCTCACAAAGATATTGTTTCTTTTTTCGAAACCAAGTAAATATATAATAACAAAGTTTTGATCAATTTTAACAATATTGTAAAGACTAAGTGCTTAAAGGTTTTGTATAAGTGACAAATCGCAAATCAAAGATATAATTACAAAAATCTTATGTAATATTTACAGTATTTTGTTTTAATAAAGAGAAGTAAAATATAGAAGTTATAATCATGGTTATATACAAAATGGTATCATACCCTGATCATTCGTGCTTTTGGATAGGCAACATGTTTGTGACACTTCTCTTCTATAAACCTATCCTTATTAGTAACATTTTATTAACTTTAAAAAATAACATATTCGCAATAAAAATATAGTTAATTTTAATTGGTAATAAAAATAATATCTTTAACTATTTCTTCTTAAAAGAGAGAAAATAAATTTTTCTTTTAACTTAAATCATACATTGGGTATGAAAAGTAATTATAACTTGAGAAAAAAAAAGAGTAATCATTTCTAACTGCACAGGTGTCTAAAGTACCTAATACCCATCACTTAATTTCGCAATTAGATTTTTGATTAACTGAATTCTTTGCAATTTTAGTAATCTGCAATTATCACTATGGATGAATAAAAAAGCTATTCTACTAAACAAAGTGTCAGTGTTGCTAGTGCACAAAAATCATGAAACCGTTTAGTGTCACAAACGTGTCGCTTAATGCATTGTTAGGTCGTAGTGCAGGGTCGGTGAGCGAGGCGCGTGCGGGCGAAGGTGCATACCTTACCGACCTGGAAGTCGAACTTGCGCCACCGCTGCTCCGACTTGAAGCGGAACATGGTGGCGAGCACTGTGCAAAGAGAACCACCTGCTTTCATGTCCATGAACACTTTCATCTGTAATGGTTAATTCCTGATATTATTGGTGCATTGACTTTTTATATTATATGAATGACAATAAAATTAATTCCATATGGAGTGAAACTACCACAATAGTTTTATTTAAATGAAATGTAAGAACCATGAAAGTTTAGCAAATTTCTCAGTGGTTGGTCATGTGATGGGTGCCAAAAACTTATTATCTTGAGTTCTTCCGTGCTTCGGCAAGCACATTAAGCCATTGGTCCCAGGTGCATCTGGAAGGCCTGTGCCCAAGCAGTGGGGAAATTAATGGGCTGCAATGATGATTATGATCCTTTTAGACACTGTGACAAGCTAAGTAAGTAATTAATACATTCACACAATAGACATTATTCATTCAAGTAGATTCTAATAATCAGTCAAAATACCAGGCTCTGGTACCTCACACTTGTCTATCAATAGTTTTAAGTCTGCCTGGAACTACAGTTAATATATATCCTTCTTCATTAAGATAGTGGCACCAATGATCGACAATCCCTTCTTTTATCAATGAAAATAAGAATAGGGAACCGATCACTGAACATGGTAACACCGAGCCAATGAAACCAATCTATAGCTCAATGTTATCACATTCAGCTATGGGCCATCCTCTCTTTTTTGGAATCACTGGCTTGGCTTAAAAGTCTATTACTGGCTCATTTGTGTCGGGCATTGGTGCAACTACGTTATACTGTTATCTAGGAGCTGATTTTACATATAGCTCCAAATTCACAAATTTCACAGATGAGCAGAAAATAATTTTAAATCATATAGATAACTCATATAAATGAACAAAAAATACTCACTGGAAGTCTCAAGAAAGGAGGGTCAGAAGCATTCTTTCCCAATTTGTTTTCTTGATACTGAATAAGTTGTATGACGAGCTGTGCCAGCCCTTCTTTAGTAGGTGGGTCAGTTTGAACATGCTAAAATCCACACAAGAATTATTGTATGCATACAAATTTTTATTGCACTGATAAAATTGTTGAATGAGATGGACCCTTACATTATTTATATTATAGTAACTCCTGTACCTACAATTTTTTTCTAAGTCTAGTCTCGTTATGAGAAGATATTTGAAGGGATTTCATGAAGATTTCATATTCATGAAATCCCTTCAAATATCTTCTCATAACTATTGTCTTGAGAACTTAGTTTTATCAAATGCTAATTTATATAATAGGATTCAAAATTACTTATTTAGTGTTGTTCTAAGCTAATGTGCTATTGAATGATAATGTTATTGTTTAATCATAATTATAGTTATGTTTTATTAGTGTGTCATTGTCCAAATTGAGGTAACATTAAGCATTTCAACAATAACATGTATTTGCCCTAATTGTGGCAATATTTAGTACATCACCAATAACATAATTTTCTCTAAAAAGTAAGAGTGTGTAAAGCGAAGCAATACTAACCTTTTTACAATTTTTCTGCAACCAAACACGAATTTGGTCAAATTGAGCCAGTGATTCTGAAGATTGAAAATATTCCACATTGGGGCCACCATCTTTCTTTGGACCTATGGTCGTCATTTTTATGCACTTTTATATCCTCTTGCTCTTCAGAAATGTACAATTTAGTGAATTATTGAATAGTGTTGAAAACAGTCTTTTTAGAAGCGGCGTCATTCAGGGTTGCCAGATACAATTTTATGATTTCCCCAAAATTATACGTTTTCTAAAAGAAAACCCCCAATCGCTTTGTTATTAAAGGCTAGTATTTAACTGCAAATCAAAAATTTGTCGTTTTGTATAAAACAATCCTAAGCAAAAATACTTATTGCACAGCAAAATAGTCACCTCAAAATAATATGATAATGGTGTCGATTCTGGCGTGATTCTCTAAGCTTAAAACTAAATTTAACATCAGTCTCTCCCTTTCATTCTGTATAGAGAATGACAAGGATATACTGCTGTCAAATTTAAGTTTAGGTTTAGAGAATCATGCTAGAATCGACACCAATATCATATATGTACGAGCCGACTCGTACAGTTTTTGTCTAGTTAGCACTTTACGCCACATTCGATAATTTAGGTCACGCTCACATCAGTCTGCCATCGGTATTCATTCTAGCCACGCATACTCATATCAATTATCATATCATTCTTATAAGTTTAATTTGTTTAATATATCATTTATTTTATATCAGGACTTTCACTTTATCAACTCTATCATAAAAAGGTGTGCAAACCGTACATCTTTTTTGGTCCTTCGAATAAGGACTCGCGAGTGACTCAGTGAATACGTGGATTCAGTGAAACGTGACTCTGTGTTGCAAGTGAGACTGTTATCCAGCAAAGTTACTGAAGGAATTTTCTTCCGCGTACATCAAGTCGCAACGGCACAAGGAGCGTGCAACCATCAAATACGGTTTGAGTACCAGCATCCAAGTAAGGCGTATCTTTTATTTTTTTCTCTCTTAACACCAAATTTCTGTCAAGATGTCGGCCGAAGATTTAATTTTAACTCAGGAGCAAATAGCCTCTGGCATTGAGCAAGTTTATACCAATTTTAAGAAAGATGGCTCTGATAGGAAAACTGTATCTTATATAAAAAATCGCCTGGAAACTTTAGATAAATATTGGCAAGAATATCAGTCAAATCATATTAAGCTGTGTGGGCTAGGAATACCATCTCACCAGTATTTTATTTCGAAGCAGTATGAGATAACTAGGGACAGGTTTTCGAACATAAGGGCCACTGTTCAGAACTATCAACCGAGAGATGAGGGCAGCAGACCTTCAACCCCACTTCTCAAGCCAGCTACACCCATTACCATGCCGAGCTCTCAGCAGATGACTGACCAGGGTTCGCGTTCTCAAGGTATTAATAGCAAAACGGATGAGATGTTGAGAAAGCAAAGTAGCCACTTTAAGGCATTTGAGCATACTATTTCCAACATAGATTTAGATAGCATTACAGAAAAATGGGAGTTTGATCATTTATTGCGTATCATTCAAGCTCGTTGGTCGGCGATCGACTCGCTGCATTGGGAGCTGGACAGCGAGCTGGGAGGCAGGGAAGCGGAATACGAATCTATTTATTATCAGTTCGAGAGAAAATACAATAACGTAATTAAGTCTATCAACAGAAAATTATGGTCTGTATCACATAGGGAGAATTCGACACCTAAGATAGAATTACCATCGTTCAGCGGCAGCTACCACCAGTGGACCTCGTTTAAGGATCTTTTTCTAGAAACCATCCACAATAACCCTACCCTATCGAACGCGCAACGCATGCAATTTTTAAAATCCAAGGTGAAAGGTGAGGCTGAGCGACTAATTCAACATTTAACTATATCAACTGAAAATTATATTACTTGTTGGGATATACTCACCCACAGGTACGATAATAAGAAATTGATTTTGAATTCCCACTTTGATATTTTATTCAGTATCCCAGTTATGCAACAACCGTCTATCAATCATATAAAAAGAATTCACGATACGACACGTGAAGCATTGAATTCTATAAAAAATCTAGGAGTAGCGATTGACTCGTGGGATCCCTTACTAATTTATATCCTTTGTCAAAAATTGGATACCGAGACCCACAGTGAATACATATCATCAATAAAACAGCCGAGAGATGTGCCAAATATTTCCGAATTTTTAGAATTTTTGGAGAACAAGTTTACCACTATGGAAACATCTAAACGTAAGCAGGAGCCTGCAAATAAGTCTATCAACCGTAATCATAATTTTAATACCACAATATCATCAGGTCCAAAGTATCAAAGTTATAAACCAATAAATAACAATTCATACATGAAGCAAGCATTTCCGCCGACCCAAGGCCGGAATATTTCGCAATCATTCAACAACAGCAAAAATGTCTATTTTACAAAATATTATAAATGTCCCATTTGTAAAAGCGATGACCACGGTGTTTTCCATTGTAAACAATTTTTAGACATGAATTCGATGCTAAAACGCAAAACAATCACTAAGTATAATTTATGCCAAAATTGCCTTTATTGCCATTATGGTAAGGCTTGCATTTCAGACAAGAAATGCAGAGAATGCAATCAATATCATAATACTCTTTTACATGACGCATTTACGCAATCGCAGACGGAGGGGCCATCTACAGCATCAACCTTCAAGAAATATATGAACGCCACACAACCAGAGGCGTCGGCGACAGTTCGCACCAACTCACATGTGTCATTACAACCGGAAATCCCGGAAATTCTTTTAGCAACCGCAATAATAAAAGTCCAATCAGCCGATGAGTCCTATATTGAGCTAAGAGCCTTATTAGACCAGGGATCGCAAGCGTCTCTTATTACAGAGAATGCAGCGCAGTTGTTAGGGCTGCCTCGACGTAAATGTCAAGGCGTAATCACTGGAATAGGTGCGAGCGAAAACAACTGCAAAGGGATGATGCATATCAAATGTTTATCAAGCAATCAAGAATTCGAATTTGAAACCAATGTACTTATCATGAACAACTTAATAAAAAATCTGCCCAGTCAATCATTTAAGAAGCCAAATTGGTCTTATTTACATAACATCACTTTAGCAGATCCTGAATTTAATACTAGTCGACCAGTCGACTTGTTACTCGGTGCTGATATCTATTCATTGATTTTATTAGATGGTATATGCAAAATAAGTAACGAGACTCCCCTAGCGCAAAATACGCGCTTGGGCTGGATTCTCAGCGGTAACGTCAAAACAATTCAATGTAACGTCATATTAAACAATCTAGAGGAAATTCACAAATTTTGGGAAATCGAAGACATCACTGATGACCCACCACTATCATTAGAAAATCAGAAATGTTTACAATATTTCAAAGATACCACAATTAGGCGAGATGACGGCCGCTACGTAGTAAAATTACCATTTAAACCAGATTTTACCGAAAAGTTGGGTGAATCTAAAAGAAAAGCAATTGCTCAGTTCCGATCATTAGAGCGTAAATTCACTCGTAATGAAAACATGCGACTGGAATACGTGTCTTTTATGGATGAATATCAAACTTTGGGTCACATGAAACCATCATGCAGCACGCCGGAAAAGCCCGATTGTTATTTGACTCATCACAGTGTAGAGAAAGCGGAGGCCACGACTACTAGATTTAGAGTAGTTTTCAATGGTTCAGCAAAAACATCTTCAGGCTATAGTATCAATGACGTTATGGAGGCTGGACCCAATCTCCAACAGGACCTTCAGTCTCTAATAATCAGATGGAGACAATATCAGTTTGGATTTACTGCGGATTTGGAAAAAATGTTCAGACAGATTTTTATAAACGAAGACGATCAACGTTATCAAAAAATTATTTGGCGTAAATCAGTTAGTGAACCCATCAAAGAGTATCAATTAACTACGGTGACGTACGGGACGAAGGCCGCCCCATACCTTGCCATGATGACTTTAAAACAATTGGCTTCAGATGAACGATCAAATTTCAGCAACAACCAGGCTCCCAACGTACTTGAAAACTGCTTTTACATGGACGATTTAATCAGTGGAACACATACTGTACAATCAGCAATACAGTTACATGATGATCTTATCAAACTTCTACAATCAGGCGGTTTCAACCTAAGAAAATGGAGATCAAATATTCCTGAAATATCAGAGTCGTGCTGTGAGTCATCTAATCAAGATAATTTTAATTTTAAAAAGGCAGAAATAAATATGAAAATACTAGGTTTGGGCTGGGAACCAAACAAAGACGTTTTTAATTTTAATTCAAAAATAGATTTATCAAATGAACATGAAACAAAGAGATCACTACTGTCTAATATTTCAAAATTATTTGATCCATTGGGCTGGCTATCACCTCTCACTACAAAATTGAAAATTATTTTCCAAAATGTTTGGCAAGCAAATATCGGATGGGATGATCAATTACCCGAGCAAATTCAATCAGAATGGGATAAAATAAAAAGTGACATAGTAAATATCAATTCTATTAAATTACCGCGTTGGATAGGTACCCGAGACACTGATACAATCGAGTTACACGGATTTTGTGACTCATCCAACAAGGCTTACGCGTGTGTAATATATTGTAAAATCATGAGAGGCGATACTTCAAAAATAACATTACTAGTTGGGAAAGCAAGGCTGGTGCCAACAAGCACGAAACTATCGCTGCCCAAAATGGAGTTAAGTGGAGCACTACTTCTATCAAAATTAATGACAAAAGTCAAAAAATGTCTAAATGGTTATAATATAAAACTTTACGGGTGGTGCGATTCCATGATAGTATTAGGGTGGCTGAACGGAGATCCATCACGCTGGAAAACATTTGTTGCTAACCGCGTTAAAGAAGTCGTAAGCGTAATTCCGCGAGAATGCTGGCGTTATGTGAAATCAACAGAAAACCCAGCAGATAGCGCCACTCGTGGGTTAACAGCTACTCAATTAAAAGATTTCTCTTTGTGGTGGAATGGGCCATCTTGGTTAACAAACTACAATGAGTTACAGGAACAGCAAACTACCTTTGAAACGGATCAAGAAGCGAAAAATGTAAATCAAGTAAATGTTGTCACTGAGGAAACAATCAATAACAATATCATATATCAATTATTAATGCATTCTAGTTCATTAAATTACGTCATCAAAATAGTCTCATGGATGTTGAGGTTCACGAAGAAAGAGAACAAAGAAAGTTACATAACAGTATCAGAAGCAGAGAGAACAAGAAATATCATA